ATCAGGTTTTGTACTAATTTTACTTTTGAAAAGTACTCCCTGAGAAATTCATGACCGCATGTCACGAGTGTATGGCAACGCCTCTTCTCACAACCCTCGACATGCAAAGGCTGCTGTGCGACAATGTGGGTTCAAAGAGCATGACCTCACCCTCCATACTCTCCGGACCTGGCACCAAGTGATTTCCACCTGTTTCCTAATCTAAAAGAACACCTTCGTGGAATTTTAGCGCTATGACGACAACGATGACCTCAAAGTTGCCGTGAATGGGGTTTTCAGGGTGGCTTCAGAAAACTTCTTCCTCTTGACAGGAATTGAAAAGCTTCGCTATTGATGTGAGAAGTGTATTGAAAAGCAGGGATATTATATTGAAAAAATAAATATAAAATATAAATATAAATGAAAAAATAAAATTAAAACACTTTCACAATTGTTGGTTCACCTGATGAAGGAGTAAGCATATACTCCGAAACATCGTGTTCCTCATAATAAAGAAGTTGGCATCCATAAATACTCTTCCTAACTTCTAAATGCCTTTCAAAGACTTGATAATTTATTATGTTGATGTATTTAGGGAGGCACTAGTCAGGGACATGCATGATTACATGTATTTTGGAAGCTGTTGGTGGAAGTCATGTGTTCTGTGCTCGAGGTACCGACAAGGGCCTGTTGCATGCTGGGTACAGTAGTGGTGTGTTGGCTGGTAACAAGTGTATGCGCCACACTGACCCACACACTGCACAGTCACAACAGTTTGTGTGCACCGAAAGTGGCTACATATTTTGTTAGTTTCTTTCAAGTGTTGACAAACGAATTTACGATCCTCGTATATTTTGTTTTCTCTCTACTTTGTTGCCAGCCATTGTTTAGACAGTTGGTAGGGAGGTAGGTCAATTGTCATGCTGTCATATACTTTTTAATCACATGACATTTCAGGTTACAACATGAAAATAGATCATTTGGGAATCTGAAAAAGATTACGGATAAGCTTAAAATTATCAAGTTTATCTTAAGTGTTCTCAAACTTCAAGAGTTTAACAACCATTGTATTTACCTGTACCCAATTCTCAAGGCTAATTTATGGTTCCTCAAGACTAATTTTAGTAGCAGGTTAACAGGACTCTGTTCCACAAAGGGACCTTAGCCCTACAGTTATCTACCCATGAAGATCTGGGGTAGAATAGGTCTTCAGCAACCCATGCTTGCCGTAAAAGGCGACAATGCTTGTTGTAAGAGGCAACTAATGGGATCGGGTGGTCAGGCTCGCTGACTTAGTTGATGCATGTCATCGTATCCCAATTGCGTGGATCGATGTTCATGATGTCAATCACTGGATTGTCTGGTCCAGACTCGATTATTTACAGACCGCCGTCATATAGCTGGAATATTGCTGAGTGCGGCGTTAAACAACAAAACAACCAACCAACCCTACAGTTATCATACGTCTGTATTAAAGCATGGAAGCTGCGATCGTCATAACACAAAGATTGCTGTGTGGAACAGGCACTCTTTCTATACCCAGAACCAGTGTCAATAGTTCGGTGGCCATGGCAAGAGTAGCAACTACAAACAGTATTACATTTGTAATATTAGGGAAGAGAATTTATGGATGTCAACTTCTTTATGATGAGGAACACGTTTCGGGTATATGCTTACTCCTTCATCATTCATTCAGCTGATAAAGGAGTAGTACATACTCCAAAACATTGTGTTCCTCATAATAAAGAGGATAACATCCATAAATTCTCTACCTAATACGTGGGTTTCACCGAAGTGGTAAACGTCTGAGACCTGCATCACTTCAGGCTTTCCTCCCACATTAAGCTGACACGCCGTGATATAACTGGAATCATGTTAAAAGCGGCGTTAAACCCAACTCACTCACTCACTCTACCTAATGTGTATCACTTCCAAATGCCATCCAAAGACTTGATATGTAATATTGTTAAGTGAAAGTTGACTCGCCAAGTGGGAAGAGTGTTTGCTCATCACCATGGAAACCTAGGTTTGATTCCAAACATGAGTACAATGTATGGCACCACTGTCATAATATGGCCAATATTCTTCTAAAAATGGCATTTCTCATTCACTCATTAGATTAGGGACTTTAAAGATACATTTTCCATAAAATCAAATCTTCACTCCCGCTACACGAAGATCTTGGAACATCCCATTACAGGTCATATCAGAACGACCCGTGAGCACTAAAATCTGATTTTAATGAGATTTGTTAAGTTAAATCTGTACAACTAATAGAAAATGTCTGCACTTGGCCTCATCTATTTTATCATACAACAATATTCTATTTCTTAACACTCTTTCTCATTTGTTCCTAAAGCTAATTAAATAACAAAGATGCATCCATACTGTCTAGATCGATGGTGTATCAAAGGTTAATAATTGAAAACAGGACCAAAGAAGTTATAGCTTTCATGATCATTAGTTCAGTCAACCTTTTGTATCAGTGGAGGTTTGAACTTCCAATGCAATGCTTTCTTCATCATGCTCTTCAACTGATGAGGGAATTGTGACCTTGCTTTTCAAAGTATAACTCCCTGTCTCAGTATTTCACATAAACAAGCGTACATGATGACATTCTCGGAAAATAATTATTTCAAAGATAAGGTACCATACCATCGAGGGTTCTATGATTGGCTTTGTTTGTCTTTATGTCATTGGCGACTTTTACTGTGGAATAAAGTATCAAGGGGATATGTTTCCAAAGAGTTTGGATGCCGTTACTAAAATGTAAGACATCACTGTGTGGCCGTCATGAAGGGCTGGTAGTATTTACATCTGGATCATGAAAGTGCATGGCATGATCAGTGAATGCACTTCTGTCACAGTAGGTGGCCCAGTCGTCTCAGGTGCCGCAGTCCGCAGTGCAGAGTTGCATCTTTTGGTCGAAACCTATCATTGTGGGTTCGAATCCCGGTTGCCCTGATTATGTTTCTAGGTTTGGCAGCACCATAACCGGGTTCGCCACTGGGTTTCACCGTGGTGGTAAACGTCTAAGACCTGCATCATTTCGGACTTTCCTCCCACATTAAACTGACACGCCGTGATATAACTGGAATACTGTTAAAAGCTGTCTTAAACCTGACTCACTCACTCATCCATGTTGCTCACAAGTATTGATTTGACAGAAAAAATATGTCAAGATTCTGATATTAAAGTTTGCCCGCACCTTGTGGGTTCGGGGGCACGGGGGGCCCAGTCGTCTAAGGCACCACAATTTGCTGTGCAGAGTTGCATCCCCTAGGCATGCAAGAATCCTCTGATTTGGGGTTCGAATTCTGGTTCACCCACATCAAGCTGACACGTCGGGAAATAACAGGAATACTGTCAAAGCGACTTTGAACCCACTCATGTGGCTTTGAAATTACTATTGCTAGACAGAAGTCTCGACAAGACGGCCGTTTCCGGGTTTAAATCAATGCCACGCACAAGACGAAGAAACGTCACGGTGTTTCATTTATCTTTTTCAATATTTTGTAGACATTGAATCAGTACAGAGTATATGATTATTTTCATGACAACTGAACTCGATAGTATTTGAGACAAAACAAGATCAAATTGTCAGGTTGGCTAAGTAAAGAATGGTTCTCTGACTCGTCAATGTGGTAATTTGAAAACTTTGAACTGTCATCCATTTCACAGTGGTCATACAATCATCGCACAGGGTGACACTAGAGAGGCTAGCACAGGATGACACTAGAGGGGCTAGCACAAGATGACACTAGAGGGGCTAGCACAAGGTAACACTAGAGGGGCTAGCACAAGGTAACACTAGAGGGGCTAGCACAGGGTGACACTAGAGGGGCTATCACAGGGTGACACTAGAGGGGGCTAGCACAGAGTGACACTAGAGGGGCTAGCATAGGGTGACACTAGAGGGGCTAGCATAGGGTGACACTAGAGGGGCTAGCATAGGGTGACACTAGAGGGGCTAGCAGTGTGACACTCAGTAAGTGAGTCTAGAATAGGTCTTCAGCAACCCATGCTTGTCATAAAATATGCGACTATGTTTGTCGTAAGAGGCAACTAATGGGATTGGGTGGTCAGATTCGCTGACTTGGTTGATGCATGTCATCGTATCCCAATTGTGTAGGTTGATGCTCATGATATCCATCACTGGATTGTCTGGTCCAGACTTGATTATTTACAGACCGCCCTCATGTAGCTGGAATTTTGCTGAAGGTGGCGTTAAACAACAAACAAACAAACCAACAACAGGGTTGTCAGATACATTGTCACTATCTTGTTGGTTCGGCTAACTATTAAGGAACATCTACCACTGGAACCATACTGAACAATATCTTTTTTGAAATGAAGGTCAGAACAGATATCTGCAATTAAAGCTAGACACCTACATAACACAGCTGCCTCTATAACAGGATTGTGCAGCCCCCTTTATCAGACTGGCCTTGGCTGCACTCCCAAACGTATGTGAAGTACCTACTGATGAATAAGTCTCAGAACACCCTAGACCTCCACTTGACCTCCAACTTGACCTCCGTGAACAGACAGACACAGAACAGGCAATACTTATTGGGCCTCCACAGAAGCGCTGTGACGGTGCATGTGAAAATAATGAGGGTGTTTCCTCTTGTTGGTGTTCCCTGCTGTAACATCAATGTGTTTTTTATGTACGGGCATGACATTCATTCATTCATTCATTCATTCATTCATTCATTCATTCATTCATTCATTCATTCATTCATTCATTCATTTACTTCATCTGCATCATCAAGGATTCCACGTGTGAATTTATCAAGCTTATGACATTCACTCGTCACACCAAAGGCCAGGGGTTCAATTCCCAAGATTGGTACTATGCCACAGAAGACCTGGGTTCAATTCCCAACATCGGTACAGTGTGAAGCCCATTTCGAATGTCCTCTGCCATGATATGGCTGAATATATACCTATTATGGTATTAAAAACCTCACTCGCTCACTATTATTCATTCTCAGTATTTCTTTCTTATCTATTTTCAGTTCAAATGGTCACGAAAAGGTTTCTTGAGAACAAGATGGAATCTGAATAACTGGTATGTTTCATGTGTTTGCTCTCGAGTTGAACCCAACCTTTCCTCCTCGGCAAACATTGATCATTTCCATGCTCCCCTAAAGGACATTGATTATACCAAGTTCAGCCAACCTTATTGGTCATTGAGACATTTCTTTTAGTTCTATTAATCATCCTTAAGACACTATGGGGTGGGGTGGGGATTTCAAAGTCACATACTTTGGTAATTTACTTGATAAAATCTTAAGCTGAAGACCCCTTGAAATATTTTTATGGGTTGTTGTCTTCTACCTGTTCGTTGTTGATACATTGTCAGTAGTTTTATGCAGCTTGGATTCTATACTCCCCAGGGAGCTGGGAATGATTGTTGAGTGCACACTGATCCAGTGACCGGGGTAATAATATTAATAGTGCTTTGAGCATACCCCTCTGTGGTGTGGATATATGCGGGATATAAATGGCATATTATTATTATTATTATTATTATTATTCTTCTTTATTATTCTTATCATCATCATCATCATTATCATTATTATTATTATTATTATTTATTATTCTTATCATCATCATCATCATTATCATCATTATCATTATTATTATTATTATTATTATGTTCTTCCTTGTAAAACTTTTGGGTATGTGTCCCTATTGATCATTAGCCTGTGCCAATATGCTCTGAGTCATAATGCAGTATATCTCAAAACATGCAGGAAAACTTGTCATTTTCTCTTTAGTGAAACGTGTGAAGTGTTTCAAAGTTTTATGTTGTGCTCAAACTTTTATAGCCGTTTTCAGTAAAGGATCGTTTTTTGAGAATTGTTCCATTATCTGCTGAGTTGTAATAATGTCTTTCTTTTTCAGCATATTTGATCTTGTGAACATCCATTTATTCCACGATGCTTCAAATATCATCGCCATGCAGGCTGTAAGTATGCTGCAGCCAGGCTCAACTCAATTGATTTCCTCTCGCCTCAAATCTGGATCATGCACGAGCAGATCTCAGCCACCAAAGAATCCTGATGAGGAGATCTTCTCCACAGCTTGGCCACTTTAATGCACCATGTTCAAAGTTGATGTCCAAATTTTTGTCAGACTCTTTGATTCAAGAAATGATATATTGATATCTGCTGCGTGTCGTGTTGTCAGATGTGACGCGGAAAGCTGTAATCTGTGCCAGAGTTGTCAGAATACTTGTGACCATTGATTGTCTCCTGAAGACCTCGCTGAGGTCACTGTGACCTCACTAAAATGCTATTGCAGTGTTGTTACGAGTATGTTGCATTGATTTGTTCTTAAGTGATTGAAATTGTCATCCATTGCTCACTGCTTGTTACATGTAGACCTGTTGTAACGGATTGCCGCGAGATTAGACGTTGATGTGATAAACGGCCAATCACATCCTTAGTCTGATAGAGTTTTTATGAGCAATCGTTGAAATAGACAACCAAGCATTGCAATAAAGTTGAAATGAGAGTTGGCGTAATTTCATGTTATTTCATCTTGTTTGTTTTATTAGAATCAGTGGAATGTGTATAGATCAATGTATCTGTCCAGGCGCACAATCTGACAAAATTATTTCAATCATTTGATCGCTCGGTTTACCAGGGCTTTGAATTTACTGTTTCAGGTTTCATTTTCAACAATGTTTTCAGATGAATGCAACAGTATATTTTACATTTCATTGTCCTTGTTTGACATTTTAAGATTCCAGGCAAGACTGACTGTGACATTTAACAAATTTCACTTACATGCTGGTAGATCTGAAATTGGATATACAAGTCTTGCTCATCCAAATTATCATGCAGAAAGATGTGTTATTTTTTGTCAAGGGTTCTTGCTGTAAGAAAATAACCTAGAGTACTTAATGAAAAAAACAATCATGTGACTAAAGCTGTTATGATTTCAGAGCCCCTCAATATACAACGGAAACCGACAACAGGCACTGATGCACACATTGAAAAGGTACGGCTAGCATGCCATATTTCCTCAGTTAAACACCCAGGTGTATATTTCTTTCAGCTCTCTTTACCCCTGGCATTTAATTGCAAAGATAATACCGTATTAGATGTAATAAGCGCCAAGGGCACTCTCAAAATTTGAAATAGGGGGCTCTTATTTGAATATAATTTCGGTGAGAAAAAAAACAGTTGAAAGATTGTAAAATTTGTGGTTTATGCTGACAGCCTGAAATGATATAAAAGAAGAATCTGTGTGTATTATACACGATAGATGTATTTTACTTTTGAATATTTAATTGACCATAATTAAGGGTGCATATAACGCATGAGTGCGTATTATACACGAATAAATAAGTCTTGTGTACATTGATCAATTGGAAAGGGTGCTAATTGGGATTGTTCACTAGCCAATATATTAGCAAATATCGCCGTGGGCACTTATTAGAGCGGGGCGCTTATTACGACAAATATGGTAATATGGAAAATTCTGTGCATAAATTCTACCGGGCTTTTGAGGCAAGGGTGTTTTCTCAAGACCCCAGCATTTATTCAAGACCCAGTGTTTAATTGAAGAAATACGGTATTCCATTTATTGCTGGCACTGTTTCTTGAATTGCAAGGCTGATAATGATAAGAATAGAGAAGATTTATCCTTCAGAAACTTTATCAATTAACTGATTTTATTATCAAAATGAATAGAAATTAATACAGTGGAATTTTATTAACTTGAAGTCCTTGGAACCATCAAAACAATAATGAAAATCATCTTGCCAATGTGTTGATTACAAGACAGTTGAAGCAGCCATTCACGGAGACTTGCTGAGGAGTGGAGGTGTGTGAGGTGAAAGGGATCAAGATGATTGCACTGATACAGTGACGTGCATGTACTTGTGTGTGTATGGCTGCTTGTACCAGTCCGGTCATATTGTGCTAGCCCACTGAGAAACCATGCCACAGTTTAACATGGATACCCCACTGAGACACAGTATGCTGACTCCACTCTGAGTATACAGGGGGCGGTCGGGTAGCCTAGTGGTTAAAGCGTTCGCTCTTCACGCCGAAGACCCTGGTTCGATTCCCAACATGGGTACAATGTGTGAAGCCCGTGATATTGCTAAAATCGGCGTAAAACCATACTCTCTCACACACTTACTCACTGAGTATACTGTGCCTAGCAGTCCTTGTTTTGTCCCCTTAATGCTGAGTGCAAAGCTCCTTGTATCACATGGCCAGAGGATCAAACCGCCAACCTTCCCCTCTCTAGGCAAATGCTGTATCCACCAGTGTTCAAGCCTTCTTCCCGAGGCAAGAGAGTTAACTGAGAGTTTAAAAGTCCAGTTTCCACCCTTGCCAAACAAGGCTGGAATTCCTGGGCTCGATCGTAGCGCCACCAGTGGCTGTTAAGAGTCATGTCCTTTCTATGCCTCTCCTATGGACCAATTGGATTCCACCTCTCGTGTCACTTGCATTTGTTTCAAACAAAATGGCGGCGCCAAGGCAAGACGATCTGATCGACAATCAAGATCTATATTATGATAAAACGGGTCTTACATCGATAAGTGCATCAAATCATGTGAGTCCCTTGATTAAAAACTTGAAAAGATTAGAACAATATCTGTTGACTATGAGTTGGCGGTGCACATGCTTTGCAAATCCTGCAATCGACCGAAATCTGCATAACAGTTTCGGTTCGCGATTTTGATTGGACTATGCATAGACTCGTTAGTCCAGCCAAAATGTAACTCCATAATACAAGCCTAGTTCGGCAAGGGTGGAAACTGGACTTTAATAGTCAGTTAACTCCCTTGCCTCGGGAAGATGTGTTCAAGCTGGCATTTGAAACTAGCACAACTGTAAAATTTCACAGTCCTCCCTAATTTTTGTCAGTCCCAACTTTCAACAAATAAGAAAACGTATGTAAATTACCTGGTTTCAATTCTTTCAACATCATCTTCAATGCAATGACATCACCTCTGAAGTAACTCAATTAGATCTGCACGTCATTCACACAAAGTTTTTTTCATATTTTGAGACAAAGTTGCTGCAAATACTGTAAATTGTGATCACTGGCCCCTAGCCAAAAATGCGACTCAATATGAATGCAACACCCCCTCCTCTCAAGCATCAGTAGATTTATATCTTAAGAAAATGTCCTCTGTCAGGTTTACAGGAGAATCCTCACATTATTCCATCCTTACATTAATCCAATCACACACCAAATAGCACCGCTTATTTGCGCTGAGTAGAGTACTTCCGCTAAAACAATAAATGCACGCTGGCTTGTGTCGGCCTTTGATGCAGTCGCAAAGAACAAAGACACCGTGTTGCGTGGTAGGCGTCTGTCTGGACTTGCAGGTGTGATCAGTGATGACATAAGTGAGTAGAACTCTTGTCTTGACCCCAGCGGTGACAATTCACAGGATGTAATTAGTGTTTGAATGACATTGTGTATATCTCAATAAACAGTGGTGTGGAATACATAGTTGCTTGTTTTCAGCGTTGTCTAAGTTGGTAATTCTGCTATCCAAAATGATATAAACATATTTATTTCCATAAAGTGGAGGGATTGGCAAACAAGCAAATTTTGCTTATCTGAATGCCCCTCCCAAACATGATACATATACAAATAGAAATGTATTGATAGTGACATGAGAAAAAGCATACATTGTATAATTGGCATTAAAGGTAAGTATTGTTCTGTATGTGTTTAATTACTGGATTATCTTCCATAACTACAGTTACATTATTATTTACAGTCAGCACAACATCACAGTATCATATAGCAAAGCCATCATCTCAGACAAAATCTCTAAATCGGCATGAAGATAGAATAAAACTGTGCACCGATTTCAAAATTTCAAGATTTGTTACTGTCGTTACATTTGAATTACCATTTAGAATTGAATTTAAAAGTGAGCCTTTTACGAAATATTACATGTTTTGCCCTACTGTACTGTTCATCCAGAATGTCTTATTGTTGACATAAATGCGATGTTTAATAGTGCGAGCAAAGATCAATCGCTTTTGTTGCATTTAATTCACGCTCGCATTAATTTCAAGATTTACAGTATATAATAACCTCGAAGCAAAGGGAAATGTTATTTCCTTGCACTAAAAATAGACAAGGGAAAACCCCTTGACAAGCTAACAACAGACAAACTGACTTCGAATAATATACTTATATGAATATCATTGAAGTTTTGTCCAACAACAAAGATTTTTCAGGTACTTTATTTGCCGGTCCCCAGGGACATGATTTACCAGTCAGGGGCATGACTGCTCTGTTCCAATAAGAATGGGGGCGGTCGGGTAGTCTAGTGGTTAGAGCGTTCGCTCGTCACGCCAAAGACCCCGGTTCTATTCCCGACATGGGTACAATGTGTGAAGCCCATTTCCGGTGTCCCCCGCCGTGATATTGCTGGAATATTGCTAAAAGCGGCGTAAAACCATACTCACTCACTCCAATAAGAATGTGGTTGTTTCCAGGTTTGAAGGGGACAAGTATGACAAGGTGCCCATGTTACTATTCGGGGACTTCAACTTCCGTCTCGACACAAACCTTCTGATAAAGGTGAGCTGATAGTCAAGGCTGACAGATGTTTATGCCTGAAATACCACTGTCTGAAAGTATTTTAGTCTGCTGTAAGGACGCCATTGGGTTGTGTCTGTATTTAAACTTTTTGTAAGACAGATGTTATCAAAAATCTGATTGTATAGTCGGAGGAATACATAGAGTACGAGTGATTGTCCTTTATTGGGTTGTATAGGTATGGTTGGAAGAATGCTCTTCTCTGTCCATGCAAAGTCTTGGTGTGAATCCTATGGAGGTTAGCAGTTAAACATGTTATGTCAGATGCAACTGAATATTTGATGCACAGACATTTTAACATTCGCAACAATTATATCTTCCAAATGATTTCAAGGACATCTGATACTCCATAAAGTCCTGATATCATTGCTGCAATGGCCATTGCATCCTGCAATGGCCATTGCATCCAGCAATGGAAGAGACACTTTATCATCTTTTTACTAAGAAAAGATGCGGGTAGAGAATAGGTCTTCAACAACCCTTGTCTTGTCTTAAATTAAGAGACGACTATGCTTGACGTAAGAGGCGACTAAGTGAATCATGTGGACAGGCTCGCTGACTTGATTGATGCATGCCATCCTATCCCAACTACATGGATCGATGCTCATGATGTCAATTACTGGATAGTCTGGTCTAGACTTGATTATTTACAGACTGCTGTCATATAGCTGGAATATTGCTGAGTGTGGCATTAAACAACAAACAAAGACCCAAACTGCCCCAGATATTCCTAATTGCCTGAAATTGGACTCCCAAGGGGACACAACTCAATGTACAGATACCATCCTTTAGATTTCACCCTGTCGTGATCCTAAATTGGTCTGGCCATGTGGACTTCAAACAAACATATTGTGTTCACTGATGGTGTCTGTGTAGGCCCTGACAGCCAAAACAACGTCCGAGCAGACACTGGGCAAGAAGGACCAGATCAGTAAAATCGTCTACACCGAGGAGGGCAACGAAAAGGTGATGATGATGATGATGATGATGATACAGTAGCATTTTTCCTGATCATTCAGACACTTTAATCTTGAACTCGGCATTTTCAACTTCGAAATAATCAGAGTGTTTGTGTCCAGTGTTGTGAGACTTTGTAACATTTGTTCGTCAGATTGTATGGTACTTCAGACACAGATAATTATTAAATTTTTCACTCCATATGTCCCTCACTCGCGGACCCCTTCAGATAAGCTGCAAATTTGCATAAAATACACAAAATAAATCACAACAACTCAATTAACCGTGAGATGCTTGTGTACACGTACACAGTGACAGTTTCAAATTACAACCACACTATGCGTGATTGCGAAATTACCCTATGTAGCCTTTTCAGCCTGCATAACCAACTATATTTACACATCATTATTAATTTTACTGATCCAACGCAGGTATCACCTTTGCCAGTGTTATCCCAGATAAAACATTTGTGACATTGTGTTGATGTTTCAGGTCGTGCTGACTGTGGAGGCCAAGGGATTTGACTACCACGACAAGCATGAAGATCTGTTCTTCAACACCATCAAGTGGGTAGGTGCCACTCTGTCAGCCCAGGAACATTACAAGTTACAGGCTCGGAACAGAAAATTAGACATACAAGAGCCAAGATGGAGGGCGCTACTTGTTTCTATCCAACAGGCTGCCATTGTTTTTTTTAAGGGAATTTTGTGATTGCTGACACACTCAGTGACAACGTAACTTAAAGAGTGAAGAGAGAAGTAATTGTGACATGGTGACTATCAGATACCTAGTAGGGGTGAAACGCTACAGCAAGGTCACATTACGATACATATAATGATACGTCAAAATGCTTGGAAACTTCTTTCTATAGCTATTTCAGAGCCGGTTTAAAAGGAAAACCTAGCTGTAGTCACATGTTCATAGATCCTCCTATGCATGTTGTATGTACTGCTGTATTCGACGTAATAAGCCCCCAGGGCGCTCCAAAAATTAGAAATAGGGGGCTCTTATTAGAATATTATCTTGGTGAAAAAAACAGTTGAAAGAAATTTCGTGGTTTATGCTGACAGCCTGTTTATGTACGGCAGAGAGCGTATTATGCACGAATAAATAAGTCTTGTGTACATTGATCAAGCGGAAGGGTTGCTAATTGCGATCATTCACTAGCCGATATATTAGCAAATATCGCCATGGGCGCTTATTATGTCGAATACGGTATTGTTGATTTGAGAAAGAAATGATTATGTTTACGTTCTCCTGTTTATATCAAGCTCTTTGTTGTGTGTTGTTCAGTTGAAGCAGTATGACACCGAGATGACGCCATTCAAAGAGAGGTTGTCTGAATATGAAATCAGCTTCCCTCCAAGGTAAGTAAGTCCACTATATCAGGCCTTGATAAAGTAATCATTATCCCCCACCCAACAAAGTTGGTGGGGGATATAGAAATGGGCTCCGTCCATCCGTCACGTTTCGTTTCCGGAGCATAACTTAGAAACTGTTCAATATTTTTTCATCAAACTTTGCAGGTCTGTCAAGTACATGCTGAACTGGTGCCTTTTGCTGTTTAGAAATTTTTGAAATTTTTAGTTTTTACGTTTCTATGGCAACAAGATGGACTTAGGTTCTGTGAGGGTAGGGTTCGTTTCCGGAGCATAACTCATAAACCGTTCAATATTTTTTCATGAAACTTTGCAGGGCTGTCATGTACATGCTGAACTGGTGCCTTTTGCTATTTAGAAATTTTAGAAATTTTTATTTTTTACGTTTCCATGGCAACAAGATGGACTTAGGTTCCAAACTCTTCTTTTTTTTACAATTTCCATGACAAGTTCCACCTCGGTTAAAAAAGGTTAGGGTTTGTTTAGATTTAATTATGTCTTATATTCTGCAACAGGGGCGGGGGATATGGCCACGTTAATGGCAAACTCTTGTTAGAATTTAACCCCCACCTGCTCACCACCACCCATCCTCATTTTGGCATCCCATGAATCTACAGATGAAGAATATTGCTGGTGTGGTTCTTTTTTCCATTGCTTGATTCAATCCACCAAATGTGTAGTCCTACATAAACTCACTACCAAACATTCATGCTGCCTTTGAAAACACATCTGTCGACATATACATAGATGCCTTGAAACAGGTTGTTTAAAAAAGAAAAAGGTATTCATTACAAAATTATAATATTATTATAAAATAAAATAAATATAAAGCTGTTTTGATACAATGAACAGTAACAATTCTGGGATAGTGATCCAACAGACCTTGTTCAGCTGTTTCTTGTCTTTGTTTGGTCAGCTACCCTTTCAGCGAGGATGTGAATGATGGGACGTCGTACATGAAGACGCGCTGCCCCTCCTGGTGTGACCGGATACTCATTTCTCACAGTGCCAAAGATGTCATCTTCCAGGTGAGCTACAGCACAGAGAGTGTTTGGAAATATGTTCTCTTTTGTTGTGACACAGGATATGTACAAAAGATTCACGCCAGGCCACTGTTATTTATTTTCCTTGTTTTTTGGATTGTAATACTAAATTGGATGGATGGAGGCAAGAGAAATTAAATTCCAGATCAATGACAAAAACGTTTATTGGGCCATCTTCATTGGCTGGAGTAGAAAAAACACAACCTTGAAAATATTAATTTGTCCTGACTTATGTGGTAACTTCCGTTCTTTCTGACCGCCTCCGTGGTCTAGCGGTAGAGCGTCTGCCCGGAGAGCGGAAGGTCCTGGGTTCGATCCCCAGCCGCGTCATACCAAAAGACATTAAAAGATGGTACTTGTTGTTACCCTGTCTGGCGCTCGGCATTAAGGGGCTAAAACAAGGACTGGTCGGCTCGGGGTCAGTATACTGTGTCTGAGTGGGGTATTCATGTTAAACTGCGGCATGGTATCTCAGTGAACTAACACTTTAAATCGGCATCAGTCTGGACTAGTACAAGCAGCCACACAAACACACACACGTACATGCACGTCGCTATATAAGTGCAATAATCTTGGACGCGACGTTAAACCCCATTTCACCTCACCTCACCTCCGTACTTTCTTGTGTGCAGTGTTCCAAAAAACGATGCTGTGTAAAGGAGGGTACATTTAACACAGATGTACAATGAGTTCTGGTGTGTTTTCCCCAACACAAAGACACTACAACCGAATACTGATCTACAACAATACTGAATCTGTACCGAAGTGTAAAAGTTGGTTATCTTTTTTAATTAATTTTATTCAAATATCATTCAATGTAGTTCACATTACTTGTGTTGAAATTGTGTCTGAACTGATTGTGACAACTAACTGTTATTTACAGCAACCATGATCAGATTCCCGCTATTGATGCCTTGAAAGGGACAAAGAAATAAGAAATACAATTAAAATTGTAATGTCTACAATATTTGAAAAACAAGAAATACAATTGGAATGTAAAGCAGAACGTTTTATCGCTAAGTTCACATTTTCCGTTCGTTCATCTAAACCAATAACACTCAGTTTTTTACTGTGCACAATACACGAAATAGCATCTTTCCCAAAACTTGCACCCACAATGGGACTGCACATTATACACAAGTGTGCACTCATGAGTTCTCCCTTTCATGATGATTATTCAAGTTAGGAACTTTTGTCAGAATAGGTCTTCATATCCCTTGCTTCTCATAAAAGGTGATTATGCTTGTTGTAAGAGGCGACTTACGGGATCGGGTGGTCAGGCTTGCTGACTTGGTTGATGCATGTCATCATATCCCAAGTGCATGGATTGATGCTCATGAAATCAATCACTTGATTGTCTGGTCCAGACTCGATTATTTACAGACCGAGGTCATATATATAGATGGAATATTGCCGAGTGCGGCACTAAACAACAAAACAAGCAAACAAACCATGTTTAGACCCAATCTGTCCCAGATATTCCTAACTGCCTCACATTGGAGACCAAGGGGACGCAACTCTCTGTACCGAGACCATCCTGCAGCTCACCCTGTCATGACCCTTGGTCTGTCAGCATGACGATCCCCATCAAACTGGTAGCATGTCTGTGACCCATGTGGTGATTTAGTTGACAAGCTGGGAATACTGTTCAAAGCAGTGTTAATCCCAGATAGATTACTTATACTGTGTGCAATTTATCTTGTTTGTTTTCAGGATGAAAAGTTTCACCGGCCCGAGTACAGCTTAATAGGAAAGGAAGTTTGTATGGGCGACCACAAGGTTGGTGACACTCGATAGAATGTATATAGTAATTGTTTTTATTTTATTTTCAGTTTTATCAACTTATCAACTTACTCATGTGTGTATATTTACACCAGGAGCAAATTTGCATCATGTCTGGAGCAGGTGCAAATGTAAATGTAGATTTGCACTGTGTGTATATGTTGCAATGTGAACGTTTTTGTTAACGTAAGGGGATGATCTAATTAATATCTGTTCTTTTGCAAACACCAAACAAATTGTCAACAGTTGCCAACTTTTATCCGTATATACAGAGTTGAGCAGACGGTGTTTTCTTTTGGTTTCGAGGAGTCAAAACTTTGTGTACAAATTAAATCAAACACATGCTGCTTCATGCATAAATTTTCGGTGAAGTAACTCTCTTCCCATTTAACTTTGATTGGAAAACAACCTGTTTTGTGTTGGAAGTCGTAAACAGACTGACCAAAATGTGTGCATTACACAATTTACATACTTTATTTACACAGCTAAGTTGATTTTCATGTGAACGCATAGTAAATTTACATATACACAATTATGTATAGTTACACATGTGCAAAATAACTTACGTTAGTAAATGTTGTGCATGTGAACGGGGTATATGCCAGGTGTGTTGACATGACAAGCTCTGCGACATAGAGAACCTTACCCTTGTGTCTTTTTATGTCAAGTATATCAAGGCAGGTCTATACAAGTTTATAACTTTTAGCGACAAGTATGTTTTGATATCAAATGTATCAAAACGTGTCAATACAAGTTTTAAACTTTTATTGACTCACATTGATATATTTGATTTCAAAAGCCACTTATGTGTGATTCCATTTATCTTCCGAAATTATTCTTCCAACCTAACCATCTTCAGCTGCAGAAGGATGAGTGATGTCATGTGATTGTGGCGTCATTGTAGTGTTACTGCCATGGATTTATCGTTGATCCCACCCAAGTAATATGTCCCTTAGTGGAAGCCAGAGTGTATGATCATGCAAGAGCTGTTCCATTGCTGTGTCACGTGGGATTCCAGGGCAGGATCGGACCCCATGTCCAGTGTTTGTCAAAGAGGCACCAAAAGTGGGGAACAAGTCGTTACAATGTGTGACTCATAGCATCTGTTACGTCGCCAATAGGAACCACCCAGTGTGGATTCTGGGTAGAACTAGTCCCCAGCAGCCTTTGCTGGTCGTTAGAGGCGAGCAAATGGATCGGTGGTCAGCCTCCGTGACTTGGTTGATTGTATGTCTTCATACCCCAATGGCGTGGACTGGTTTTCACTTTATCAATCACTAGATTATCTGGTCCAGACTTTATTTTTTACCGACACCATCATATAGCATGAATATTGCTGTGTCAGGTGTTAAACAACAAACAAACAAACAAATCTAATTAGAACCCCTACCCTTGGATTTCAGTTGGTCTTCAGTACCCTATTGATTGTCTTAATAGGCCTCTATAAAGGATTGTGTTGTCTGGTTCTTTTACTTGACTGATTGTGGGTCATCTTACCCTATAGAGTAGATTATTCCACAGTAGAGACTGCAGATCTCTACTTTAAACCCCAAATTAAAAATATGTTTCAAGTTTTCCACCCTTATCTGGAACCCAAATCTGAATCATTTTTCTCTAGTTGAACCACAGCTTTTATCACCATCCTGTTTTTGTTCTAAATATAAATTTGATAAATTTTATGAAATAATGAAAAAAAAGACTTCTTTTTCTTAAAAATATAAAAATTATTAATTTGAACATTATCAGTTAAGTTGTAATTTATTATGGGGAGGAAGCTCATGAACAAATGTTACATGTATTGAAGAGGGGCGGATGGGGAGGTCGCAGGTCAAATGAATAGGATACAGCCTTGACACAAATCCCTTATATTCATTTGAAAGCCGACTTTTAATTTATAAAAGCCTGCAATTAATCTTTCAAGGCAAGAATAAATGAAAAAAATTGTTTCAGCTAACAATTATTTTGTTGATGGGCTGAAATAGAAAACCTAAAACCTATTTTTTAGCCTGATAACAATGCAGTAGTTAGGAGTGTAATTGTGAGTGTAATAGTGAGTGTATTGTGATGTAATCATGTTAATATGTGTATCCATCTCTCTGTTAACGCAGCCAGTGTACCTGTCCTTGCATCTGAAGCCAGGAAAAGGTAATCTCAATGAGTCGTCCCTCTCGTCCTCCACTAAAACTCCACGCAAAAAGGTGCTATCCATAAATGGGGAACATGTTGAGAGTGATGACATTACGGACATCAATATACATGACTATGCTGTATTTGAGAAAGAGAAAGATCTTGTTCCTGAATTCCGTACCAGTATTCGGACCCGCACAGAGTCTGGGACATTCATTCCTGATTCCTTGAAACCTGAACAAACTAGGGTACGCAGGAAATCTTTTCAGGAAATAGCCATGCAAGTTCGAACTTGCCAGAAAATATTAAGGGAATGGCCGCTGATTCGCATGCGCCATCATAGTTCGTCCTCGGAGGATTTCAGTGATGATGAGGAGAACAATAATGCTGAGGAAGACAAAAGTCCTAGCACCGACATCAAATCTGTTACAACTGACGTATCTCAGGTGTCTTTAGAAGTTGACGACTCGGTCCAAATGACATCTGTCTCCACCCCTTCAGCTTCACCTAGTAGTGACAATGCTAACATTAGCCCGTTGCATGGCAGTGTTACTGAGCATGCTAGGCCCAGCTTCCCTCCCAGCCAATCGTCTGGTAGCCCAACCTCGCCAGCACATGAGTGCTCCAAACTTGTTGGCAAATCGAAGGCGGACTCCGGCTCCTGCTGTTCTTCCTGTGTGTTGTTGTGACCTGATGGTGTTTGTTGTTCGTGCCTCTTCTGTTGTTATCGTGAGTTACTCACCTCTATACTTATTCCTTCAGAACAACATTCACAATGCTACACACTGTCCATACTTACCAATGGCATAGTAGGACCGCTCCAACAGCTCAGTAGATGGTGCGTCAGCTTGTCATACTGAGGTCTGAGTTTGATTCCATTTCGGGATAATTTCAAATTCTGTGCTATCCCGAGAAGCGTCTGTAAAGAGAACTATGCTCCTCAATTTCCAGTCTCTGTAAGTAATTAATGCCATAATAGAAAATTTGCCATTATCTTTGAATAAATTGGGTAATCATTACCTGCTAAGTGTATACTACTCAAAAGACACTGAAGAACACCTGATTCTTTCAAAATTACTATAGTTAATCTGTCATGCCAGAAAAAGTTGGGGTATCCTTAACTTGTTTTGAGTAGTATTGATACCTTCCACATACATGGGCATTTCTCTGTGTGAACAGTGTGTAGCAATGTGGATAACCTCTAGGAAGATATGTGGCATGTATACAGCTCAACGTGTGATAGGGATACCGAGTGTTTATTCTAGTACAATACTGTTTGATGTATCATGGAATAAGGACATCCCTATCAAGAGTTGAGTGTTATATCACCTTCTATTATACATGAATTCGCTGATGCTTTGTTTGAGAAAGCAGTTTGGAGATAAAGCTTGCTGTATGAAGCAAAGTGGAATTCTTATAATACACGACCATGTATCTTCCTAGAAGTGCAAGAACTGTAGAAATTGATGCTAAGTGAAACTGATTTGATACTTCTACAGTTCTTGTCGACAATATTCTGCTTGATTTTGATTTACTATGCAATTCAAATCTTGTGTTTGCTCAACTTTCGTGTGTATTTTCATTTCCTGCCATTTTGATTCTTTTGTCTTTTTATATGTGAGTTGTCTTTTTATTTATTTTTTATTTATTTTATATTCTATTTTTTGTATTTTATACTATATGTTACTATATTGGAGCTTGCTGAATTCCAGCTGACATATATATAGGCTGAGTTTAAGAGTTTGACATACTGGAATGACTGGCTTACTCACAGAGCATGTCTGATGTGTTGGCTGTCAGAAGGTGTGGTGGCACAGGGGGCAGTGTGGTCACTTATCATACACGTGTCCTGGGTTCTATTCCCCACATACATTGTGTAATGTTACCTTGGACTCCATTGCGATACGACACATTAGCAAGAATTCAAACATAACATTGTATCCACATACATTCAGCATTTTAGAAGCTGTAGTATCAATGAAGACAATTTACTTACAGATTTCAGACCGCCTCCGTGGTCTAGCGGTAGAGCGTCCGCCTGGAGAGCGGAAGGTCCGGGGTTTGATCCCCGGCCACGTCATACCAAAAGACGTTAAAAGATGGTACTTGTTGTTACCCTGTCTGGCGCTCGGCATTAAGGGGCGAAAACAAGGACTGGTCGGCTCGGCGTCAGTATACTGTGTCTGAGTGGGGTATTTATGTTAAACTGCGGTATGGTATCTCAGTGGGCTAGCACTATAAATTGGCATCAGTCCGGGCTAGTACAAGCAGCCACACACACGTACATGCACGTCGCTATATAAGTGCAATAATCTTGGACGCGACATTAAACCCCATTTCACCTCACCTACAGATTTCAAATTTATTCTTTCAATGAGATTGGTACAGATAATAGTAACTTTGTCACGGAAGAAGCGCTGAGTCGACTCTGGTTTAAGGTTTAAACAGTGGGGTTTCAATAGATTTGGACACAAACTGTATTAGAGTGAAGGATAATGGTCCCATTCTCAGGTTTGAAATAATTAACTCTGTTGTGATCCTGATGTAGTTAGAGCTATTTCTTTGCATGGGGTAAACAATATGGTACCATGTCCAAGACCTGTTTGTGTCGTGTTTATAGAATGTGTTGTAATTCCTTCATTTTGTCTTCCCCCCATTATCCCCAGGCTAATGGTCAACACCTGACTGGACATGACAATTTGACTCAACACCTGACTGGACATGACAATTTGACTCAACACCTGACTGGACATGACGATTTGACACTCCATCCTAAATTTATTTAGAACAAAAAAGGTGATTTCAGTATTCGTTCATCACACCAAAGACTTTTGTTCAAAGGTGCATGGGCACAGTTGGCCCCGTCGTCTAAGGCACCACATTTTGCTGTCCAGAGTTATCTCCCTTTGTCACACCAGAAGCCTATCATCATGGGTTCAAATCCCGTATCTGTCTGAATTTGTTCCAAGGTTTGTCAGCACCATACCAGTGCTCGTGGGTTTCACCTGCATCCTTTTGGGTTTTCCTCCCACATTAAGCTGACACGCCATGATAGAACTTGAATATTGTTCAAAGTGTGGTTAAACCCGCTTCACTCACTCACTCACTAACTCACTCCTACATGCAGTGCATGAATTCCAGTTTGTGTCCCATGAGCTGGAATATTGACAAAAGCAGTGTCAGACTTCTATAACTATTCCAATATTAGACTGGAAGGGTACATTGATGCTATGTTTCTCTCTCCACAAGTCTCGAGTCTGTTTGGCTGGGCTGGTATGTTATTATCTCCCTTGTGCTGGCTGTGGCAATACATTTACACTCATTAATTCTTTCATTACTAATGGAATGATGGGATGAGCGTGATCTGCTCGTAGTTTGGCTGGGCTCTTTGGCATGAGGCTTTGTAAATCTCTGCAAATCTTGCTCTACTGCCAGTGAACTGACAGTGTAATGTTCTGATCCTGGCCAGCACAGGAAGTGAGATTCCACAGACACACCAGCTACAGGTGAGACTTCACTATCTTCTCTATGTAATAAGGGTGGCCCAGTGGTCTTAGGCTATGCTATTTGCAGGGCAGAGTTGTGTCCCTTACCCCTGCCAGGATTTGCTGATTTGCCCTTGAGTAATGATCCTTGCTCTGTCAGCACCTTACTGGAACATGTGATTTACTCACTTACACTCTAGTACAGCTGAGAAATGGCTGAATAATGCTTAAAATCAATTCCTACTTGTCACATGTTTTGGGCAATGATACCTTGCACACAAGAACTTTGTTTTTCTTGAAGTTAGCTTCATGATTGTTATCCAGAGATAATGTCTGTTCCAGTTCCGACACCGAAGGCGGAGTTGGTGCAGCTCCCCGGGGCGGGGGATATCATCATTCCCAGTACACAGGTGAAGATCTCAGAGGTGGACACCACACGCTACATCCACATCAGGCAGGGGGACAGCTCCACGCGCGTCTTCCGGGAAACATCCGTATGACGGCAGAGTCTCTTGGTGTCACACAATTGTTGGCAGTTCTTTGGAGTGAGGTCTGTATGACAGTATGTCAAGCTCTTGGTGTTCTACAACTGTCATTCAACTTACAGATGTCGGGAGCCATGTCTGTATCTCCCATTCAAGTCGTTCAGTGATCTTTGCGAGGGATGTCTTCATGACTTTGTCCTTGACTACAACAACAGTGTCATGTAATCAAGTTTAGATGACCCTCTGACATCAGCAGGAGAGGCGATCTTCTGAAATCTACAGGGAAGACGACCTTCACATCTGCAGTAGAGAAAGGCCTAGTTTTGACTTATGCTGTAGATGGCAGCCAAGCTGGACTGTCCAACTATTGAGCACTTTCTGTGGGTCAGCATGACAGTGTTTTTGTGTATGACATTTTATACAGTGTCATCAAGTTGAATGAGATCATTGGCTGATCCAAAAGACAATACCTGTATGACAGCATAGTGGAGTTAGACAATCGAAACATGGACCTGTATGACATCATAGTTAGGTCAGCCAACAGAAGTAGGACCTGTATGACATCAGAGTGGAGTCAGCCAATAGAAGCAGGACCTGTATGACATCAGAGTGGAGTCAGCCAACAGAAGCAGGACCTGTATGACATCAGAGTGGAGTCAGCCAAGAGCAGCATGGACCTGTTTGACATCCATGGATGTCCCAGTTTTGATTCTTTGTGGAGCAAGCACCTGCTCTGGGGCTGTTACAGATTGTGTTGACATTGTACATGTAAGCAGGATTGGAGCCAGTGTAGTGTTTGGAGCCGTTCTGGGCAAATACTGTGGCATCCAGATCATGCATATTGTGAGAGTGACTCCAGGTCGTGTAAGAATAATTCAGATAAAAACAGCTCAGGTGTTTAAGGTACTGTGGTGAGTATACTGATGAAACAGTTTCACTTGCATATCTCTTAAATGAGTTAAAACCCAAGAAGTTGAAAAGCATCTCTTTACAAACTGAGACGTGATTGAAGCATTTGAAGGTCAACCCGGACGTAACCATGAAGGCAGTTCAAGGTTAATCCTTGTCACACTCGGACGGAACCCTGAAGGCAGTTCAAGGTCAATCCTTGTCATACTCGGACGGAACCCTGAAGGCAGTTCAAGGTCAATCCTTGTCATACTCGGACGGAACCCTGGAGGCAGTTCAAGGTCAATCCTTGTCATACTCTGACGTAACCCTGAAGGCTGTTCAAGGTCAATCCTTGTCATACTCGGACGGAACCCTGAAGACTGTTGGAGGTCAACCCTAGTTGTTTTTACACCATACATAGTGCCATATAGGAAGTCTTGTTTCTGTGCAATCATGTCATCTGAAAATTTGAGTATTGTAAAGAATGTGGTCATGTGTTTTTGTACTCCAGAAGGAGAAAAGAATTATTCATCTTTCAAGTAATGATCAAAATTAGCCTGTTGTCCAGAAAGCACCTGCTGTGTTAGGAAGGAGGGTCTAGTGTGGTGTGTACTCTCAGTGGACCAACGGTGAGTCATTGCAGTATACACCTTCCCAGCATAGGAAACATACCTAAGTCCGTTCTGGCAAATCAAGTTACACCACACATAGAGATGGGCACAGTGGATTTCTAGTCAGGTCTGTGTATCATGCCATGACAAAATTACTTCTATTTCTCAATTAAAAATATCATAAATTTGAACATTATTTAGAGTCTGGTCATTTATTAAAGGGGGAGGAAGGTGTTCATAAAATTATTTTTACATGTATTTTTTTTTTTTTTTTTTTTTTGCAGAGGGGGGTTGTGGTTTTGAAAAATGTAACTTAAAATTATGGGATGGGGGTGGGGTTGGTGTCAGCAAAATATGATACAGTAATATATAGCCCAGCAAATCTGTTAATCTGGTCTGAACATGGAATACCATAGCTTGCAACTTTCATTGTCATGTTTCTATAAATACAAAATGAAATGTACAGTGGTAGAGCGGCGCCGTGTATCACTCCACGATCTATACCAGCCTGTAATACTCCGGGTGTAAAACTTCACATCGTATACTCTTCTGGGTGTATAAACCAGCTCAGGTCATGTGTATATATATAATTTAGTCGTTTAACCATCCGTGTTGTTCATGTTGTTGTTGTTGTTGTTGTTTGTATATATGCTGTTAAAGATTGTTGTGTATTGCGGCCTGTTTCAGACTGGTCAGTAGCAGGGATGTGGTTGTAGAGCGGCAATTAATTAATGGCAAACATTTTTATGAATTTTTAGAGGGTCGACAAAACTAGAGGCATTTAGCCTGAGGTAATATATTGAAAGATCAGTATTTCTGTTGTTTACAATGGTTATGAAAAACAGTTTTTGTTAAGCATTCAAATATGTATTTTTAATACATACACCGTTAATATACTGATGGAAAGAAATTAGGGAACAGTAAGGGAATATTAGTTTCTCCTTCTTTTTTCTTTCTTTTCTTTTTTTTTCTGGGGGGGGGGGGGGCATTTGTCTGCTTGTCTGTATTTATCAAAAGGATAACCAGAGGTTGTTTCACTAATAGACTAATATATATACTATAGGCCAATATTTCAGTGATACTTTTTAATATGAAGAATCTTTATTGAAGTGGCAGTAGACAACCTCCTGTGATATTGTTGTGTTCCCTTATTTCAGATTCAGATTTTTTCTATTAGGGCTGGGGCAGGTCCAGGTTTACTACCTGGATACCCCGCCCCCCTATTGCCCGACCCTACCCGGGTACCCACCCCCCTATTACCCGACCCTACCCGGGTACCCACCCCCCTATTGCCCAACCCTACCTGGGTACCCACTCCCCTATTACCCGACCCTACCCGGGTACCTGCTGTAGGTCTCAAGACATAGGTACAAAATAGCCGATTGGGAAATATTTGACCGTACTCCTGTCAAAATAAATATAGATACACGTATAAACCGATCTGGTCATGCATACACTGAAGTTGACTGAAGTTATATCATTATGAAGGAAATTGTGTATAGTCTGAAAGAAATGTGAACATTTGTCGCTTATAATGTAACCATAGAGATCTCGATAATTTTTGCTTTTAAACAATATATCACGTGACTAACCATGGGTCCGGGTAGTCCTGTGGGTACCTGTGTCCTACTCAGTACCCACCTGACCCGAGTACCAGAGTTACCCGTCCCAGCCCTAGTTTCTATGTATATTCAGTATATTTCCAGTTCTGTTTATTCCTGCATGTGTAAAGTACTGCAGTGGGTTCTTCCTCTATACACTGACGCCTTGTTCAGTCAGTTTATTGGGAATAAACAAATCAATTTTTCTCTCAATCAATTTTCTGATAGATCAATCAACATGTGCAATGCATTTTGCCTTTGATATTCAATCTGTAATTGCATTCTTATGTGGATTTATTTTGATGAATGTATTACTACAATCAGGGCTAGTATTATGGCATGTTCAATAGATATTTTGTTTTTACTTACATACATGCACATACATATTTCTAAAATCAAAACCTTTTCATTTATTGTCCATGTGTTTCATATGCTTTCGGCATACCAAACCAATATTCTCATGTGTGTTATGCTGCCTGTATATACCTGTTTTATTGTGTTATCTACGGTTATATATTGTTGTTTCTTGTATACATCATCTCTCCACACCAGTGCATCACAAATGTGATACTAAATTGTTCTTTTCAGGAATATAACTAAAATAAGTGTGATCGAGATATTATGGCCATTATTTTGTTCAGTAATTACTCCCTTGATCACACTGCAGGAAAACGAACCGATTTTAATGTAAATTTAATGAAAGCTATATAAATATATAAAGTTGAGTTAGGCTAGTGATTAAAATCTTGCCTTGTCACGAAGACCCCAGTTTGATTCTCCATGTGGGTGAAGTGGGTGAAGGTCATTCTTCATCCCCCAATAGGGGGCACGGGTGGCCCTGTCGTCTAAGGCGCCGCGATTCGCTGTGCAGAGTTGCGTTCCTTGGGCACGCCAGAAACCTATGATTGTGGGTTCGAATCCCGGTTCGCCCCAATTATGTTTCTAGGTTTGTCAGCACCATACCCGTGCTCGTGGGTTTCACCGAAGTGGTAAACGTCTGAGACCTGCATCACTTCGGGCTTTCCTCCCACATTAAGCTGACACGCTGTGATATAACTGGAATACTGTTAAAAGCGGCGTAAAACCCAACTCACTCACCCACTCATCCCCCAATATGGTTGGAATATTAAGCAGCTTGATACCAAACTGAGTCTCCTGAAACTCTGAGAACACCGGTGATGGCTGTTGGAGCTGTTCAAACTGGTCCCTTCAGGTACAGGGGACGAGGTAGCCTTGTGGTTAAAGTGGTCGCTCGTCACGCCCACAACCTATGTTCGATCCCCCACCTGGGTACACGGTGTGATGCCTCTTTTGGGTGTCCTGCCATATTGCTGAAATATTGCTTTAAGCCGAATAAAACCATACTCACTCAAATACAGGGAAGGACAGATTACGAAAGACTTGTTATGTTTCGGCCTGGAGCTACATAGATTAATCAAAGGTTAACAGTGTGTTTCATCTGTATGATGGGTCACTGTAACTTGGCAACCCCTGAGGTTGTTAGACTGAGATTACAACACGGCCATGTTAGTCTCTGTTGTCTGGAACAGTGGTCCATAATTACTCATTGTCTGATAGTAATGATAGCAATCTCATGTCAAAGTGTTTTCGAACATGCGGATATTTTTACTACATTTTTTAATTCAGTTGTCATTATTCATTTTTGAGTTTTGATCAGCAAACATTTGTAATTGTATCCTGTACCCTAGCTTCAAGACTAATGAGACTAAAACTACAAAACTATAACCCAATTATTAATCAAGTTTGTGTTAACCATTATGTAGACACCACTCACAGCTGTAAAGTAGTTGTACAGAAAAATGTATCATTAATATTTAGGGAAATCCATTGGCAAAGAATACAATCTCCATCAAAGATCCAGGCTGTGGATCCTGATAGGGATGCTTAGTAAATCTAAGTACCAATAAACACTACATTTCTTCATTGAGTTTCTTATTAAGTTCCATCCTTGGATTTCACCAATGGATAATTCATCTGCTGGCCAGCTGGCCAGTGTGGGAGATGTCACTGCAGGAGGCAGGTGCTGCCCTCTGGAGGCATGTGCTGCAACAAGCTGTAGAGTTGCCTCCACTTACCTGCGAGTTGGTGCCAGGTTTGCAGTATGGTGCTTTGTCTATGAAGACTGTACCAGTTCCCCGGGATTGTACCATATCTGCAACTCCCTCCAACACTAAGATGACATGATGACTACCTGACACACTGTTCAAAGCAGCATTATTATCTCAGAAACCTTCGATTCATTGCTTTGTTAAACTTCCGTTCAAGGCAGCATATAGTCTGTGTCTTCAGTTGGTGTCAACATTTTAAAATTATCACCTCAATAAAAATCACTCTATCTGTTCAACTGACCAAGTTTGTGTCATTCTTTAAGATGATGTATGTATGTTTCCGGACTTGCCTGAAAGGGTTGGTCATTCAGAAAGGAGTCGAGTATGAGTGTACTCAGTTATGCTACACATAAATATCCTTACCTTTTGAATATATCTCTATCTGTTTTGCCACTAAACATGAAGTTCTATTGGTCTGGCAAGATCTTGGAATACCATAGCTTGTACTATCAAGATCATGTTTCTATAAATTTCAATGGATTGTACAGTGTCTGTTTTTTTGTTTTATTCATGGCTCCCACGTGGAAAAATTGACAAATTTGGGGCAGACAAACCATCCTCTAAACTGTGTGTCCCATCCCTTTAATCCCCCCCTTCCACTCTTGGCCAAACTCTTAGTTTTGTTCCAGTGGTCAGAGTTACCTCCCTTAGCTGCCAGGATCTATTGGTCGATGGTTCAAATCCCAGATCCATCTTGACCATGGATCAGAATAAATAATTTCCTCAAGTTTGTAACAATTATTTGAACCAAGTTTAATCATTATTGCCCTGAAATTTATCACTGAAAACAATTTTAACTTGTGTATGGTTTTAATAATTGACCCTTTTTTCAATTTTCTAAACGCTCAGGACATATATTACAGCGAATATGGGAAGTGAAATACTTTTCAGTGATGCTAGACCACACTCACTCAAGCTATATATGAACATTCAACTCCTAACACCTCTTACAAGTCACAGGGGCCGTCGGGTAGCCTAGTGGTTAAAGCGTTTGCTCGACACGCAGAAGACCCGAGTTTGATTCCCGACATGGGTACAATGTGTGAAGCCCATTTCTGGTGTCCCCCTGGCGTGATTTTGCTGGAATATTGCTAAAAGCGGCTAAAACCATACTCTTACAAGTCATGTATATCACTACCTCGACATGATTATCTCCCCTGATAAACGGTGGAGATTTCCTTGTGTGATGAAACAAAACCTGAATCAATAGATTTTAGGAAACCTAAGTTAATCCTTTCGCTTAGTTTTTCCTTGGTTCATTTTGGGGGGGCAGTTTACCTGTTTTTCTGGGGCCTATTGGTTAAAGCGTTTGCTCGTCACGTCAAAGACCCCGGTTCGATTCCTCACATGGGTTCAATGTGTGAAGCCCATTTCTGGTGTCCCGCGACAGAATTTTGCTGGAATATGCTAAAAGTCTTGTAAGACCATACTCACTCACTCACTCACCCGTTTTTGTAGCGCCAGATTGATATTCCAGAAGATGTCTGCATTGACTGTCCACTTAAAAACCTGGAAGCAAATTCAGATTAATCCCTAAACTGGGCTAGGTCATTAGTTTATCAGTTGGTACTAAAAACATTTTGTATATTTTGTTCATATGTACTTCTTATTTTCATCCATCTACATATACTACTCAAAAGAAGTTAAGGACCACCCAATTCTTTCATATTACAATAATTTATCATGACATTAACTGAGTAATATGAAAAAATCATGTGGTCCTTAACTTCTTTTGAGTAGTATATGTAGATCACTTTAAGTATGTATAATTTGATTCAAGTTGATGGCGTCCTGTTCAGGGAGTGTTGAAGTGTATGTTTCAGAGTCTGTGAAAGGGTAAAGTGTGCTGTTGTGTACATGTCATCAATTGTTTGTCCTTTTTTGTGCTCATCCTTGTTTTGCTTGTATGAAAGTTCCATTTGGACATAATATGAAAATGTATTGCATAATTAGATTCTCATTGTCATATAGAAACGAATGTCACAATATTGGACTGTGGTGATATGTCAGAGCTGACCCTGTTCCATGATTGTCAGAGGAGCTTATTCAAATGAGTTGTGGACGTCTTGGTTAAGCGCAATCTCATTAAAATCAGATCTTAGTTCTCGCTACTGCTAAACAAAGATCTGAGGACACCCTATTACGGGTCACGTCAGACCGACCTTTCGCGAACTTTGACCGACCAATGGAATGACTGACAAGAATTTGACATTAGCCAATCAGAAAGCAGCTTTCTCGTGCTTTACGGCACTAATGTCTAATTGGCGACTACGCTTAGAAACATATTTTGACAAAGTCTCGATTAAAAAATTGAAACCTGAATAAAAGAACATTCTGGAATGGCAAATAGAAGGTCTAGCTTGTATGGATTCAGTCGTATTAAAGCCTGTAACTATTGTTCGGAATACCCGTGTTAAAGTTTTCGAGGCTACATGATTAGGAATCACATTCCGACTGTCACTTTATGATCTGGGAAGCAACGCTCTGATTGGTCGGATGAAAGGTCGCTCTGACATGACCCCTCATGGGATGTCCGCAGATCTTTGTTTAGCGGTAGTGAGAACTAAGATCTGATTAAATGAGATTGGGTTAAGCGTTGCGTGGATTGTTGCTCATGCAAACCATGTTTGCCAACCAGGACTCATTTACTTACAGGCCGCTATGAATATTGCTGGACACCAGTGGTAAACAATAATCACTATACACTTGCACTTCTGGTCAAACCCCAATGAAACCACTTGAAGATCCGGGGTAGAATAGGTCTTCAGTAACCAATGCTTGCCATAAAAGGCAACTATGCTTGTCGTAAGAGGCGACTTACGGGATCTGGTGGTCAGACTTGCTGACTTGGTTGAGGCATGTCATCATATTTCAATTGCGAAGATCGATGCTCATGATATCAATCACTGGATTGTCTGGTCCGGCCCGGCCCAATTATTTAAGGATCGCTGTCATATAGATGGAATATTGCTGAGTGTGACGTTAAACAACAAACAAACAAACAAACACTTGTTTTACTTTAAGAGACAGCTTCAATAAACGGGTTCTCAGTCTCCTAGAACTGTGACAGACCATCAGTGTGATAAGTGACTTTGTAACCTACAGCAGCATTAGTCACTGTGAAGAGTTGCTGAGTCAGCATCATAGGTTAAAAAAATCTCAGCTTCCCTGGGAATACAAACTTCAGGACATATGTACTCGAGTTTAACCATGTAGTAATAGGTATTTCTTCCACATTTAGCTGGCCTGTCATGATATTACTGAAATATTCTTTTTACAGGAGTGTTTAATTCCCCTCAATTCAACAGATTATCTCTGCAGAACTCTCTGGGTATATTTGTGTCGATACGCTACGATATCCTCTAAATACAACTTGTATTGGGTGGAAGTGCCTGTAGGCTAATGCACTGGCTTGTCACGTCCTCGAACCAGACTGGTTGCCCCACATAGGTACAATGTTGGTATCCACCCCTTCACGTATTATTCATCTTGATGTCATGTTGGATATTTCCTCATGTCCTAGACCCTATTGATCAGGTTGTCCACTGCACAAACTGGACGACTGTGAAGTTTTGTCAGTTTCAGTGTTAATCTTTGACCATTACTGTAAATGTTTTTTGGCATGTGTGTAGCATGAGTTATGTCCCTTGAAGGTGAGATTGTCTTGGAGATTCTCTGTCCCAAGATGTTATGTCCCATAATTTAGTGTATGACATCACACTATGGGACGGATTCTGTGTGTCAGCAGGTTTAAATTTCCTCTTTTCTCTTGATGTTTATTCAAATTATCACTCCAATCTTGAAGTCCTGTTTTTTAATGTCAGTCTGTAAATTGCAGTTTGAGACTGAGGTAGAAATTTACACTTATGACACATTGAACATTTTGTATGCATTCATGACTTTATGTATAACATAAACATAACGTCTTTTTCAAGCCATCATGATCAAACCTGCAGTTACTTCAGTGTGTTACCATGGTTACTCGTGGCAGCACACATCTCCCTAACCTAAGTGCGAGCCACCATACTTTGTCTACATCAAATGGAAAGTAAAGCTTCTGTTAATACATTAACTTGTGTTGTGTCTTTTGTCGATTTCTAATATTACGTTTTATTAGACATGGAGAATAAGTGACTGAGGTCCTTGATTATCCATTGTATTACACCTCCATAATGATGAATACATGCCTGGACCCTTTCCCTACCATCACCAGTAGCCTGAACTATCATTGTGATGTAGCCTGACACAAAACTGACCATAGCTACATAGCCCAATATAAAACCTTTCAGAGCGACATAACCTCATACAAAACCTATCAGAGCAACATAACCTCTTACAAAACCTACCATAGCGACATAACCTCTTACAAAACCTACCATAGCGACATAACCTCTTACAAAACCTACCATAGCAACATAACCTCTTACATAACCTACCATAGCGACATAACCTCTTACATAACCTACCATAGCGACATAACCTCTTACAAAACCTACCATAGTGACATAACCTCTTACAAAACTTACCATAGCGACGTAGCATGATATAAATACTACCATAGCAATGTAGCCTGAAACAAAACCTACCATAGTGATGTAGCCCTCTTACAAAACCTATCAGAGCGACATAGCCTCATACAAAACCTACCATAGCGACGTAGCATGATACAAATACTACCATTGCAACGTAGCCTGATACAAAACCTACCATAGCGACGTAGCCCATGACAAAACCTACCATAGCGACGTAGCCTGATACAAAACCTACCATAGCGACACAGCCCATTACAAAACTTACCATAGCGACGTAGCCTGATACAAAACCTACCATAGCGATGCACCTGATACAAAACCAACCACAGTAACATAGCTACACCAACCATAGCCACCACCAAAGTTACATTGATGTGAGAGAGAGATCCTGTGCTAAGATACCAGGAGCACAGATGGAGACCACATTTCCTGAAACATAGCTTGTGAATGGGTCGAGTGTATTCATCATTATACAATGGAGACATTATGAACTGGTTAATCAAGGATGGCAGATGGAAGGAGAGAGTGTAGCTGACTCTGCTTTGAGCAGTTTTTCAAGGATGTCATCGTGTATTGCCTTAGTCACGACAAGAAAGCAGTTTGATCTGGGATTCAGACTCACAATCTGTAGGTTCCTGCCAAGGGACATAACTCTACATATGAAGTTCAGACAACTGTCCAAGCTATGCCCAATGTTAGTGGATTGTTCATGTAACCGTGAGCAGGTGGAGTGAGTCCGTGGGTGACTTGGTGAACGCCACAGGTGGTAACATATTCCAGCTATACCATGGCACTCTGTAAATATTCACCAGAAAAACCAGTGACTTGGAGACCAAGTAATATATCACCTACATCAGCACATGACAGGAAATCAGCCAAGTCACTGAGCCGGAGACCCGTGACGATCCAGTGGAGAATAGGTCTTCAGCAACCCATTCTTGAAGGAAAAGGCAACTAACAGGATCAGGTGGTCAGGCTTGCTGGCTTGGTTGATGGATGTCATCATATTTCAGTTGTGTTGATCGATGCTCATGATGTCAATCACTGGACTGTCTGGTCCAGACTCGATTATTTACACACCGCCGTCATATCCTCTTTAGTTGTTCGGTACCACAAGCATAGGATTATGCAAACTTTGCTTCCAGAATCAACACATGGCAGCCACAAGTCTGGTTAGACAGGACTAACACCAAGTTTCTGAAAGGTATGTCCCACAAGATGTGACAGATGCTTGAAGTCGTATTTGACATGTTTATTAATGTACAAGTATCTACAGAGATATACAAGTACCTCCCTATGCAGTGATTACTCTACATGGAAGACCAAGTAACATACATTCTGGTTACTACTCTTATCAGTATGTTGTCAGTTCTACAAAATATAGGTATTATTGTACTTTTAGACATGATTCTTAAAGCTGTTCATCCAGAACTTTGCTGTCTTCAGCTGGTTCATGTCATGTTAGATATTCGGTGACAGCTATGAACTGTTGTCCAGCTGTTGCACCAGCTGCTTGGCTCTTCCCACCAGCTGTTGACACACCCCCTTCTGTCCCTCAACTGCCACCTTCAGCTCCTCCATCTCACATGACACCTGTAACATATGACATCACTTGACATCTGTAACACATGACACCTGCAACATTTGTAACACATGACATCACATGACTCCTGCAACATGACATTCACATGACACCTGTAACATATGACACCTGTAACAGATGACACCGGCAACACATGACATCAGATGACACCTGCAACACAACATTCACATGACACCTGCAACACATGACACCTGCAACAGGACATTCACATGACACCTGCAACAGGACATTCACATGACACCTGCAACACTTGCCATCACATGACACCTGCAACACCACATTCACATGACACCTGCAACACTTGCCATCACATGACACCTGCAACATGACATTCACATGACACCTGCAACACATGACACCTGCAACACATGCCATCACATGACATCTGCAACACATGCCATCACATGACACCTGCAACACGGCATTCACACGACACCTGTAACATGACATTCACATGACACCTGCTAGGGTTGCGACCGGGCACGAAAACTGTACTCGAGTACCCGGCAGACAATACCCGAACCGGACTCGAGTACCCGTAGTTCAATGTTGTCCCACTTGTTTGTAATGCTTTTGCGAAAAAAAGGTCATCAAACATCTATTGATCTATTCTAAGGTATAATGGGTTTTTTTAAATGCCTGCATGGCTTACCTAAAACCACAAGTGACGCAGAATATCAAAGTAAATGCTCTTGTGTTTAAAACTTAGATGCTTTTTCATGGAACTCGTCGAACTACCTGCGTAGCTGATACATATGCCACAGAGACGGCATTTGGTCTTTTTCTTTGTGTCATCAAGGTCAAAATACACCCAAACATTCGAACGTTTGTCTGCTTTGTCGTCCATTTTGAAGTGACTTACGAGTTATCTCCCCTGAACGGGTACTCGAGTCCTGAAAATTGGACTCGAGTCCTAGGCTACCCGACCCGTTATCGGGTACTTGAGTACCCGTCGCAACCCTAACACCTGCAGCATTATGAAGCCTGAAACAAATGACCAGAACACACAGTTGGGCCATCTTTTCAATACACTACAATCATCTCATCTAAGACCACCCAGTAGACTTGTCTCTTCAGTCCAAGTATAGTCCTCTAACACAACCTAGTAGACCAGTCTATTCATTTCAAGAATAGTGCTCTAAGACCACCCAGTGGAGCAAACTATTCATTCCTACTATGATACTAAGACCACCCAGTATAGCTGTCTATTCTGTCCAACAATAGTCCTCTAACACCATCCAGTACATCAGTCTATTTAGTTCATGTATAGTCATCTAAGAAGGCCTAGTACACCTGTCTATTCAGGCCAAGTACAGTCACCTAAGACCACCCAGAAGGCGTGTCTATTCAGTCCTAGCATAGTCATTTACTATACATCTAAGACTACCCAGTAGAGCCAAATATTCAGTCCTACTGTAACATCTCAGATCACCCAGTACAGCCAACTATTCAGTCCTACTTAACACATGAGACCATCCAGTAGAGCCAACTATTCAGTCCTACTACAACATCTGACACCACCCAGAAGAGCCAACTATTCAGTCTAACTATGACATCTAAGACCACCAAGTAGAGCCAACTATTCAGTCTTACTATGACATCTAAGACCACAAAGTAGAGCCAACTATTCAGTCTTACTATGACATCTAAGACCACCAAGTAGAGCCAACTATTCAGTCTTACTATGACATCTAAGACCACTCAGTAGAGCCAACTATTCAGTTTTACTATGACATCTAAGACCACCCAGTAGAGCCAACTATTCAGTCCTACTATGATATTTAAGACGACCCAGTAGAGCCAACTTGTTTGTTTGTTTGTTGTTTAACGCCGCACTCAGCAATATTCCAGCTATATGACGGCGGTCTGTAAATAATCGAGTCTGGACCCGACAATCCAGTGATTTATATCATGAGCATCGATCCACGCAATTGGGATCGATGACATGCATCAACCAAGTCAGCGAGCCTGACCACCCGATCCCGTTAGTCGCCTTTTACGACAAGCAGAGTCACCTTTTACGGCAAGCATGGGTTGCTGAAGACCCATTCTACCCCGGAATCTTCACGGGTCAGTAGAGCCAACTATTCAATCCTACTATAACATCTGAGAGCACCCAGTAGAGCCAACTATTCAGTCCTACTATAACATCTGAGAGCACCCAGTGGAGCCAACTATTCAGTCCTACTTAACACATGAGACTATCCAGTAGAGCCAACTATTCAGTCCTACTATAACACCTAAAACCACCCAGTAGAGCCAACTATTCAGTCCATGCATTCAGCATTAGAAATTGGCACTAGTCCTTTAGTCCTTGTCAAACGGCACAATAGTCAAGGTACCATAAGGACTAGTTAAAATTTGCCATTTTTAAGGGTTTTGCTACAAATTTTATCAAAAGCGAAAGTAGACTTAAAACTTTAGTTTCTATCACTGGCATCACAGGGAAAGGTGTCTTACATCCTGTAGTTCATGTTTGGCGTTGACCACATCCTCATCAGCTTCGCCTCCAGCCTCTTGCAGCTGGTCCTTCAACCAGCCAGCCAGCTGCCGCTGTTGCTTTGTCAGCCTCCTATAAAACAACAAGGCGGAGATATAAAACAACACAGTGTACATGGAAACACTTTGTTTGTCTGTTGTTTAACGCTGCACTCAACAATATTCCAACTATGATGGCTGTCAGTAGATAATTGAGTCTTGACAAGACAATCCTGTCATTGACATCATAAACATCGATCTAGCTATTGGGATACAATGACATGCAGCAACCAAGTCAGCAAGCCGTCAGGCCCGTTTGTGGCCTCTATCAACAAGTATGGGTTGCTGAAGACCTAGCCTAACCTGGGTCTTCACAGGTGTAAACAGTAACAATGCAAGGTGAGGTGAGGTGAAATTGGGTTTAACGTCGCGTCCAAAATTATTGCACTTATATAGCGACGTGGATGTACGTGTATGTGTTTGTTCGGCTGCTTGTACTAGTCAGGACTGATGCTGATTTATAGTGCTAGCTCCCTGAGATACCATGCCACAGTTTAACATGAATACCCTACTCAGACACAGTATACTGACCAGTCCTTGTCTTAGCCCCTTAATGCCGAGCGCCAGACAGGGTAACAACAAGTACCATCTTTTAACGTCTTTTGGTATGACACGGCCGGGGATTGAACCCCGGACCTTCCGCTCTCTGGGCGGACGCTCTTCCACTGGACCACAATGCAAGGAGAAGCTCAGGAAGTATGACTAAGTGAATGTTGCTTTATGCAGCAATCAGCAACATTGGGTATGATGACACACAATCAGTCATACACACATTGTGACCATACCGTCTTCATTTCAGTATGCATTTTATGTATATTAGATCAAAATTGTCTTCCAATCACTTCACATACGATTTCACGGAAATGAATGTAAACAATATTGAATGAAATTTTTAATAAAATTAATAAAATAGATTACAAACTTAAGTCCAGAAATTCAATGAACATTTTTTATAACCAGACAGTGTAATTACATGATTAGTTTGCGTACTTCAGTACAGATTTGTTGACATGGTATTTCTGGTGTTACGTGCTCACAGTAATGTCTTTGTGTTGGGGGAAAAACATCAAAACTCTTCAACCCTGTGTACAAGATGACCGACCATGAAAGACCCCTAATTCTAGGTACCAAAAATCTTATACACAGCAATATACAGTACTCTTTGCAGTTACTTCATATTATCATGTAGTAACTATACTGGAAAAGGGTCTCTAGCTCTACATTTGGAACAGAAAATCACATGGTATATTTTAATAACCAACCTTAGCCTCTTCTTCATCTCATCAAAAGATTTCAACCGATCACGGATCTGAACAATTTCCTCTGCTGGAGACAGGTTGACCTTGACCTCTGACTGCTTTAGGTCCATGACAGTGGAGAGGTCAAGGTACATGTTGGTCCCCTTGTGTCTGTCTACGTTCCTGGCGCTGGGAGGGTGTGTGTCCGACGATGTGTCCAGGTGATACCTGTTCTGGGAGGAGTCAAACGACACTCTGTCCCCATTCCTGGCTGGGAACTCCTCCGGTCTGTCCGACTTCTTGATGAAATCATCTGGGGTGAGGAGCATGGGTTTCCCGGGAGTCAGGTCGTCAAGGTTACCGCTGATGATGTTTCTCTCCGGCCTCCATGACTGATCTGTGTGGTGCTCATGGCGCCTGCCGGCCTCACCTTTTGGGGAGGAGTATAGGAGAGGGTTACCTGTCAGGCAAAGATTGCTACCATCAAATCATAGTGAGTGTTGATTTTAGCCTGCTTTGAACACCTTTTTAGTTATGCAACAGCTTGTCAGCTTCATGTGGGAGTGAGTGAGTTGTGTTTAACACCACTTTTAACAGTATTCCAGTTCTATCGCGGCATGTCAGCTTAATGTGGGAGGAAAGCCCGAAGTGATGCAGGTTTCAGACGTTTACCACCTCGGTGAAACCCACGAGCACGGGTATGGTGCAGAGAAACCCAGAAACCAGGATTCGAACCCACGATCATAGGTTTCTGGCGTGCCCAAAGGACACAACTCTGCACAGTGAACTGTGGCACCTTAGACGACTTGGCCACCCGTGCCCCTGCTTCATGTGGGAGTCATGATTAAAACTGGATCAGAATTCTGTGAGCACTTTTCAGAGTTATCACTGTTGGGATCATACATACAAAATTTCATCCCTATCAGCAATGCGGTTTCAGTGATTTTAAGTGAGCTAAACATGACAGATTATTAAAGAGTACATAAACAGTGTTCTTGTTTACTAGTAATTACCAGTTTTTTACCAGTAAATTAGGCATGGACCAGTAATTCATGTAACTGTCAGTCTCTGTGGACTGGGAAATAAAGTACCTTATAAATCTTTGTTGTTGAACAAAAACATCAGCGATAATCAATAAAGCATATTTTCGAAAGATGTCAGCTTGTCTTTTATCATCAGGCCTTCGTGTTCTCTATTTTTAGTACAAGGAATTGACATTTCGCTTTGCTTTGAGGGTAAATATCAATATGCAATGACTTAGTCTCGAACCACAGTGAAACATTGTAAACGTAAAGGGAGAAAACTGTGACTATGTGAATGACATGAAGATCTAACTCAGCTCCTTTAGAGATGACGCCATTGGATTTGTCAGCCAAGAACGTACACTGCATTGAGCATGATGTTGAAAGAAATAAAACCAGAAATTTTCATATGTTTTTTTATTTGTTCAAAGTTGGGACTGACAAAAATTGAGGGGGACTGGTAATTTTTAGAGTTGCCAGTCCACTTTGGCTGGCAGTTTCAAAAGTCATTGGGAACACTGCATACCTGCTGCTTCTGGTATGGGACCAGTGTGGTGTGGGACCAGTGTGGTGTGGGACCAGTGTGGGATGGGACCAGTTTGGTATGGGATCAGTGTGGTATGGGACCGGTGTGGTGTGGGACCAGTGTGGTATGGGACCAGTGTGGTGTGGGACCAGTGTGGTATGGGACCAGTGTGGGATGGGACCAGTGTGGGATGGGACCAGTGTGGTATGGGACCAGTGTGGGATGGGACCAGTGTGGTGTGGGACCAGTGTGGGATGAGACAGTGGTTGACCTACCTGATGGCTGTGATCTCTGTGTGCTACAAGTGGGAGACACAAAGTTGGCAGGGGGAGCAAAGTCTGTGTCTGAGGTGCTGGAGAGATGAAGGTTGTGGACTGGGCCCTGATCATGCGGCCCCACCCTGGGGCTGTGTCCTGGGCCCTGACCCTGGTGGCCTACCCTGGGGCTGTGTCCTGGGCCCTGATCATGCGGCCCCACCCTCGGGCTGTGTCCTGGGCCCTGACCCTGGTGCTCCACCCTGGGGCTGTGTGAGTGTCGACTGGGGAAGGACACCTCGTCCTGGGCCAGCATCAGTGTGGCGTGTGGTTGGGATGTGGGTACTGTAGGACCAGGCACAGTTGAGGCATGAGGGGTCAGTTGCTGGGCTGCGTGGAGGTGAGGAGGTGGTGATGCAGCAGGTGGTTCTCTCAGCTCAACCACATCAGACCTGGACAAAGATGTACATGTAATCATCATACAAAGCAGGATGACACATCTAAAAACATATTGATCAATCTTTTATAAACATTTAAAAAAAAAAAATCATGTAATTTTTCTCAACATACCAGGTACCTTTGCACAAGAAATCTTAACCCTATGATTGTCATAAGCCCATGTTAAAGTATGGGAGTTAGACACTAAGATCCCCATGCATAACTTGGCCCAGCATATTTTGGACTGCATGAGTGCTGTTTACGCTAGAGGTCAGCCATATCATGACCTGTAATCAAATAAAGGGTCAATTTAACTTCTGGCCCATGGCCCATGACCAGCAAAAATTACAAAGGGTTTGCTGAAATGTAAAGTAGATGACCTGCCTGGATAGTCAAAATTTCACCCCTTCTCCGTGTATTATTTAATTTTTTGAATTGGATCATCATAGAAGAATGACAACTGACCACCATTTTGTAAATCTCAATGAAATGAGGCAAATGGGAACCAAAATTTAGTCACAGAGTGCAGGAAAAAACGTTTTAGGGGTGAGGAGTTCTTAAATCTTTAGAGCCTTTTAGTTGTAGGCCAGCTAGTTTCTAGAAGGGCCAGTAACTTTCAAAAGGAGCAAGCCCTGCTAGCAACACACAAATCTGTTGTTAAATATACCCCTGTGTCGGAACAATACTCACGTCTCATACACTGAAGCATACAGCCCTGCTCGCTTCAGGGACTCAATGAGGAATGCAGGTTGCCTTGGCCGCGCTCTCTCCCTCCGAGACGAAGGTGCAGGCCTGCACAGCAACACATGCATAAGAAGATGAAGACTTGACCGCAACACTATTCAGTCTGATTTTGAACATTTTCAATAATGTGTTATATCATTTATCTTTTTAATGTAATGTCTCATTGAAATTGTTGTAGTTTTACATACCCGTCACCTTGTCCTATCTCCGGTCTGTGGTGAGGTCTACATGGCGACATGGTCTGTGTCAGGTTTGGTAAGGGGGCACCTGCTCTCTGTACCGGAAGGGGAGGGTGGGGCACTGAGGCCTCTGGGGCGTGGGGATTAGGCTGGAAGGGTAAGGAATGGAAGTCGGAAAGGTGTTGTGGGAAGCTGGTCTGTTGAGAGGAATGCTGGACGTGGGGCTGAGAAGAGGGGTGGGGCTGAGAGGAGGGGCGAGGTCGAGGGGGCAGGGGACCACCCCTCACTTCCCGCCTACGAGCTGTCATGTATTTCCAGTGTAATGCACACTTCTGCACAACTTGGAAGGTGTCAAATACACTCTGAAAGAAGGAATATTCCAATTACAATAAGAAGGCAATTTTTTGATAATTTTATAAAAAACAAACAGTTTTATCCATAATATTACTGTCATGATCATACAACTTCTATATGTCTATAAGGTGATAAAAAATAATAGTCTTGGTTCTCAGGCACTGCCTACATCATCATAAAGTTCATTACATGTTTCGGTTTTGTTTCCATTTTCAATTTTTTTTATGCATTGTGTTTAAGTATAAGGATTTTTTGATTTTTTTTTAATGGAAATGAAAACAAAACGTGCAGCAGACTTTATGATAATGCGGGTGGTGCCTGAGAACCAAGACTATTATTTTTTTTAGCCTAAAGACTCTCATATATATTTACTGTGAGTCTGTGACACAAAAACAACGAATACCGTATTCAACGTAATCAGCTCTAATAAGCGTCCACGGCAATATTTGCTTATATATTGAATAGCTAGTTAACAATCACAATTAGCACCCCTTCCAATTGATCAATGTACACAAGACTTATTGTCTTGTACGTAAGTACTGACAAGGAAACTATGCTGCATGTATGTGAGCTGAACCTACCTTGGCTTGTTGTTGTGCTGCAAACTTGGCTCTCATGTCCGCCAGGTCATTCGAGACCCGCAGCCACTGGGCAGCACCGTCACGTAGTAGACGGAGTCGTCTCCCCTCCAGAGCTACCACAACCCTCTGCTTCTTTCTTTGTCTCTCCTGACTGTACACGTACCACGCCACCACAGACTGCAGATAGGAAGTCATGGCTATAGAAGTGTAAAACTGTTTGTTTGTTGTTTAATGACGAACTCGGCAATTTTTCAGCTACATGACAGTGTAAATAAATAATCAATTCTGGACCCAACATTCGATACTGTGAGTAACAATCCACACCTTGGAGGCATGATGACACACCAACAACGTCACCGAGCATGTATGACCACTAATCAAATTTGTAACCTCTAACAACCAGCGTCGGATGCTTGGGACCAATTCAAACCCAGAAACTCCCAGGGTTGTAATAGTAGGTGAGGTGAAATGGGGTTTAATGTCACGTCCAAGATTATTGCACTTATATAGCCATGTGCATATTTGGCTGCTTGTACTAGCCTGGACTGATGCCAATTAAGAGTGATACCATGTCGCAGTTTAGCCCCTTAATGCTGAGCGACAGACAGGGCAACAGCAAGTACCATCTTTTAACATCTTTTGATATGACAGCTATTATTACATGAGAGAACGGACTGTTGACGTATGCATGCACTTGTACAGTCATCCACTCACCTTCTTGAGAAGCACAAGGCTCCAGTGCCACAGAGCAAGGCCTGTTTTCTGTTTCATCTCCCCCGACTCGGCCATCCTCTCCTTCCACATCAGAAACGACTTGGCCGTCAGACGGACATTCAGGAACCAGGTACTCTGTCTCCGGAGAAGCTGAGGAGAGGAGCAGGGAGACTGACCACATGCCTGGACATCAACTCACTCACTCACACTGACCACATGCCTGGACATCAACTCACTCACTCACACTGACCACATGCCTGGACATCAACTCACTCACTCACTCACTCACTCACACTGACTACATGCCTGGACACTCACTCACACTGACCAGATGCCTGGACATCAACTCACTCACTCACTCACTCACACTGACCACATGCCTCGACACTCACTCACTAACTCACACTGACCACATGCCTGGACATCAACTCACTCACTCACACTGACCACATGCCTGGACATCAACTTACTCACTCACACTGACTACATGCCTGGACATCAACTCACTCACTCACTCACACTGACCACATGCCTGGACATAAACTCACTCACTCACACTGACTACATGCCTGGACATCAACTCACTCACTCACTCACTCACTCACACTGACCAGATGCCTTGACATCAACTCACTCACTCACTCACACTGACCACATGCCTGGACATCAACTCACTCACTCACTCATTCACACTGACTACATGCCTTGACATCAACTCACTCACTCACTCACTCACTCACACTGACCAGATGCCTTGACATCAACTCACTCACTCACTCACACTGACCACATGCCTGGACATCAACTCACTCACTCACTCATTCACACTGACTACATGCCTGGACATCAACTCACTCACTCACTCACACTGACCACATGCCTGGACATCAACTCACTCACTCACTCATTCACACTGACTACATGCCTGGACATCACTCACTCACTCACTCACTCTGACCACATGCCTCGACACTCACTCACTAACTCACACTGACCACATGCCTGGACATCAACTCACTCACTCACACTGACCACATGCCTGGACATCAACTCACTCACTCACACTGACCACATGCCTGGACATCAACTTACTCACTCACACTGACTACATGCCTGGACATCAACTCACTCACTCACTCACACTGACCACATGCCTGGACATAAACTCACTCACTCACACCGACTACATGCCTGGACATCAACTCACTCACTCACTCACTCATTCACACTGACTACATGCCTGGACATCAACTCACTCACTCACTCATTCACACTGACTACATGCCTGGACATCAACTTACTACTCACTCACACTGACTACATGCCTGGACATCAACTCACTCACTCACACCGACCACATGCCTAGACATCAACTCACTCACTCACACTGACTACATGCCTGGACATCAACTCACTCACTAACTCATTCACACTGACTACATGCCTGGACATCAACTCACTCACTCACACTGACTACATGCCTGGACATCAACTCACTCACTAACTCATTCACAATGACTACATGCCTGGACATCAACTTACTACTCACTCACACTGACTACATGCCTGGACATCAACTCACTCACTCACACCGACCACATGCCTGGACATCAACTCACTCACTCACACTGACTACATGCCTGGACATCAACTCACTCACTCACACTGACCATATGCCTGGACATCAACTCACTCACTCACTCACTCACACTGACCACATGCCTGGACATCAACTCACTCACTCACTCACACTGACCAGATGCTTTGACATCAACTCACTCACTCACTCACACTGACCACATGCCTGGACATCAACTCACTCACTCACTTACGCTGACCACATGCCTGGACATCAACTTACTACTCACTCTAACACTGACCACATGCCTGGACATCAACTCACTCAACTCACTCACACTGACTACATGCCTGGACATCAACTCACTCACTCACTCACGCTGACCACATGCCTGGACATCAACTCACTCAACTCACTCACACTGACCACATGCCTGGACATCAACTCACTCACAACTTCAATACATTGCATTGCCTTCATTAGTCATCAATATATCTTTGAACATAATTAATAATTTCACAGGACACAAAGTGTGTGTAGATGAAACTGTAATTTTATGAGTAAAACACAGAGTCCTGCTCTCTGTGCCGGAACCCAGGATTGAACCGGGGGCTTTTAGACCTGCAGTCTAGTGCTCTCCAAACTTAGCTATTCCAGACGATCAATATCACATCTACTACTTCTTTAGAAGTGACATTACACATGTACTGCAATTTATCAGAATGAAGTTACAGCCACATCAACTGGCAATGATCAATCACCACCTCACACAATTTCACTCAACTTTCACTCACACACACACAGACATGCAGACAGATAGACACACACACACACACACACACACACACAGACAGACAGACAGACACACACACACACACACACACACACACACATGCAGACAGATAGACACACAGATGCAGACCTCAAACACACACAGATAGACTCACTCACACACACAACACGCACATACACACACGCACGCACGCACACACACACACACTCGCAGATAAATACACATAGACTCACAAGGACACACCGACTACTCACAGTTTTCCTGATGTTCAGTTTGGTGTAATCCCTCCACTGCAAGACAGCTGCTCTCATGACAACATGTTGGTGATGTTCCACAGCTTGCTGCCACCGGAGTCGTCCAATAACAGCCGCATCTCTGGCGTCACACCATTGCTGCAGGTACCGCCGCAGCTTACCTAATACACACCAAGATAAACGCTGATGGGGGATACAAAACAACGGAACCGCTATAAATATAGGATACCTTGGAAAAACTACCCATTATTGTTCCTATAAAAAGAAAATCACAGAATCATCCCCACTAACCGAGTTCACATGCCCCATGGAGACTATTTTTCAGCTACTGCTATTTCAAAGATGTTTGCATGTCTGTATTCACAGAAGATACTAAGATATAGTATATCAATGAAATATGTTGAACGTTTTTCAAGTTATGGCACGGAAACGAACCCTACCCAAGTTTGAAACAAAGTCGAATTTGTTTCCATGGAAATGTAAAAAATACAATTTGGAAAAATACAAAATAGCAAAAGGCATTAGTTAAGCTGACAAGTAAGGCATATGCCAAGTTCCGTAGAAAGACATTGAATGTTTGTCAAGTTATGGCTCGGAATAGGATGGGAATGCCGACGCCCACACCAACGCAAACAGGAACCGAGCCAAAAGCTCCCCTTCGGGTGGGGAGACATAATTATCAAGGCAAAGAATAGTGAAATTCAACTGAAGTAGGTGATGTAGTCTGTGTACATTGAAATAAGGGTGTCACTTGGTGCTTGGTGCACTCATTAACTACCGCCCCAAATTCAAACTCCAGCTGGGAGGTATATATATGGAAATCAATGACAGAGTTAACAGTAAAAAAAATTCAACCATTTATATCTCAGAAAACATCCTAATGTCTATATGTTAATGTTTTAGCAAAACACATACTTTCACTTTCACATGCTGCCCTCAATTTCTAATGTGCTCCAACATTCTGTTGATGATGCTACACAATTCCATGATGTCATGCATGCGGTGACAATACAGTGACATTAAAGTTACATTACATTACATTACATTACATTACATACACAAGCACACAGACCAACAGACACATGCATGCACGCACCCACGCACTTGCCGACTACGCATAGCGCTATATATAGCACTAAATTTCCAGCTCACGCTGCTTAAAAGCGCTGTCCTACACATTACACTCGACCCGGGGTAGAATAGGTCTTCAGCAACCCATGCTTGTCGTAAAAGGAGACTGACGGGATCGGGTGGTCAGGCTCGCTGACTTGGTTGATGCATGTCATCAATCCCAATTGCGTGGATCAATGTTCATGATGTAAATCACTGGATTGTTTGGTCCAGACTCGATTATTTACAGACCGCCGTCATATAGCTGGAATATTGCTGTGTGCGGCGTAAAACGACAAACCAAACCAAACACATTACACTCATTCACTTCACCATAAGCAGTATGTGACTTGTCCTTAAATGGGAACTTATTCACATACTCACATATCCTACATTGATTATCGTGCGTGAGTATGGTTTTACGCCGCTTTTAGCAATATTCCAGCAATATCACGGCGGGACACCAGAAATGGGCTTCACACATTGTACCCATGTTGGGAGTCTAACCCGGGTCTTCGGCGTGACGAGCGAACGCTTTAACCACTAGGCTACCCGACCGCCCCCTACATTGACTATCAGTACAATCCACACTTCTCACTTTTATTAAGTTCTGTCCTGGCGTCTTCCTCCAGGTGCCTAGCCTCGGACTTCTTGTATGCGTGGATGGCAGCAAACCTGTGCCATGTCCTCAATACCTGGAACAAACAACTACCCAGTATAACATGTCTGACATGTCGGAACGATGAAGCCTAAACTGAAGAAATGTCAAATCAAATTACAAAGTAAAAAAAAAAATTTCATTTTCTCCCACAGTCTGTTATCAAAAATTAATAAAAGACTCCCAATTTAGTAAGCAAAGAAGCATCTCTTGCCAGGAAAGATTTAACAACAAATTCGTATGTAGCCAGCAGGGCTTCCTCCTTTCAAAAGTTACTGGTCCTTCTCGAAACTAACGCGTACTACTAAATGGTGGACGCCACTAAGTGGCCAAACCTGAGGTTGTTTAGCCACCTTGCAGGGCTCTGAAAAGTTTAGAACTCTTCACCCTGTAAACGTTTTCTCCTGCACTCTGAGATTAAATCTTGGCTTCCATTTGCCTCATTTCATGGAGATTAATGAACAAATGAAAAAAATATTGTACACAACATTACAAAATGGTGGGTGGTTGTCATTCTACAGAGATGATCAAATGAAAAAAATGAAACTAACACGGAGAAGGGATGAAACTCTGACTAGCCAGACGGGCCATCTACTTCACATTTCAGACAGCCCTTTGTAATTTTAACTGACCACGGGTCAACGGACCAACAGTTAAATCTCCCCCTGCCCTTGAGCATGTTCCAGACATCCTTCCTCCACAATGACTCCTGTAGCTCACCTTCACCAGCAGGTATCTGTTGTGATGGACACTGGCCTGGCTCTCACGATGTCTCTCTGCCACTTGGAGTCGTGCATTCTCTCCCCACAGACAAAAAGCCCACCTGAACACAAATATTGAAGTACATTCTTTGTTTATGAGGCAGGGGACACCAGAAATGGGCTTCACACATTGTACCCATGTGGGGAATCGAACACTGGTCTTTGGCTCGACAAGCGAATGCTTTAACTACAAGGCTACCCGACTGCCCACAACGTTTGTAAGTGTCGACAATCGCTTAAGAAAAGTGTTTAATTAATTTCACATGTCAAAGTATCAACTGTTCCACTATCTATTAATTCTACACAGTAATAAACAATGAAGGAACAACAAATTAAGATTGTCAAAGCCTCAATTCATGATAAATATGACAAAAGTCTGTCTATATTTACTTGTGAAAAATGAATACCGTATTGGACGTAATATGCGCCCCGCTCTAATAAGTGCCCATGGCAATATTTGCTAATATATTGGCTAGTGAACAATCCCAATTAGCACTTATTTATTCGTGTATAATACGCAGTCATGTGTTATTTGCACCCTAAATTATGGGCTATTAAATTCTGGAAAAATATATCTATATAAACATTTCAGGCTGTCAGCATAAACCACCAAATTTATGATCCTTCAAAACTGGATTTTCAATAGTCAGTTAACTCCCTCACCTCGGGGAAGAAGTTATTTGATGATTGAACAGTTAGAACAGACTGATAAGAATATTACAGGAAACATTCCAGCCAATCGCCAACAGTATTTGTGATTCCTGCTCATCAACCCAGTAGAAACTCTCAAACTGACCTCAGATGTTCGCCACATTTGTGTTGATACCGTTCATCAGCTATGACCTTGACCTTCTTTGCCTTGTCAACGTATGACCTCCATTGTGTAATGGTCGTCTTATACAGTTTTATCTTGAGGTGAGAGAAAGCCCTCAACTTGAGATGATGTTTTTCCTTTCGATGCCCATTGTACTAAAATATAAACAAAACAAATAATCAATGCTTCTTGTCAATCTTCAATCAACAGAAACAACTCTTCTTGAACGAATTGGAAAGAATGTTGTAATTCGCTTGTATAGAGCGTAATACACATGCAAGTCTTGAAAATATGACATTCGTCACGAACTAAATCAGAAAATTGCTCAGCGCCATGTGAGCCTTGAGCTTGGATGTCTCAATTATAGAAAGTACAAACAGTGCTACGCACCAGACAGTGCTGAGTCATTGTCAGGACAGGTTCTAGGTGAGGTGAAATGGGGTTTAACGTCGCGTCCAAGATTATTGCACTTATATAGCGACGTGCATGCACGTGTATGTGTGTGTGTGTGTGTGTGTGCTGCTTGTACTAGTCTGGACTGATGCCGATTTAAAGTGCTAGCAAACTGAGATACCATGCCGCAGTTTAACATGAATACCCCATTCAGACACAGTATACCGACTCCGAGCCGACCAGTCCTTGTTTTAGCCCCTTAATGCCGAGCGCCAGACAGGGAAACAACAAGTACCATCTTTTAACGTCTTTTGGTATGATGCGGCCGGGGATCAAACCCCGGACCTTCCGCTCTCCGGGCGGATGCTCTACCTCTAGACCAAGGAGGCGGTAGGACAGGTTCTAGAAGACTATATGCATACAAATACTTGTATGTACCCATTTGTAGGTTTTATGCAAAGTGTGTGTGCACAGGTTTCTATACATCCATAAACGCAAATTAATATTGAAGTCCACTTTTGTAAATAAATATGTCAACAATAATAACTTCATAGACTGCTTTCTAAATCATTGGGGGCGGTCGGGTAGCCTTGTGGTTAAAGCGTTCGCTCGTCACGCCGAAGCCGGGTTCGATTCCCGACATGGGTACAATGTGTGAAGCCCATTTCTGGTGTCCCCCGCCGTGATATTGCTGGAATATTGCTAAAAGCGGCGTAAAACCATACTCACTCACTCACTCTAAATCATTAACATAAAAAACTGTAGACAGCTATACAAAATCAGTGACATCAATAATCACAAAAATACAACACAAGCCACACCCACTCTGTTATCAGCCAATCAGGAAACAGTAGTCTGCTAGAGGTCATGGCCAATTTTTTATAAAACATAAATGCAAACATAATTACTTGGTTAGCCAATCAAATGCCATGGAATTACTTGAAATTTATTTATACACTTTTAACAAAACAGGTACCCCAAATTTCCAAATTTGTACCTCAATAACCAAATTTTGTGTTTTGCATAAGCACATCAGACTGACAGAATGTCACAGCCCTAACACCAGTGACTGAAGATCCAACTCACAGATTTCCACTTGGTGAAGCCCTTCCTGATTACAGCCAGATAATCGTGTCTCATGGCCTTCACCACATTCAGCTCACTGCAACAACAGGATGAAATAAGGTGAGTGCAGGGTTGACACAGACTGTCATCAACACTCTGGAAGGTTCCAGACAAAGTATCCTATCACTGTAGCTCACCTGGATATGTAGAGACTTAAAAACAGTTGCTGTCATCATTGATGTTCAAAACTTTCATATGTGGCTCAGATCGTCAACATACCTCTTCCATGCCCTGAGATGTGTCATATCTCACCTGTGTTTCAGGTCATCTATATGCCTCTTCCATGCCCTGAGATGTGCCATATCTCACCTGTGTTTCAGGTCATCTCTTTGCCTCTACAATGCCCTGAGATGTGTCATATCTCACCTGTGTTTCAGGTCATCTATACACCAATTCCATGCCCTGAGTAGTGTGGCATATCTCACCTGTGTTTCAGGTCATCTATATGCCTCTTCCATGCCCTGAGATGTGTCCTATCTCAACCGTGTTTCAGGTCATCTATACACCAATTCCATGCCCTGAGATGTGTCATATCTCACCCTTATTCAGGTCATCTATATGCCTCTTCCATGCCCTGAGATGTGTCATATCTCACCTGTGTTTCAGGTCATCTATACACCAATTCCATGCCCTGAGATGTGTCATATCTCACCTGTGTTTCGGGTCATCTATACACCAATTCCATGCCCTGAGATGTGTCATATCTCACCTGTGTTTCAGGTCATCTATACACTAATTCCATGCCCTGAGTAGTGTGGTATATCTCACCTGTGTTTCAGGTCATCTATATGCCTCTTCCATGCCCTGTGATATGTCATATCTCACCTGTGTTTCAGGTCATCTATATGCCTCTTCCATGCCCTGAGATGTGTCATATCTCACCTGTGTTTCAGGTCATCTATATACCTCTTCCATGCCCTGAGATGTGTCATATCTCACCTGTGTTTCAGGTCATCTATATGCCTCTTCCATGCCCTGAGATGCCGAACACAGAGTGAGACACAGTAGTGCTCCCCGGCCAGCTCCTGTAGGATAGAGGCAGTTGTAAGTACATGTTAAAACTTCTCTATTCTCTTTCATCACTTCTTTTCTTTACATGACATCATCATTGGTGAGTGAGTGAGTGAGTGAGTGAGTGAGTTTGATTTTACGCCGCTTTAAGCAATATTCCAGCAATATCACGGCGGGGGACACCAGAAATGGGCTTCACACATTGTACCCATGTCGGGAATCAAACCCGGGTCTTCAACGAGACGAGCGAGCGCTTTAACCACTAGGCTACCCGACTGCCCCGACATCATCATGGAATCACGAAGCAATATACATGTAACATGTATCATTGAACCATCCTTCAAATCCACGATCATAGGCTACAGGCACACTGAAGAGATACAACTCGGTAAGCAATTTGCATCACCTTAAATGACAGGGCCACCCATGCCTCTGTTAACACCCCGAAACAATGGACTGTGTTCAGGAGACACCCCGCTGTGGGAACTGGGTTAGATTTAACAACAAATTTGTATGTAGCCAGCAGGGCTTGCTCCATTTTTACTGGCCCTTCTCCAAATTAACTGGCCTACAACTAAATGGGGGAGGCCAGTGAAGTGGCCTACCTGAGGTCGCATAGCCAACTAGCAGGTCTCTAAAACACCTTTTCCTGCGCTCAATCATTTAAAATCATTTCAAAGTTTAAATCATGGCTTCCATTTGCCTCATTACATGATAATTTATAAGCAAATAAAGACGTTGTGCACAACATTCCAAAATGGCGTCCGGTTGTCATTTTATCAAGATGATCGACACATATCTTTCTTCGAGTTAACCATTCACACGACCTCATCCCCCTAAATATTTTCTCATCAGCAGTGTCCAATTAAAAAAATTAAACATACACGGAGATGGGTGAAATTTTGACTAGCCAGACAGGCCATCTACTTTATGTTTCAGCAAGCCCTTTATAATTTTAACTGGCCATGGGCCAATGGGCAAGCAGTTAAATCGACCCCTGGGAAACTCACTGTTTTCTTATTCTCCTCCAGTCTGTCCACTGTACGAGCTCGCCACACGCGGAAAAACCTGTGTGCTGTGTTGTCCTCATCATGAAGAATTGCCTAGGAGTGAAATACACATCACTGTCACAAATGGAGACTTAAACTGTAAATATTTATCCAGGATTATCTCCCATTGTCTGTGATCATACAAAAATATGAGTAAGTGTGATTTTTGTTTAACCCTGCAGTCATTCCCAAGAATACCTTGGGCATGTGTAATATAATTCAGAATAAATCTCTAGGCGTCAAAGAAGTAATGCCTGGTAATAAATTTGTTATACACCCAAAGGGGATGAAAATGTACTCAGTACCCGAAGCATATAGTGTCATGTCTACATTTGGATACCAACAATTTTTCCCCATTTATCTTATATATTCTTTTGCAAAACAAATGCAAATTCAAATCTAGCAATCTAAATGTACAACTTGGCATTAACTTGGTGAATGGAACCTGTCATTGGACATTGTTGGACATTATTATCATCACCACCACCACCACCACCACCACCACCACCACCACCATCATCATCATCATCATCATCATCATCATTATTATTATTATTAAACTGTGTGCAGGCTGACTCACCATCCTCTCCAGCATACGGTGCTCCCTGCTGTTGTCCAGAGCCTTCTGCCACTGTGTGAAGAACTTCACCGCTAAAGTCTCCCTGGAATCATGGGAAACAATACTAATGCCACTAACAATTAAATAATTCCTATGGATGGTATCTATAAACCTAGTAACTGCATGTCAATAGATCAAGAATAATTGCAAAGCTACTTCTACCTTCTAAACTCACCAACCCCTCACCTCACTAAACTCCACCAATCAACCCACCAACACACCAACACACCGACACACCAACCAACACACCAACACACCGACACACCAACACACCAACCTACCAACCACAACCAACCACCACCCCCAAAGTTATTATCCTACTCCCTCTGAATCATCACCATATCATCTGAAATCTGGATACAATACCGGACCATTGGAACTCACTACCCTACCATCGGAGCTCACTACCCTACCATCGGAACTCACTATCCTTCCATCTGAACTCATCACCCTACCATCGGAACTCACTATCCTTACATCTGAACTCATCACCCTACCATCGGAACTCACTACCCTACCATCGGAACTCATAACCCTACCATCGGATTTCACTACCCTACCATCGGAACTTTACTTTATCATCTGAACTCATTCTCCTACCATCAGAACTTATTACACTATCGTCTGAACTTATTACCCTATTGTCTGAACTTATTACCCTATTGTCTGAACTCACTACCCAACCGTCTGAACTCATTACCTACCGTCTGAACTGGCCAGCCTTCTCCTGATTTTCCCGGTTGTTCTTCTCCATCTGCACAAAGACTCTCATCCTGAACACACACTGGGGCATGATATGGAGGTAGAAATGGGCGTCGGCTTGACTGTACTGGTTCTGTCAAACACAATTCCATGTGATTTGATCACAAAACCGTTTGAGTTCACCCTAACTCCAACATGTCACAGCTATATCTGATAGTAGCCTGTGTAGTAAGTAGGTTGGACCAAGCAGTGGTCATCTGTCATTGCCGCAGGGAGACTTATTATAACTCCACTCCCAGACATCCATGAAATATCAGTACCTCGCAACAACTGTGAAGAGGGCACAGCAATTGTAATCACCTGATACAACAGGGGCTGTAAATAATTGAGACTGGACCAGAAAAAACAGTGACAGATATTTTGAGCCACGTCCCAGAGTGTCAGGGGAACTGTCAGTCATCCAGGCTTACCACGCTTCTCACTGAGTCGCCCATGAAGACAAACATAGGTTACCGGGGAATTATTCAGACATGAATCCCCATGGGGAACCTCATACAAGGCTGTACCAATTTACCAAAGTATTTTGTAGAATTTTCCTATTCGGAATATTCTATAAGTAATACGTTACCACTGTTATACCGAGGCTGTTGTCTCCCACAACTGCTGCTATAGCGAAATCTACCACAGAGATCTCAATTACCTCATGCAGCACGTGCGTAGCCACCTAGCTGCCATGTGACACCCTTCACTCTTGTCTCCTGCGAGAGCAAGTGCTCGGGGGATGGACGGGCGGGCAGCAGCCCAGTGGTAACGTATTACTTATAGAATATTCCGAATAGGAAAATTCTACAAATTACATTAAGTAATACGTTACCACTGTTATACCGAGGCTGACTACCACAGTAGGCGGTGGGGAGCACCTACAACCCGAATCCTGACTGCTAGCGTTCCTTCCGACCAGCGGAAGTAAACACCAAGGCGGAAGCACTCGATGCGCATGCACCTAGCTAGGCGTTACCCTATAGGAATACCAAAGCACTGTCAAGCGCATACCGTAAGGCTCAATCGTCATTGCCAAAACGATTGGTGACTCCAAACGGCCCCACTGGATAGGTATTTCATCGCCGCAGCGGATGAGAACACTGTATCCGCGTGAGCTTAATCTTAGATCAGGTTAAACAGTCGAAAAGAGGGAAATTAATTTCATTCAGACCGTATATCCCAGAGCAAGCCTACTTAAAGTATGCATTAGGCGCGTGACCTAATTCCAGTATTTGTAAGCATGCATCACAAGGTTGGGATACACGACAGACAATTAAAGACATAATTGTCAAAATACAAATAAGGACAAAGCACACAAAAAGCCGCCCTCACCTGTGGTGTGAGTGCGCTGGTTTGCGGGACCCCAACTCCTGTACCCATGGCAGTGGGAACATTGGAGTCGACCCAGATTGACCACCGTGCAAGGTCAGACGCCTGAGGAGTTTGGAATTGCGCTGGGCACACCCCTTAGGTGCCCACTTGCGCCGCGATCCGCGGGCCAAGACGGTGCCCACTCTCCACGACGGCATCAGCGACCTGTTTGTGGTAATGATTGGCAAAAAACGAGTCAGAACGCCAGTAACAACCTCGTCATATTCTGCGAACAGAGATATTCGAGTGTAGGGCAAATGTTGCCGCTAGCGCCCTGATCTCTTGCGGGTTTGACCCCGCTACCGGTAACCCCCGAGACCGGTACGCCAGATTGATGACAGAACGAAGCCACAACGCAATCGAGTTGCGAGTTATGTCAACCGTGCGATTAGGGTTACACGATATGAACAGACGGTCACGCCCTTGTCTACGTTCATTCGAAGCCTTAAGATAATACTTAAGGGCCCTAACCGGACACAGCGCTCTGTCCTCAGTATCAGCAGGATGTAAGATTTCTTTGAGTGATCTTACAGTGAATTCTCTCTCCGTTTGCCCGACTCTCTGATTCTTGGTGACGAAGCCCATGAGCAGGCCCAGGCGGACCGCTCCTTCGTCACCCCTATCGAATCGTACCTTGGCGACATCGAGTGCATGAATTTCGGATACACGTGCCGCCGTGGCAAAGGAGAGGAGAAATGCTGTTTTCCAAGTCACATGCCGGAACGAAGCACTATGCAAGGGTTCATACGGATCTTCCGTAAGTGATTGCAACACTAGGGAAAGATCCCAGGCCGGTGCCCGAAGGCGGCCCTTCTTAAGATCGTGCTGTTTGAAACCCTTGATAATACCCCGTATCACCGGCTCTTTGGAGAGACTGGTACCCATAGCAACGTCCCGTACCGTAGCAACGGACGAGACATAGTTGGCAATGGAACCCCCGGAGAGTTTCCGGGTCTCTCGCAAGTGAGACATGAAACGAGCAATATCCTGCACAGATACCTTATCTGGCGAATGAATGTGATGTTTACAACACCACTTCGTGAAAATAACCCAACGTGCATTATACACCTTCTGGGTAGAATCACGATGCATACTAACGTATGCCCGAGACGCCCGGCGAGAAAAAACTTTACTCCTCAGACGCTCGGTGACAACATCCACGCGTGCAGATTGAACTGCCCTGCGTTTGGATGAAGCTGACGGGTGTGAGGGTGGATCAAGAGATCCGGTCTCACAGGCAGTGGAAGTGGCGACTGCGTGACCTGGGTCAGCAAGTCGGGGTACCACGATCTGTTCGGCCACATGGGCGCGATCAGTAACATTCGACAGCGAACTCCTCGGAGCCGGCTTAGAATGTGTGGTATCAACGCTGTCGGCGGGTAAGCATAAGCGACCAAGCCCGTCCAGTCTAACGCGAGAGCATCATGATCGATGGCCCTCGGGTCCGGGACTTGATACAAACAACGGGAGTTGATTGTTGAACCGCGTTGCGAACAGGTCGACCATCGGACGACCCAAACGTTCGCACAGCCACTGAAACACTACTGGGTTCAGCATCCACTCTGTGGGGCTCGGATCCTGAGGCCTCGATAGAGCATGGGCCAGTACGTTCCGCACACCTGGGATGTGACGGGCGCGTATCTGGCACGGGACACTGTCCACCAGAGCGTAAAACTCGAACGTGAGATCGAGTAGCGAGTGACTGTGGGTTCCCCCCAGTTTGTTCACATAGGACACTACCGTCGTGTTGTCGGTCGCCAGCATGAGCCGGGCGTCGACGAGACGATGCTTCCAGTGATTGACTGCGTTGATCACTGCCTTGAACTCGAGACAAGTGATGTGAAGACCTAGTTCGTCTACGCACCACAGCCCCGAGCTCACCTCCCCCTTTAGATGGGCGCCCCAGCCCACTAGAGAGGCGTCTGTATACAGGGTCAACGTGGCCCGGTAGGGCCGCATAGAGACTCCTGATAAGACAATGTAAGGGACCGTCCACCACTCCAGATGCGGTCGGAGCCGATCCGGGAGGGCGACGGTCGCACTGTTCACCTCCGTTGCTAACAACTGGATTAAAAAACGTTGCAGCGGGCGGAGTTGGAGACGACCCCGTGCGGTGCAGTCCTGGGCTGATACAAGTAGCCCTAACAGCTGTTCCCAAAAGTGAACAGACTGTTGCACCGCTAAGACTTTGGCAATCATCGCCTGAATTTTGTGCCACCGGTCTGGGGGGACAAAGAGGCGATGGGACACCGTGTTGAACCGACCTCCGATGAACAGCAAGTTCTGAGAAGGGGTTAACTCGCTCTTGGGGAGATTGATAATCCACCCAAATTGCTCCAAGAGCCGACGTGCGAAATCGAGATGGCGTGACAGGGTGTCCGTCATTCGATTTGCTACTAGCGAGTCGTCCAGGTACGCGAAGTACCGGACACCCCTCCTGTGGAGGAACCCTACTATGGGGGTGGTTAACCGGGTGAACAGCCAGGGAGCGGACGTGTGAATCATTCTGAGTTCGGCACTGTCCTACTTGGGAACGAGAAATATCCTGGAGGAAAACCCCGGTGTTATTTCTGGTAGAGCTAACTCCCGTACTGCCCCTTCTCCACCAACCTGCCGATGGCATAGGCGAGGATGGGAAGATCGGTTTCCGAATCGAAACCTGCCAACGGGGCAACGGTGAGCGGCGGATTCGCTTTGAGATCAAGCCGAGAGCCGTACCGAATCGTGTTGACCACCCACGGGTCGTCGAACACTTGTTCCCAATTCTCCCAGTAAGTCTGGAGTCTGGCTCCCACTGGGGAAGGAGAGGGGGCCCTGACAGGTTGCGGCAGGCGCAACTGTCCAGGGCCAAGTGACTCGGGTTCGCCTAAGGGCCAACCGAAGTTGGCGCTGTCGGCATACGAACCCCTCCAATGAGAGTCACCTGGAGGGGCCCTTGCCGTCCGTCGACGACTTGGGCTTCCCCCAGTTCCCCGTCTTCCCGCGAAAGGGCAGCTGATTGCCCATACCGGAGCCCTCAGGGCGGGGCTACTTCCCAGAGGAAGAAGAACCCGACCCCTTAGACCTACAGGCCGCAGCAGCCTGGGGCGCGCTCCGGTTAGGAGCGGCACCCAGGCGCCTATGCAGGGACCCAACAAGAGCAAGTGTGTGCCGAGAGTCCTCGGCAACGAACTCCAGGGAAGCATTTAAACTGAGCAGGCAGTTGTAAATGCGCTGGTCACGGTCCGTGGGAGAACCTTCGACCAGACGGGCCGCTGCAGCCAAGTAAGTGTCTCCGTGAGACATGGAGTGCCGAGCGAGGGCGTCCAGCTGGTGCAAGGTAGCTTGCGTTACCGTAGCAGCCGGTGGGGCACGGACACCCAACCGCTCAACATGGGCCTCCGCGGTAGGACCAGCCTCGGGAAAGGCAAGGTCATGTACTCGGAATAAACCCTTTCTCCACGACGTCGGAGGCAACGGGAGACCCCGACCGGAGGCCGCCGCGAAGGCGTTCTCCAAGGAAGGCTTGAAACCGCGCAGCAAGGTCGATGCGGGGAAAGCCGTGTCGGAAGACTCATCGTATACCTCGGAGGAACCCACAGTCGTGGATTCCCCGCGGTACCGGCCGGGGCATGTCCTCAAAGAGGTCATAAACCATGGCCACGCGGTCCTAAACCGATAGCGGGAGCAACGGTTCGGGGGAAGGACCGGTGACCACGGGAGCCGCTGCCGTACCGGTGGACCCCGCGGCCACCGAAGTGGCCGGGGACGGAACAGCCAGCGGCCTATCCTGAGATAAGGCCGCCAGCTTGGAGTCCACAAGTTATGCAAGTAATGCAGCGACGGAATCCCCGGACAGCACACGGGCCGCCAAGAGATCCGCCGCTTTACCGGTGGACCCCGCGTCCGACCCCGCGGCCACCGAAGAGGCCGGGGACGGAACAGCCAGCGGCCTATCTTGCGATAAGGCCGCCAGCTTGGAGTCCACAAGTTTCGACAACAATGCGGCGACGGAATCCCCAGACAGCCCGAGGGCCGCAAGGGGATCCGCCGCAGCCGAGGAGGTGGTACCCGCACGGGGACCCCGACCGGACGAACCGGCCACCACAGGGGTGGAGACGGACTGTATGTACAGCCGGTACCGCTCAAACTCTGCAGGCCCCAGACCTTCGCACAGGATGCACCGGGTGTCCCCGCAAGGAACCCTGCACCGCGGGCAACGATCGTGGGGATCCCGGGACGACAAAAACTTTCTGCACACCCCACAACTCCGAGGAGCAGGGGTAGAGGGGGTGGATACTGGGGACATATCCATGTCAGACATTGATTGTTTGCTATAAACAAAGAACAAAACATGGTTACAACGCACGCACCACAATGATTCACAAACGAACATTTTCACAAGAAAATAAACGAGCAATGTGAACATATAACATACACATATAACTTTTATTAAAGAAATAAGTTATGTTAACCCCCAAAACATACAAGAACAGGGGAAACGTAAAACACAACGTGCATACGCGAACCCCGCAAGTATATAGAAAAAAGGGCGGGAAAAATTTTCCGTTTGGCGGGAAAATTATAACCAAGCGTAGCTACCGCAACGACCCATAAAAGCACAGTTTATTAGAGAATAAACTATAATAAATATCACCAAATCTTCAAGGAACGCTTCAGCAGGAGAAAACACGTCTTGCTAAGCAGACGAAGGAGACAAGAGTGAAGGGTGTTACATGGCAGCTAGGTGGCTACGCACGTGCTGCATGAGGTAATTGAGATCCCTGTGGTAGATTTCGCTATAGCAGCAGTTGTGGGAGACAACAGCCTCGGTATAACAGTGGTAACGTATTACTTAATGTAATTTAATGGACTGACTGTTTTTGTTTTTCTTTCTGATTGTAGTAACAAAGGATATCAAGCCACTTTAGTAACACTGACCAGTTTTCTTAAACCTTTTGTGCTGGGTCTCTATTAATTTCATTTGATGCTGGAATCCAGCTGCTTCACATTACTCTGAGTGTTTGTTGTTTAATGTGGCACTCAGCAATATTCCAGCTGTATGACAGCGGTATGTATATAATCAAGTGAGTGAGTGAGTATGGTTTTACGCCGCTTTTAGCAATATTCCAGCAATATCGCGGCGGGGGACACCAGAAATGGGCTTCACACATTGTACCCATGTCGGGAATCGAACCCGGGTCTTCGGCGTGACGAGCGAACGCTTTAACCACTAGGCTACCCGACCGCCCGTATATAATCAAGTCTGGACCAGACAATTCAGTGATTGATAGTGTGAACAACGATCCACATCATAGGAGCACAAAGATACGCAATCAACCATGTCACTTAACCAAACCATGTCACACTGAGGCTGTATCTAATATTGATGACCCCCCCCCAATCTTTGTAACATTTGTTCACGACACCCCACTATAATATATGACCAATCCCTAAATTATGTACAAATTTATAAAAAAAGGTATTTGTAATAATAGAACTGTAACATTTCATGTACCCCCTCCTATTGTTGTGATACATTTAGCATCTGCCCCCCCCCAGTCCCTTAATTTGTGCATTTTGCCAAGTATTCATGAGCTAGGGAGTTGTCTCCCTTGGACTGACCTTCCTGTGGTGTCGCCACCGAGCGTAGTTCAGCAGGGCCTGGAGACTCTTCCCAAGCAGCACACAGCTACAACCAGGAATAACAGCAGATCAGTGCATGTAGTTAAACAGTCAACTATAATACAGTCATATCACAGATACAGTTGTGGCCAGGCAGACCAGTGATTGGCAGCGATCTACATTGTCGGTGTTGTATGATGGCAAAGCAAAATTGGTTACACATTGTGAGCATCCCACCATCATTTTAGTCTGCATGTACAATATATATTGGATGCTTTGGATTTATTGTGCTGATCCCAAGGGGACACCATTCTTGGATACTGGAGACCTAAACTGCCCTGGTATTTCCACACTGAGACAAACTTGAGGTGCTGGGCCCCTACTGGAATCCGGAATCTTCATAGGGGGGCCAAGCAGCAAACATACAATGGTTAATATGCTGAGTCTTCCAAATGTTTTCGAAGTGTATTTGTATCAATATTCCCCGACCGCCTCTGTCGTTTAATGGCAGAGCCTCCGCTCGGAGTAAAGAAGATCTGGGGTTCGATCCCCAGCTGCGCCATACCAAAAGACATAAAAAAGATGGTACTTGTTACCCTGTCTGGCACTCGGCATTAAGTGGCTAAAACAAGAACTGGTCAGCTCGGAGACAGTTTACTGTGTCCGAGTGGGGTATTCATGTTAAACTGTGGCATGGTATCTCAGTGTGCTAGCACTACAAAATTGGCATTGGTCTGGACTAGTACAAGCAGCCACACACACACGTGCATTCACATCCCTATATAAGTGCAATAATCATAGACGCAACATTAAACCCCATTTCACCTCACCTCAATATTGCCCCTTCAGAGTTATTAACAGTATTTCTATACTGCTTAATGACGACAAAACTACATTAACAACTTTGGAGAAACACATAAAAAAGCATATGGTGCTAACAAATTTATGATCTTGTTCAGCAAGATTGAAGGATCCTGGCAGACAAAGGGATGCAACTCTGTACAGTCGTGCCCCCTGATCAATCCCATATCTCCCTACCTGTAATGCTTCCTGGCTTTCTGTGTTTGAGGCATCATCTTCAGCTCCTCGTGTGTTTCACATCGCATCAGCCATCGGCTCCACACTCCCCTCATCACCTGGAGCACAACAACTAGGATACAGACACTACACAACATCCAGGGACTCACACTGTACAACATTCAACAGGTCAGATGAAGACACTCACTGCCCATGTGGAGATACGCACCTGTCTGTGATGGAGCTGTTCGGCCATCCTGTGTCGCATGGCCTGAAGCCTCTGCTGTACCACATACAGCCGGAATGAATTGAGACCAACAAGCTGAAACATAGAATTGTCACTATTCATCTCATTGCACACAGTATGTTCTGTAAATAACAGTCCACAAAGTAACACAGGCAAGGTAACTGAGGGACAAACAGCTGAGAGTAAGTGAGTATGGTTTGACGCCATGTGCAGTCATTGATGTCCATGTGCAGTCATTGATGTCCATGTGTAGTCCATGATGTCCATGTGTAGTCATTGATGTCCATGTGCAGTCAATGATGTCCATGTGTAATCAATTATGTCCATGTGCAGTCAATGATGTCCATGTGTAATCAATGATGTCCATGTGCAGTCATTGATGTTCATGTGTAGTCATTGATGTCCATGTGTAGTCAGTGATGTCAATGTGTAGTCATTGATGTCCATGTGTAGTCATTGATGTCAATGTGTAGTCAATGATGTCCATGATGTCAATGTGCAGTCATTGATGTCCATGTGTAGTCATTGATGTCCATGTGTAGTCCATGATGTCCATGTGCAGTCATTGATGTCCATGTGCAGTCATTGATGTCCATGTGTAGTCCATGATGTCCATGTGCAGTCAATGATGCTGATGTGTAGTCCATAATGTCAATGTGTAGTCCATGATGTCCATGTGCAGTCAATGATGTCAATGTGTAGTCCATGATGTCCATGTGTAGTCCATGATGTCCATGTGTAGTCCATGATGTCAATGTGTAGTCCACGACTTCAATGTGCAGTCATTGATGTCAATGTGCAGTCATTGATGTCCATGTGCAGTCATTGATTTCCATGTGTAGTCCATGATATCCATGTGTAGTCCATGATGTCCATGTGCAGTCATTGATATCCATGTGCAGTGCATGGTGTCAATGTGCAGTCAATGATGACCAGGAAGCACTGCCGCCTGAAATGCACTGATGTGACATGCCCCTTGATACAGAATGGCATCTTGATAAATATTGATGCCATTCATGACAATCCAGTGATCAACATCACATAACTGAAAAAACTTAAGACATCATGGAAGCATTTTCAGGGCCTGGACCTGGTCCAATGTCGGGTGGTGTAGTACCCCCAGTGTCTATACTACTTGCTTCTAGGAATATTCCACCAATATTCCACCAATATCACAGCAAGGGACCCAGGAATGTGTTACACATTGTACACATGAGGGGAATAGAACCAAGTCTTCTGCATGATGAGCAAAAGCTTTCAACCCACAGACCAACAGCTGAGACATAACACTGCTACATAACAAAGTCATGCACAAGGGAAGACATTCCTTAGTTATCTGATTGTTTAGTCTAACTAACTGACCAGCAGGTGGTGTCTGTAGTGTTGGTCAGCTGTCTTCCCTTTCTCCCTGGCCGCTCGACACCCATACACATCTGTCACCGGTCAAGGGGAATGAAGTGATATGAGAGAAAGGGTTGGGATAACAGTCTCGAAACATTTCTTACTCCAACTTGTCCTGCAGAGCAAGATGATATTATTTTGTCCTCATCCTGCCATATTTTACTTGCTCTTTTAAATTTTATGAAGTTTAAAGTTCACAGTCACTGCCATCTATGTTCATCTCTGCCCATTTAAATTTGTACAGTTCATGTTCCCTTTTTTTCAATCTTACTGTTTTATCTTTTTTCAGCATGTTTAGTAATCAAATCATGTTTTTTCTCGTTGTCGATTAAAAACGTCTGTTTATCAGCCATTACCCTCACAAAATCATTCACTTTCACTTCGAGCGTCAGCAACAAGTCTCCTTCAACAAAAATAATAAACAATTACCTCTCTCTAAAAACTAGTTTCAAGACAACTTGGTTTTTTTTCTTTCTTTTTTTTAACAGGCATTTTTCCAAGTATGCCATATAGTTATGATATGAAGGACATGTATTTCGTAATTATTACTAAGAATGTGCGAGAGATTATCCTGCACATCTTATACAATTGAAATATGTACTCGCCTGGTAGGACAAGCATTTGCTCACTTCTTTCTCACCCTGCACATGCTGCCAGGGCATCTTGAACAGTTTCAATGATCAAACCAGCTACTAGTAGTGGCAAACCCGTGAAGATCCGGGGTAGAATAGGTCTTCAGCCACCCATGCCACCCGTAAAAGTCGACTATGCTTGGGTTGTCAGGCTCGCTGATTTAGATAACGCATGTCATCGTATCCCAATTGCATAGATAGATGTACACAATGTCGATCATGGATTGTCTGGTACAGACTCGATTATTTACAGTCTGCCGTATTGCTGTAATATTGCTGAGTGAGGCGTTAAACAAGAAACAAACAAAACTAGTTGTGACAAGGATACATTGTTTCCAGTGCTGAACCGAGCGTCGCAGCCTGAACCTGTAGGCCAGGTGCTGCATGTGGTCCTGGTGCCGGGCCAGCGACTGGCGCAGTGCGAGATGCTGATGCCACGTGTGCAGGTAGCGGGACTTCAGGACGGTCTGGTACAGCCTCGCAGCATACGCTGAAATGGAAGATTTATTAATATTGGTGTTTCTTCCTCCAAAATGAATACAGTAAATCATGAAATTAACGTATCATTGAAATAATGTCAGTAACCCTGCCATTGGGTTTTACAGGCAACTGCCTTGTAATCCAGTCAAGAGGTAATATACCATGGTAATTCTTGTTGAACGTTGTTTACAGAGGACTTTGATAAAAGATATGTCATTGTTATGCATGCAAAATAAAGAGACGAGATCAATTTGGTGTGTTTTTCGACAGCTGTTTACGGTATAATCATAGGCAGTAAACCTGATGGGACAATAGGCATCATCTTTTTATTGCAAAGCGGAAACTGGACTTCAATAGTCAGTGAACTCCCTTGTCTCGGAAAGATGCAGTATTCTTATTATAGGTAAAAGCTGCTTTTGTGACAATGAATATCAGTACAAAGACCGACACAAGAATGTGGAGGATGAAATGCCCCATTAATAAGGGATTAAGACCAAGCAGCCATACTGCTATGTAAATGTTCAGTCAAACCCCTCCAAGAACCTGATCATGTCAGTGCTTCCTTGTCTTCATCCAGCCTTTATTTCTAACCCTACTCACCGTAGTGTTTCTTCTTCTCCATCCTCATCCTGGAGTACAAGATCCTGGACCTGCCTTTATTTCTAACCCTACTCACCGTAGTGTTTCTTCTTCTCCATCCTCATCCTGGAGTACAAGATCCTGGACCTGCCTTTCTTTCTAACCCTGCTCACCGTAGTGTTTCTTCTTCTCCATCCGTGTCCTGTAGTACAAGATCCAGGCATGCAGGCAGCGGGTCGCTAGGACCGAGTTCTGGTGCCGATCTGCATGGAGAACCTTCTGCTTGTCCAACTGACGCTGTTGGAACGCCTCATGCCACAACAACCAGTGCTGTAACAAGTGTTACCATGTTTGACGTTAAGGTGCTACTACAAGGGGTTTCAGTAAATCTGTAACTGTTTACATCATTGACATTATCTATGACACATATTTCCCGTTTCATTCTACACATTGGTTCATTTATCATGTTCCAAATAGCTACCTGATAGTCATCCCTTGGCCAGACAGACTAGTACTTTCAAGCCTCAATCCTACTTGTCTAATACTATATCTTATGTGCTGTGAACATGGTTATCACTGCTTAAACATGAAAAACATTAAAGTATAATGATACTAAGTGCTTGCCGTAAAAGGCGACTATGCTTGTCTTAAAAGGCGACTAACGGGATCGGGTGGTCAGGCTCGCTGACTTGGTTGATGCATGTCATTGATCCCAATTGCGTGGATCGATGCTCATGATGTCAATCACTGGATTGTCTGGTCCAGAGTCGATTATTTACAGACCGCCGTCATAAAGCTGTAATATTGCTGAGAGCGGCGTTAAACAACAAACCATCCAAAACCAAAAGCTTATTGTATAACATTGTATAACATTGTACGGCAGTTTTCATGTCATACCCCATATCAACCTGAGACCCCATGTCAGAGTGCTGAAGGCCAGGGGGCTGATGAAAGGTCAGCATGGTAACATGATTGATATGGGTGTATGATATGAAAACTGTGATTAATAACTTTTTTATCACATATCATATCATCAAATGGTAAAATGTATCTATTTGCCAGTAAATGCAATACATATTCATCTTGTCCGGAAGACATTGTCACAGGAAAGCTAGCTGAGCAGACGACGTACTAAGAGATGCAACTCATTGATCACATATTCAAAATGCATTGTTTGTTTGTTTTGTTAAAGCCGCTCTTAGCAATATTCCAGCTATATGACGGCAGCCTTTAAATAATTAAGTTTGGACCAGACAATCCAGTGATTGACATGATGAGCATCGATCCACGCAATTAGGATCGATGACATGCATCAACCAAGTCAGCAAACCTGACCACCCGATCCCTTTAGTCGCCTCTTACGACAAGCATAGTCGCTGTTTACAGCAAGCATGGGTTGCTGGAGACCTATTCTACCCCGGATCTTTGGGGAGTAATACAGGTCTGATTATTACACTTAGAAAAGCCTGAAGTGATACAGGTCTCAGACGTTTACCACTTTTGTGAAACCCACGAGCACGGGCATGGTGCTAACAAACCAAGAAACACAATCAGGGCAAACCGGGATTTGAACCCACTCATAGGTTTCTGGCGTGCCCAAGGGACACAACTGTATACAGTTGTGGTGTAACGATAACAATATTGTATCACGATATGAATCCCATGATACAATACATCAATTTACAACCCCTGTATCACGATACATACGATACAATACATTACAAGTTGTATTGTTGTAAAACATTAATGATAACAGAAACTGTTCAACAACCAGCTCATGCAGATGCTCTGGTATTTCCCGGTTGGCTAAAAACAGCATAACCTTCACAGTGCCCTCTTGCCAAAATTTGTCTGCCCTACAATATCCCATCTTTGATCTTTGAAATTTAAAAACAAATGATTCAGGGTTGTGCTTCACCATCAAAAAAAAAGGATATCAACTTATGAAATAGTAGTCCTGATAACATGTCAGTCCTAACTACATTGTGTGGTAGGTTTACATTCGAGAGTACTGGAAGTGACCTCTGAACTTGACTACGAGTGCGCATGCGTGAGCGGAAGCTGAGGTGTTAGATGGGCAAACACAAGAGGAAGTAGCGTGGTTTCGGATGGCGGGGATTTGACATGAACTGTCAGTGGTGTGTTGAGAGAGAAGGACTAACAGTGGAAAGGGCCAGAAAGGTAATTTAACAGTCCTGTATTGTATAGGAATTGTATCGCACAAATAGCATAAGGGTAATATCATATCACAACCCTGCCATATCATTCCACCTCTACTGTGCACCGAGTTGACACGGCTTAGGCAACTTAGGCGACTTGGCCACTCATGCCTCCTCAGAACAGTAAGCCACAAACACTGCATCGATCTAACCAGAGATGGAAATGACAATGTTTTGACAAAGCCTTTACCTGAGCTTGTATTCTGTATGCCCAGAACTGAAGAGCGATGCCATCCATTTCCTGTCTCTCATGGGAGAGGGCCATCTCCACCTGCCACTGCTGCCACGCCCACCTGTACACAAACACAGGAGGAGGACTATATCTATCTACAGCATGGAGGGCTCATCAGAAGGCCCCATAACACATGTATTGATGTCTCTCTTAATAAGTTAACAAATTATCCGAGGGATATAACAAATCAGATAGTTGTAAAGAAATTTGGTAACAGCAATAGACAATTTTATGCAATCCTTGACCTTAGTTGAGAGCCCCTCCGGAAATTGTTGGCCTGCTCCTGCAGTTGCTTGATCGCCCTTCTCTGATGCACGTACTGCACCCAGCAGCGCATCACCTGGCTCTCCCGATGCAGAACATCTACAACATCACAATCATCATCACAATCACAATACCAATTGCATCATCATCATCATCATCATCATCATCATCATCATCCCCATTTCCCTCTCATCATCTTCCCCAGCTAATTTTCATCATCATCATCATCATCATCATCATCCCCATTTCCCTCTCATCATCTTCCCCAGCTAATTTTCATCATCATCTCAATCACAATCGCATCATCATCATCATCATCATTTCCCTCTCATTATCTTCCCCAGCTATAATTTTCATCATCATCATCATCATCATCATCTTGTTTATTACCATTATCTTATAATCACCAGTATTATGGCTGTCAGAATAGAAAGACCACAATACTGATTTAGAATGAAATGATGTCATTATAATAAGAAGGACAAGGAAGAAATAAAGAGCTGGACAATATTATTACTCTAACTGGAATACCATTTTTCAATTAGATAAAGGTAATCCTGACTTCTACTCACAATGTCTCTGTGCTCTGAAGAACTTTGCTTTCTTCACTCTCTGGATCTGCACAAAGTCTTTCCAGGCTTGAAACCCATGGCTCCACAACACATACCTGACACAGAACAATATTATCAAAAATAGGTTCAAGTGGGAGAGAGTAACACTGAGCTGTGTGTTGTACATACGTGATTGTCATTCGTGACCAACTTGTGTTAGTCCGGGACAAGCCGAATAGCAATTCATGCCCCTCTCGTAGCCATTTTTGTGACTAGGTTCTGTCTTAGTGCAAACAGGCATAGTTACAAGTTACAACTCCTTACGTACTGATTCACGTAAATTCCCTCCATATATCATTTTATTCCTCATGCTATTTAAAACACATCAGGACTTTTTTATCAGGTACATTATGGTATGATTGAACACGTTTTACTGTATCTTGGGTATATTTTTATATGCAAGACATAAGTAAAATCAAAAGTTGTTCTTGAGGGATTCTTTGACCGAAGTACTTGAACTCATACGCGCAATGTGATTGGTTTGTCATATCTTCGCACATAGGGGGACAAGTCTTCTTGACGGTTATGGAAAGGGACGAGTAGTTTTGAACGGCTGATTGTGTATACTCGCATAAACAAATCACACATTAACTAAATCAACGGGTGATATGTTTTCAACACATATACAAAACTAACTACATTGCATGAATGAGCCGAAAAAAAATATTGGCCAACACATCTATCTTCTTTGATAGGCATTTAGGAGTTGGAGTACTAAGTAAGGACAAGAATTTATGGAAGAACAACTTGTTTATTACAATTAGAAGCGACGTTTCGGTGTAGGTTCTAACACCGTCATCAAGCAAGTGATATACAGAGTGTGGTTGACAAGTATATACAAGTAGGAGGCAATGTTTATACAGTAGAGTAGATATTGTTATACTGGAGTAGAGAGCCTGTTATGTAACATCTATCGCTGAGAGCATGCAAATCAATACAGATAACTATGTTCTACTAGAGGCAATAGAGGTCACTGACAGTGATAAGTTCATGGAAACAACTGGGAGCATGTGTGAAGACAAGAAATTAAGGACCTAAGTGAAGGGGCCCTTGTCATGGGATCAATGTTAAAAACTATACAGTATATCCGAAATGAAAATATATATCTGAAAGAAAACTAAATAAAACAAAGTGCACAAAATGACAAAATGCCTTCACCATGTACACACATTGGTTTAATCCTAATATCGTAAGTGTGATTTTATTTTTTCAATTTTATCTTCAACCATTGTTAAAAGATGGACGTTTGACAAGGTAGAGTTGCATGTATGAGGTACCTGTGATGACACTCTGCCCGGACCTGCAGTCTCCATTCCTTCCTCAGCTCCCACCACATGTCATACCACACACAAAATGTCACCTTCAGCAGGTGCTTGTTGAAATGGGTTCTGGAAAATTGCAAAGTTCATATCAATCCTGGGCTTACAATAGAAGCACATAATTAATCATATTACAATATTGTGTTTGCATTTCGTTACTTCCTAAAACATGTTTATCTACATCACTCGCCATTCTAATAATGCAAAGAAATCATATCACACTTAACGAACAACAACATGTTCGCTCAAGAGAATGACATCTCATACTGCTGTCTATTTCTAAAAACATGATAAAGATGCAAGCACTATCGCCCACCATGGCTATGTCATAAGCGAGTGAGTTGGGTTTAACGCCGCTTTTAACAGTATTCCAGTTATATCACGGCGTGTCAGCTTAATGTGGGAGGAAAGCCTGAAGTGATGCAGGTCTTAGAGATTTACCACTTTGGTGAAACCCACGAGCACGGTTGCTGACAAACCTAGAAACATAATCGGAGTGAACCCACAATCATAGGTTTCTGGCATGCCCAAGGGATGCAACTCTGCACAGCGAATTGTGATGCCTTAGACCACTGGGCCATCCGTGCCCAGTGGCTATATCATGAGTGGGTTGGGTTTAACACTGCTTTGACCAACATTCCATTATATTACAGCATGTCCGCTTGATGTGGGAGTTAATCCTGGAGGTTATTGAACATAGGAAACTCCAAAATGACTTATCCAACTGGGTTAAACCCATGAGCACAGGTATGGTGCTGACAAACCTAGAAACATAATCAGGGTGAATGGTGATTTGAACCCACAATCATAAGTATCTGGCACGCCCAAGGGACGCAACTCTGTGCAACTTAGACGACTTGGCCACATGAGCCCTCGACCCAAACTTTCATAAACATGGACACTTATCATGCTTATGCATTTGCAATTGGTCCTTGTACAAGTTCCTGTTGTTACTCACCTTGCCTTGGAGAGAGTTACTCTTCCAAAAACATTTTTAATCCATAGATGTAGGAACTTTCTTGCAATACACCTGGAACAAATCAGACAGTGAATAACTGAACAGCTTTAGAAACTAACATTTTTAGTCCACTAGTCCTCATAACGATAACATATAGTAAATCCCTTTAAAATGGCAAAGTTCTACTAGTCCTTATGATACATTAACTATTGGACCGTTCGGCAAGGACTACTGGGCTAGTGCCAATTTCTAACGCTGTGCCACCACATCCTAAAATACATTTTCCTAAACCATCATAGCTACAGACTGTAAATAGTTGAGAGTGTGTTGGAGAGAGTGGCTGCATTCTAAAAAACAAAAACTTGTAGAATTTTCCTATTCGGAATATTCTATAAGTAATACGTTACCACTGTTATACCGAGGCTGTTGTCTCCCACAACTGCTGCTATAGCGAAATCTACCACAGAGATCTCAATTACCTCATGCAGCACGTGCGTAGCCACCTAGCTGCCATGTGACACCCTTCACTCTTGTCTCTTGCGAGAGCAAGTGCTCGGGGGACGGACGGGCGGGCAGCAGCCCAGTGGTAACGTATTACTTATAGAATATTCCGAATAGGAAAATTCTACAAATTACATTAAGTAATACGTTACCACTGTTATACCGAGGCTGACTACCACAGTAGGCGGCGGGGAGCACCTACAACCCGAATCCTGACTGCTAGCGTTTCTTCCGACCAGCGGAAGTAAACACCAAGGCGGAAGCACTCGATGCGCATGCACCTAGCTAGGCGTTACCCTATAGGAATACCAAAGCACTGTCAAGCGCATACCGTAAGGCTCAATTGTCATTGCCAAAACGATTTGTGACTCCAAACGGCCCCACTGGATAGGTATTTCATCGCCGCAGCGGATGAGAACACTGTATCCGCGTGAGCTTAATCTTAGATCAGGTTAAACAGTCGAAAAGAGGGAAATTAATTTCATTCAGACCGTATATCCCAGAGCAAGCCTACTTAAAGTATGCATTAGGCGCGTGACCTAATTCCAGTATTCGTAAGCATGTATCGCAAGGTTGGAATACACGACAGACAATTAAATGCATAATTGTCAAAATACAAATAAGGACAAAGCACACAAAAAGCCGCCCTCACCTGTGGTGTGAGTGCGCTGGTTTGCGGGACCCCAACTCCTGTACCCACGGCAGTGGGAACATTGGAGTCGACCCAGATTGACCACCGTGCAAGGTCAGACGCCTGAGGAGTTCGGAATTGCGCTGGGCACACCCCTTAGGTGCCCGCTTGCGCCGCGATCCGCGGGCCAAGACGGTGCACACTCTCCACGACGGCATCAGCGACCTGTTTGAGGTAATGATTGGCAAAAACCGAGTCAGAACGCCAGTAACAACCTCGTAATATTCTGCGAACAGAGATATTCGAGTGTAGGGCAAATGTTGCCGCTAGCGCCCTGATCTCTTGCGGGTTTGACCCCGCTACCGGTAACCCCCGAGACCGGTACGCCAGATTGATGACAGAACGAAGCCACAACGCAATCGAGTTGCGAGTTATGTCAACCGTGCGATTAGGGTTACACGATATGAACAGACGGTCACGCCCTTGTCTATACGTTCATTCGAAGCCTTAAGATAATACTTAAGGGCCCTAACCGGACACAGCGCTCTGTCCTCAGTATCAGCAGGATGTAAGATTTCTTTGAGTGATCTTACAGTGAATTCTCTCTCCGTTTGCCCGACTCTGATTCTTGGCGACGAAGCCCATGAGCAGGCCCAGGCGGACCGCTCCTTCGTCACCCCTATCGAATCGTACCTTGGCGACATCGAGTGCATGAATTTCGGATACACGTGCCGCCGTGGCAAAGGAGAGGAGAAATGCTGTTTTCCAAGTGAGACATGAAACGAGCAATATCCTGCACAGATACCTTATCTGGCGAATGAATGTGATGTTGACAACACCACTTCGTGAAAATAACCCAACGTGCATTATACACCTTCTGGGTAGAATCACGATGCATACTAACGTATGCCCGAGACGCCCGGAGAGAAAAATCTTTACTCCTCAGACGCTCGGTGACAACATCCACGCGTGCAGATTGAACTGCCCTGCGTTTGGATGAAGCTGACGGGTGTGAGGGTGGATCAAGAGATCCGGTCTCACACGCAGTGGAAGTGGCGACTGCGTGACCTGGGTCAGCAAGTCGGGGTACCACGATCTGTTCGGCCACATGGGCGCGATCAGTAACATTCGACAGCGAACTCCTCGGAGCCGGCTTAGAATGTGTGGTATCAACGCTGTCGGCGGGTAAGCATAAGCGTCCAAGCCCGTCCAGTCTAACGCGAGAGCATCGTGATCGATGGCCCTCGGGTCCGGGACTGGTGATACAAACAACGGGAGTTGATTGTTGAACCGCGTTGCGAACAGGTCGACCTTCGGACGACCCAAACGTTCGCACAGCCACTGAAACACTACTGGGTTCAACATCCACTCTGTGGGGCTCGGATCCTGAGGCCTCAATAGAGCATCGGCCAGTACGTTCCGCACACCTGGGATGTGACGGGCGCATATCTGGCACGGGACACTGTCCACCAGAGCGTAAAACTCGAACGTGAGATCGAGTAGCGAGTGACTGTGGGTTCCCCCCAGTTTGTTCACATAGGACACTACCGTCGTGTTGTCGGTCGCCAGCATGAGCCGGGCGTCGACGAGACGATGCTTCCAGTGATTGACTGCGTTGATCACTGCCTTGAACTCGAGGCAATTGATGTGAAGACCTAGTTCGTCTACGCACCACAGCCCCGAGCTCCCCTCCCCCTCTAGATGGGCGCCCCAGCCCACTAGAGAGGCGTCTGTATACAGGTTCAACGTGGCCCGGTAGGGCCGCATAGAGACTCCTGATATGACATTGTAAGGGACCGTCCACCACTCCAGATGCGGTCGGAGCCGATCCGGGAGGGCGACGGTCGCACTGTTCACCTCCGTTGCTAACAACTGGATTAAAAACCGTTGCAGCGGGCGGAGTTGGAGACGACCCCGTTCGGTGCAGTCCTGGGCTGATACAAGTAGCCCTAACAGCTGTTCCCAAAAGTGAACAGTCTGTTGCACCGCTAAGACTTTGGCAATCATCGCCTTAATCTTGTGCCACCGGTCTGGGGGGACAAAGAGGCGATGGGACACCGTGTTGAACCGACCTCCGATGAACAGCAAGTTCTGAGAAGGGGTTAACTCGCTCTTGGGGAGATTGATAATCCACCCCAATTGCTCCAAGAGCCGACGTGCGAAAACGAGATGGCGTGACAGGGTGTCCGTCATTCGATTTGCTACTAGCGAGTCGTCCAGTTACGCGAAGTACCGGACACCCCTCCTGTGGAGGAACCCCACTATGGGGGTGGTTAACCGGGTGAACAGCCAGGGAGCGGACGTGTGAATCATTCTGAGTTCGGCACTGTCCTACTTGGGAACGAGAAATATCCTGGAGTAAAACCCCGGTGTTATTTCTGGTAGAGCTAACTCCCGTACTGCCCCTTCTCCACCAACCTGCCGATGGCATCGGCGAGGATGGGAAGATCGGTTTCCGAATCGAAACCTGCCAACGGGGCAACGGTGAGCGGCGGATTCGCTTTCAGATCAAGCCGATAGCCGTACCGAATCGTGTTGACCACCCACGGGTCGTCGAACACTTGTTCCCAATTCTCCCAGTAAGTCTGGAGTCTGGCTCCCACTGGGGAAGGAGAGGGGGCCCTGACAGGCTGCGGCAGGTGCAACTGTCCAGGGCCAAGTGACTCGGGTTCGCCTAAGGGCCAACCGAAGTTGGCGCTGTCGGCATACGAACCCCTCCAATGAGAGTCACCTGGAGGGGCCCTTGCCGTCCGTTGACGACTTGGGCTTCCCCCAGTTCCCCGTCTTCCCGCAAAAGGGCAGCTGATTGCCCATACCGGAGCCCTCAGGGCGGGGCTACTTCCCAGAGGAAGAAGAACCCGACCCCTTAGACCTACCGGCCGCAGCAGCCTGGGGCGCGCTCCGGTTAGGAGCGGCACCCAGGCGCCTATGCAGGGACCCAACAAGAGCAAGTGTGTGCCGAGAGTCCTCGGCAACGTACTCCAGGGAAACATTTAAACTGAGCAGGCAGTTGTAAATGCGCTGGTCACGGTCCGTGGGAGATCCTTCGACCAGACGGGCCGCTGCAGCCAAGTAAGTGTCTCCGTGAGACATGGAGTGCCGAGCGAGGGCGTCCGTTGACGACTTGGGCTTCCCCCAGTTCCCCGTCTTCCCGCGAAAGGGCAGCTGATTGCCCATACCGGAGCCCTCAAGGCGGGGCTACTTCCCAGAGGAAGAAGAACCCGACCCCTTAGACCTACCGGCCGCAGCAGCCTGGGGCGCGCTCCGGTTAGGAGCGGCACCCAGGCGCCTATGCAGGGACCCAACAAGAGCAAGTGTGTGCCGAGAGTCCTCGGCAACGTACTCCAGGGAAACATTTAAACTGAGCAGGCAGTTGTAAATGCGCTGGTCACGGTCCGTGGGAAATCCTTTGACCAGACGGGCCGCTGCAGCCAAGTAAGTGTCTCCGTGAGACATGGAGTGCCGAGCGAGGGCGTCCGTTGACGACTTGGGCTTCCCCCAGTTCCCCGTCTTCCCGCGAAAGGGCAGCTGATTGCCCATACCGGAGCCCTCAAGGCGGGGCTACTTCCCAGAGGAAGAAGAACCCGACCCCTTAGACCTACCGGCCGCAGCAGCCTGGGGCGCGCTCCGGTTAGGAGCGGCACCCAGGCGCCTATGCAGGGACCCAACAAGAGCAAGTGTGTGCCGAGAGTCCTCAGCAACGTACTCCAGGGAAACATTTAAACTGAGCAGGCAGTTGTAAATGCGCTGGTCACGGTCCGTGGGAGAACCTTCGACCAGACGGGCCGCTGCAGCCAAGTAAGTGTCTCCGTGAGACATGGAGTGCCGAGCCAGGGCTTCCAGCTGGTGCAAGGTAGCTTGCGTTACCGTAGCAGCCGGTGGGGCACGGACACCGAACCGCTCAACATGGGCCTCCGCGGTAGGACCAGCCTCGGGAAAGGCAAGGTCATGTACCGGGAATAAACCCTTTCTCCACGACCTCGGAGGCAACGGGAGACCCCGACCGGAGGCCGCCGCGAAGGCGTTCTCCAAGGAAGGCTTGATACCGCGCAGCAAGGTTGATGCGGGGAAAGCCGTGTCGGAAGACTCATCGTATACCTCGGAGGAACCCACAGTCGTGGATTCCCCGCGGTACCGGCCGGGGCATGTCCTCAAAGAGGTCATAAACCATGGCCACGCGGTCCTTAACCGATAGCGGGAGCAACGGTTCGGGGGAAGGACCGGTGACCGGTGACCGCCGTACTGGTGGAACCCGCGTCCGACCCCCCGGCCACCGAAGTGGCCGGGGACGGAACAGCCAGCGGCCTATCCTGAGATAAGGCCGCCAGCTTGGAGTCCACAAGTTATGCAAGTAATGCAGCGACGGAAACCCCGGACAGCCCACGGGCCGCCAAGGGATCCGCCGCAGCCATGGTGGTGGTACCCGCAAGGGGACCCCGACCGGACGAGCCGGCCACCACAGGGGTGGAAACGGACTGCACATACAGCCGGTAGCGCTCGCTTGCGGCACACCCCGCAGCTCCTGGTTGCGGGGGTAGAGGGGGTGGAGGACGGCGAAACATCCATGTCAGACATTTTGTTTGTACTATGAACAAAGAGCAAAACATGGTTACAACACACGCACCACAAATAGTCACAAACGAGTATTTTCACAAGAAAATAAACGAGCAATGGGAATATAGAACAGACACATATAACATATAGAGGAATAAGTGATGTAAAAAACCCAAGATATACTAGAACAGGGGAACGTAAGACGCAACGTGCATACGAGACACCCCGCAAGTATATAGAAAAAAAAAGGGCGGGAAAAATATTTCCAAGCGTAGTTACAGCATACGCCCCGTAAAAGCACAGTTTATTAGAGAGAATAAACAGTAATAAATATCACCGAATGGTCGGAGAAACAGGAACGCTTGAGCAGTTTATTGTACGTCTTGCTAGAGCAAGCGAAGAGACAAGAGTGAAGGGTGTCACATGGCAGCTAGGTGGCTACGCACGTGCTGCATGAGGTAATTGAGATCTCTGTGGTAGATTTCGCTATAGCAGCAGTTGTGGGAGACAACAGCCTCGGTATAACAGTGGTAACGTATTACTTAATGTAATAAAGTGCTGGATGAAAAAGTCGGTGGCTCAACATGTTCTACAGTCTTTGTAGATGATCATTCAACGTTACCATGGTTACTTGTTAACAGGTTAATGGAAAGCTTAAAACATGAAAATAGTTTGTTCTGAGGCAAGGGTTTTTGGAAGGTTGTGACTATCATGAGTATGTGGAAATATTTTTTCATTTGAGAAAGTATGCGTGGTGTGCAACTTTCAACTTGGGTCAGACTTAGCAATCAAGGGACACAATTCTGCATAGCAATACAGTAGACATGGTTAAATGAAATGGGGTTAACGTTGCTTTCAAGGTTTTTGTACTTAAATAATGACATGCATGCACCTGCGTATCGTTGCATGTACTATTTCGGATCTATGCGGTTTTATAGTGCTAGCCCCTTGAGATATTGTGCCGCAGTTTAACACTGATACCCAACTCAGACACGGTACACTCTGACCCGACCAGACCTTGTTTTATCCACTTAATGACGAGCGCAAGGCAGGGTAACAAAAATGATCATCTTTTAAGGTCTTTTTGTATGATGCGGATGGGGACTGAACCACTGACTTCCTGCTCTCCGAACAGACACTCTATCAACTGGACTACGGAGGGGTCCACTCCTTGGACGACAGTGCTCCAACATGGATTAAGCCATCTTCCTGAGGCAAGTGAGTTAACTGATTATAAAAGTCCAGTTTCCACACTTGCCAAACTAGGCTGGTATTATGGAGTTACATTTTGGCTGGACTAACGAGTCTGTGCATAGTCCAATCAAAATCGCATGACGAAAACGAAATCTGGTTGGAAAACTGTCATGCAGATTTCGGTCAATTGCAGGATTTGCAAAGCATGTGCACCGCCAACTCGTTGTCAACAGATATTTTCTAAATCTTTTCATATTTTTTATCAAGGTGCTCACGTGATTTGATGTACTTCACAATATAAGACTCATTTTAGCACAATATAGATCTTGATTATCGACCAGATCATCTTGACTTTTGTTTGAAGCAAATGCAAGTGATACAAAAGGTGGAATCTAATTGGTCCATAGGCATGATAGGAGAGGCATGGAAGGGACATAACTCGTTATAGCCATAGGTGTCACTATCATCGAGCCAAGGAATTCCAGCCTAGTTTGGCAAGGGTGGAAACTGAACTTTAAAAGTCAGTTAACTCTCTTGCCTCGGGAAGATGAGATTGAACAGGGTATTCCAATACCTTATTCTCAGTTCTTTAACACGTCCTCCTCTGTTCCACAAATAATCCGGCCTGTAGTTGTGAATGTTGATGTTGGATTTGGGCTGCTTGTTCAAGACTCTCTCCTTCTCCCATCGCCTCTGTCTGGCCTGCGACACTGGGATCCTGGTCGGGCTGCTGACGACATCCCGGACACTCTGGACACCTGGTACCAGCTGTGTAGCTCTGTAACTGATCACACAGTAATCTTCACGCATCACACAGATTATTTAGTTTCTCGGTATATCAGTCTGTACCAAAAAACAGTTGGGTCTACTTGCCTAAACCTGTCAGTTGACTTCTTTTTCAGCAGATCTTTGTGTTAACAGTTAAAATGGCTAATGTATGGACTTTTATTTGCGTAGCTTACTAGACCGAATTCTTTATTAGTCTTGGGCTTTGGACTGGTGGCTAAAGTCACAGAATGCCATACTTTATTACTTTTTCAAAGTTTATGAATGCACCTATCCTACATTTGGCACAGTGCAAACATTATATAACAAATAAAAGTGTGTTAAAAAAAAAATAGAAGCTTATTTAGTAGTTTGGAAAGGAAAGAAATGCACATTGTTGAAACAATAAGGAAGTAAAAGGTTAATAAACTCCTCTGTAGAGAAAGAAGAGAATACTACTGGTATGTCCAATTACAATTTACCGACAAACCCTTTGAATATGATCATTTTATAAGAGTGAGTGAGTGAGTATGGTTTTACGCCACTTTTAGCAATATTCCAGGAATATCACAGCGGGAGCCATCAGAAATGGGCTTCACACCTTTTGTATCCCCCTGTGGGAAATCAAATCCAGGACTTTTGCGTAACGAGCACACTTCAGCCACAAGGTTACCCCAGTGTCCCTCATTTACTAAGACAACATGGCCATATAACATGGTGGAAGTGTGGAGGTAATAGCAACGAAATCAGGAAGGGCTAAAGAAGTCAAAACTAGAATCAAATTCAGTGTAAATATGGTGAAACTTTATGTTAACCATGTTAACATGATATTCTTTCCCTCTTCTGCAACATGTTTTTTGTGATCCCAGACAAACGGATTACAGGCGATTGGACATGCTGCTAATCTGTGCCTGCTTTTCTGTCAACCACCATATGGCAAGTATTGCAGACAAATGGAGCCACAAGGCTCTGTAGTTCACCTCACTTAATAAGCGATAATTTTATGTCACTTCAATCTTGTTTGGGTAAACATCTATGGCGAGAAAGAGAAAGATTGGTTAAAACAATCGTAAAAAAAAATATTTATGGAACTTTGTCTAGAATGATGACGTTGAGCATTTTGTGTGCAAATAGTGATGCCTTGAACAAACTTGCATTTTCTTCTTGTCATTTCATTCACATAGTTAATCTTGTGTTTCTTAAGAAGAAGATTTCAAACTATTTCGTACAATTAGATTTTTAAAATATTTTTTAAAAAGAGCTTACAACAAAATCACATCGGTATACTCAAGATGAGATGTTTTCATAAGAAGGAACCTTCAGATTTCAACTTCATCAGTCAAGAAGTATCAGAGAAGATATTTCACATGTTTAAAGGCATGGTAAAAGGGCAAAGGTCTTTCAACTGCAAAGATGAGTGGAAGGGTTACATGAGGTCACATGATCACAGGGTCATGAACCACAGTGGCAGGCCTGTTTGCTCTGGTTTCCAATTTTGCACCTACTTTGGTTGTAATTACCCATGGCAGCATTTTCACTTTGGTGAAACCAACTAGTTGGCAGTAAAGGTTAAATCAAGGTCAAAATTTGTATCTCACAACATTTAACATACATGTTAGGCCCCACAACTGACAAAACCCATGCCAAATTTAAATACATTTTGAAAAACGATAATTGGCCTAAGTAGGTTTCTAAATATGTCCGTCACAGTGGCCATGTTTAATTTGTTTGTTTGTTCATTGTTTGACGCTGCTATATGACAGCGGTCTGTAAATAGTCGAGTCTGGACCAGACAATCCAGTGATTTACATCATGAGCATTGATCCACGCAATTGGGATACGATGACATGCATCAACCAAGTCAGCAAGTCTTACCATCCGATTGCATTATTTGCCTCTTACGACAAGCATAGTCACATTTTACGGCATGCATGCATGAGTTGCTGAAGACCTATTCTATCCCGGATCTTCACAGGTCTCCTGCTAATTTAAACATTCTATTTTTCTGCACTAATAACATATTTGCCACCCCTTACTATGACTGGCTTAGTTGCTGATATAAGCATAGCTGTCAATTTTACATCTCACATTGGCGGAGCCTTCTAACAGGTCAATGTGCTGCCACCAATTAGTGACACATAGAAAGTTTGGGAGTCAAAGTTTTATATGAAACATTATGAACGGATGAGGGGATATGGTAACTGCAGCTACTTTACTATCATACTAAATTACGATTCTTAGAGTTCGGATATGACTAAAGAACCTGAAAACAATGACTCGTAACTAACATGCCCTGCTCCCATTTGATGTGTCATTTCACTCCCCAACCAGGAATATATGTTAAAACTGCTGAAAACGGAACCACTTTTTAGCTTAACCATGTTATGATTGTAATGATAACTTTTGCAAAAATAAATAAATAGTGCGTACGTTTCATCATTGCGTTTTTCAGTTCCAACTTCCAGGATACTATTGTCGTGTCTCGTAGAACCATCGCTTAGATTTCGTGTCTTTAATCGCATTCTTTCTGCACGTATTGACAGATCTGTGCCAAGTTCTTGCAAAATTGCCCGCTTGGCCTGGACGCGGTCAGCATTTTGACCTTGTGCTGAATATCGTTCTGCTTTCATCACTGCATTTGAGAAACCATTTTCGCTGGTAACTTTCTTAAAATTTCGTCTATCCATTACTGGATAATCCTTCAAGTTTCATGAATGCATGTAAAGAAATGTAACCATGGGGCAAGACTAGGCTCGTGTGCCGCCATCTTCCAAACAAACCTCAATTAAACATTCATCAGCGGTCTAAGTAGCTAACAGCATAGGCTGGATAAACGGCTCAACAATTGATTTATTCCAAAGGGAGGTAATGCCAAGACACGAATCACTAAGAACACAGCTACTTTCGAAAGTACGTGCTCAAACCCCGTTCACCGATGATGATTTTATTTGTTGAAAAACATTTGCACGTTTGTATGTTGCAGAGATAGGTGTACTTGCAATCTAGGAGAAGTTCATTGACGTGAGCTCATGTAAAACTCGGAATATCGGCTATGAATACAGCTTGGAGTTTAGAGTAGGCCTAACAACTGTCATGATCGCCGAATGTTTCAACAGAATATATTTGCGTTGGAAGTATGTTTTACCTCTGAAAAGATGTTTGATGTTTAACGCTGCACTCGACAATATTTCAGCTATATGTCGGCGACATATAAGTAATCGAATCTGGACCAGACAAACCAATGAATGCTATTGTGAGCACATGATGAACACAACCATGCAAGTCACCACGGGCCTGACCATCCGATCCAGCAAGTCACCTCGTACGACATGCATAGATTGCTGGGAATTATTCTAACCGGAATCCACACGGGAGATGAAGAGAAATACTTATCAGTGGAGTAATTGCTGGTTATAGATAAACTGTCCATGGAACTATATCCGTCTGAAACTATAGTTGATCCTGGCGAACACGATACAATACTCTCATATACTTCAAACGTTGATTTGGTTCTGAATTAATAAGGATAAAGCATAAGTATTGCGTGTTGTAATGTTACTTTGATAAAAAAAACACACACAAAAAACAACAATATGGATATATATAGTTATTCAGACGCAGCATAAATGGTTTGTAAAGTTTAAGATTGACTTTTTAAACATGTCAAAAAGATGTTTTAAGTATATTTTCGCTATGTATATAATGCAGTGTTTGGGACATGAACGCACAATTTCTTTCAACGACATAACTGTCTATGATATTTAAAGAACGTTTATAATTTTGAGTGACGTCGTTAAACACATAATCTTCATTTAATATCGTATTCGTTGTCGTTTTACACTGACCAAAAAAAGTTAAGAAACATAAATAGTGTGGGGAATATTGCTTATATAATTGTAAATTAATCATAAATATACAATTCTTTACTACAAAAATAATGTTCCCTAAAAATATTCATGTTCTTTAACTAATTTGTATATTTACGAGTGGGGTCGCTAAACTAAAAAACATAATAGTTTGAAATAACACATTAATAACCAGTCTTCAAAATGATCTAACAATGTTAGAGAGTAGCTTGCTTCTTTCTTGATTCAACTATGACCCATGGATGATCATGTTGACTAACTCTGCAAAACATGCTGTTCCATCTGTGTAACCATGGACCCTAAATATGGTATTTAAGTGTCCATGGTGTAACATAGGCTCAATCCGCCATGTTCTTGATAAAGGACCGCCTCCGTGGTCTAGTGGTAGAGCGTCCGCCCTGAGAGTGGAAGCTCCGGCCGCGTAATACCAAAAGACGTTAAACGATGGTACTTGTTGTTACCCTGTCTGACGCTCGGCATAAGGGGCTAAAACAAGGACTGTTCAGCTAGGAGTCAGAATATACTGTGTCTGAATGGGATATTCATGTTATCTCAGTGAGCTAGCACTATAAATCGGCATCAGTCCGAACTAGTACAAGCAGCCACACGCACGCACGCACGTGCATGCACGTCGCAATAATCTTGGACGCGACGTTAACCCCAATTTCACCTCACCTCACCTCACCTCACCTCTAAATATAGACCGCCTCCGTGGTCTTGTGGTAGAGCGTCCGCCCGGAGAGCGGAAGGTCCAGCGTTCGATCCCGGGCCGCGTCATACAAAAAGACGTTAAAAGATTGTACTTGTTGTTACCCTGTCTGGCGCTCGGCATTAAGGGGCTAAAACAAGGACTGGTCGGCTCGGAGTCAGTATACTGTGTCTGAGTGGGGTATTCATGTTAAACTGCGGCATGGTATCTCAGTGAGCTAGCACTATAAATCGGCATCAGTCCGGACTAGTACAAGCAGCCACACACACACATACACGTGCATGCACGTCGCTATATAAGTGCAATAATCTTGGACGCGACGTTAAACCCAATTTCACCTCACCTCTAAATATAGACGCCACTGACACTTACAAAAAACGTCAGAGTTTTCTCGTTTGGACTACTGTAACCGCTTGCTGAAGGTTAACTCTGGCAATACAACTGGCGAGGCTCAAGCAAATTCGAAATACAGTCTCATGCATTGTTTCAAAGACTAAAGAGCGATTGCGATCACAGCTGAGTGTAGCGCCAGCGCAGCATACACAGGGAACCAGGCCATTGCGATCATCGCACTGAATGCACGTGCATGAACGGATATACTTTAAATGCTGTCTATTCTGTCCGATATCACTCAGTAAACCGAATTGCTCCTGTAATCCTCAAGAACTGACATCAAAATATGTAACTTTTCCTTGATGTCCCTTCTACAGACTAAAACCGTTTGGAGCAAATAACCCAAATATTTCCATTCGTCAGCTGCATCTCTGTGGAATTGTTTTCCACTGACTACTGACTTTCTGACTCTTTGCGCTTAGAGCATGGCCTCTGTGATATGGACTATAGCGCTTTTTATATGGCCTTATTTTTGTTTCACTCGGAAAGGACGTCGGGTTTTTATCTGATTTGGTCTCCTGTCTCGTCACATAGTTATTCATCGGTTGACATTAGACATACTTGGAGAAATATAAATAGATAACAAAAGTCACGCGTTTTCCGATAACAACAACCCGTTAACATAGTGTAATGTGCTTGTTCGAATAGAGCTTGGTTGTGTGAATTTTATTTCTCTCACGGTAAATACTAGACTAGTTTCCAAAATGGCAGCCACCATAAGCAGAGCTGCAGCGAAGGTATACATAATTCCTCTCATTTCTTAATCAGTAACACGTGTGACCTATACTAAGGTGTGTTTTGTAACTAACAACCAAATACCCATGTCTTCATAAAAATGGATAACTGACACCCTTTTCACTTCGAATGAATTGGTCGTACTCCAAAGTCGACCTTCACATTTTCTTATTACACAATGTCTCCAAATCGAAGGCGATTGGATGTAACTGTGGGTGTGTTCGTGGTATATAGGGAACTGATGTGACCTATGAATTTTAGGCTGTCTTTCATCCACGTAATGAACGTGATAAACGTAAAGTAAATCATTTTAATTTTATTGTTAACTTGTTAACGAGGAAATATTTGTTTATATGAAAATGATAATTTTTCGAAATGAAATCAGCAGATTTACCATTTTCACCGTTTTTTCGCCGTTTCTGGGCTAAAATGCAATTTCCCAGGAGCTTCACCCTCTAACGACAGCTCAATACGGAGCTATAGTGCTACCGCTGTCACGCTTTATTGCTACCATGGTTCACTCTCGAATGGGAGCTGACACGCCTTGGCGATCAAACACCCCTTTAGGGCAATAATTAGCCAATCCGGTAAGCCAGTGAGGCGTGTTCGAGTCCACTACCGGGTAAAAGGATCTGAAAATGTGTGCCCGGTAAAGTGCACTACTCCACATTTCTGTTTCCTAAATCTTGACCACAAATATAACAAATAATTGTTGAACATTTGTGACGCATCTCAAATAACAGCTCCAAGGAATCAAACAATTTGTATTCTTGTAACATGTCTCAATTATGTAACATAATTTGTTTGACCATGTGACCTTAACATGAAAAAGGTGGATACTAATTACCAGACTAAAATTGGAGCTCCTTTCGAATACAGTACCACAACTTCACGTGAGGATGATCATTGCCGTAGATCCCATGTCTCAAAGACAAGCAACCATATTTGTGAGAATCCTTCCTACGTGAACTTGCGACCTTCAGATTGTTAGCCCGACAGCTACCCGACTGAGCTACATTCACACTGTTAAACTAAAAAATAAATTTACCAAGTCATGTAGAAGTCTTTACGGGACTGAGCGGAAAGGCATGTTGTCTCGTGACTTTAGTCTTTAGACATCATGAGTGATCCCGATGCCATTTGGCACACTCGTCCCATTCCATAATCTACAAGATACCGAGTGGTGAGGAATGAGACAATATGGTGGCAACCAAACCGACTTACATTCAGTTTACATGGAAGAGGTTTTGGCAAGAACAATTTGCTAACACGGAAATGTTGGAGAACTGAATTTGAGGGGGCAGTGCAGGTTTTGGCTGATTTATTAAGATGTTAACATGCCATTTTAACTTATATCATGAATATAGCCTATCATTTGTTTTATGACTAGGTTCTTCGGTCAGCAACAGTTCGAAGTCTGTCCCAAACTAACAAAAGATGGTTTTCACCTTCTGCGTCCCACCTGCGGTCTATGTCTGCAACAGACCTCTCCACCTTGCAAGAGGGCTTCCGGGCAGCACCTCTCACCATCCTCAGTGATGAAGAACGCATGATGAAGGAAACTGGTAAATACAGACAATAGCAGATCAAGTTAATTAAAATTGTCTTCCACTTTATTGTCAGTCACAAATCCTTCATCCTTGCTTCAACAGTCATTTTGTCTCTTTCGCAAAACTACTGTTACTATCAGGACAACAAGAGTTTGTTTGTTGTTTAACGCCGCAGTCAGCAATATTCCAGCTATATGACGGCGATCTGTAAATAATCGAGTCTGGGCCAGACAATCCAGTGACTGATATCATGAGCATCGATCCAAGCAATTGGGATCAATGACATGCATCAACCAAGTCAGCGAGCCTGACCACCGGATCCCGTTTGTCGCCTTTTACAACAAGCAGAGTCGCTGCGTGGGTTGCTGAAGACCCCAGATCTTCACTGGACAGGACCACAGAGAATTATCTCGGGTTCCAGATGTACCCTTGGCAGGCAAATTTGACAAAAATAGTTACTTTTGCTCACATTCAGCTTTTTTAAAGTTCTTATTTTCCTATATCCAGAGGTGTTTCAAAATTGAATTTTAACATTGCATTTAGGATTTGTCTGTGTAGGCTTTCCGCCTTAAGTAGAAATAACTGCTGTGTTAAACCCCAACTCACTCACTCAAGCTGACCAATCTGACTGTAGTCCATCTATCTGATGTAAGGTTAAGTTAATGGTGAATTTGTGGTGAAAAATATGAAAATGTCTATTATTTCTTGTAGTTGCACGGTTTGCGGCTGAGAAAATACAACCGCTGGTGAAAGAAATGGACGAGCATGCCGTTTTCGACCGATCTCTTGTTGCTGGGCTTTTTGAGAATGGGGTGAGTTACAATAAATGTCATTTAGATCACTTGAGCATGTTGGTTAAACATGAAAAGATTTGGAAAATATCTGTTGATGTCAAGTTGGCGGTACACAGGATTTTGCAAACCCAGCAGTTAACCAAAATCTGCATGGCAGTTGCCATGTCATTTTGTAAACCTGATGTCATTTTTGTTACGCAATTTTTGATTGGACTATGCATAGACTCTTTAGGCTAGCCAAATGTAACTCCACCCGAGTTTGGCAAGGCAGGCCTCAAAGTTTCAATTTTTACCAAGTAGTCCTATGGCTACAAGTCTTTTTTTCCAGGTAGCCAGTGGTAAAATCAAGAAGTCAAGCCAATATTGTAGGTAGCCAAAAGCATTTGAAATTATCTTTTATCAAATAACTATTATATGTGCAAGTCATGGCACTAGTCTTGGAATTTTTATTAGTGGAAACTGTACATGCTGTACTTGAGTTTTGTTATTTGTGACTCGAACAATGATGCATTTTATATTACTAGATTATTCAGGTATATCCTTGCTTATCCAATAAACTATCAACTAAAATGAAATATACTAATTACATTAATATGTATGCATTTCGGCTCATTGTTGACTTTAGGAGGAATTATTTGCAAGTACAATCAGTAGTAGACATGTTTATTTTTGTGTCTACATATGTGTAGCAATAATTTAGTCACCACAAGATATTTTTGAAGGTAGTCATTTGGCTACCTCTGAATTTTAGTCGCAACTTTGAGGCCTGCAAGGATGCCATAATCATGACAACTTCCAAATGACTCTGTCCCACCAGAAATAATGGGTCTTTCCCTCTACAGTTGATGGGCATAGAGATCCCTAGTGAGTACGCTGGAACAAACTCCACGTTCTTCGTGGCCAATCTCGTTGTTGAGGAGATAGCCAAGGTGGATCCGGGAATCTCCCTGCTTGTAGACATCCAGAACACTCTCATCAACCGTCTCATTGATGACTTTGGAACCAAGGAACAAAAAGAGAAATATTTGACAAGACTTGCTACGGACACGGTGAGAATGTTTTCTTGTATTAAAGGTATTCTGAACTGATATGAATAGTTTTCATATCAGTCAAACTTATTTTGAAAATAATTAAAAATTCTTAGTTAAAGCCATGGAGTTTGTTGTGATATTTTGGTGGTGTGTTTTAAATTTTGAGGTAGTCTAACTGTAGATTTGATACTTCTTTATTTTGATTTGAAGCCGAGCGCTTTCTCTAAAAAATTTAATTTGTGTGCATACTATACAGCTTCGTTAAGTGTTGTCATTTCATAATCAAACCAGTCAGGGTTTTGGTGTGGAACATCAAACTTGTAACCAGAAACATCCCATAATGTTCTGATATCGAACGGGGCGGTCAGGTAGCCTAGTGGTTAAAGCGTTCGCTCGTGACGCTGAAGACCCGGGTTCGATTCCCGACATGGGTACAATGTGTGAAGCCCATTTCTGGTGTCCCCTGCCGTGATATAGCTGGAATATTGCTAAAAGCGGCGTCAAACCAAACTCACTCACTCACTCACTCTGATATCGAACATACACAGTTCCCATGGGTTAGCGGCAGCAATTGTTTTATGCAGTGATATGTAGGCTATTGATGTATTCATGCGTACAGATTATTTTAGAAAAGATGTTTTGTAGAGGTATTATAATGGTATCTTGAGGTAATTTTGTTCTGTCTTGACCAATCAGAATCAAGCTTTCTTCAATATCATGGTATAAATAGAGGATATTTCATGTGTCAAGTGAGATATGTTTCTCTCATCGAGTGATGAGGGAAAGGAGATATTTCTTTATCATACAGTTGGATATGATTATATAGAAAATCAACTCCCAACAAAAAACTATTCTTCAAACCTACTCAACTTCTCAAATGACTGTCTGTCATTATTTTGCCTTGTCAATGTGGAACTAACGTAAAAAGGAAGTCAACAGTTTCTATACCGACGGGACAATATACGATAAAGGGAGACAATTTGTGGGGAGGTAACTCTTGACAAAAGTTCCATCAAAGTGTTATGTTGACTGGAGTGGCACATCAAGTGTTACGTTCATAGCAATGAAAATATCCCTTTTCTCAACTTCAGAAAACTCAGTCTTCCACACTGAAGTATATGATAATAACTATTATGCTGTAGTCCATAGATGCAAGTGTGGAAATATCAGTTCTTAATCTAATTGTTTTAACATTATTTGAATGCATAACTTATTAAATATGTTCTTGTTGCTTAAAGGCTATTATGTGTCTGTAGTATGGTGTACATTATATGACATGCAATCTACACATCTTGCAATGGAATCGCTTGCTTCTAAATTTAGGTTGACTTTGTTTTCAGGTTGGCTGTTTCTGTCTCTCAGAGGCTGAGTCAGGGTCCGATGCCTTCGCAATGAAGACGTCAGCTGTGAAGCAAGGCAACCACTTTGTTCTAAATGGCGAGAAAATCTGGATATCCCACTCCTCCTTTGCTGGCCTCTTCCTTGTATTTGCCAATGCTAAACCCACCGATGTGAGGCATTATCTTTTACGCCTCAATTCCTCTTCTTTTGACTTAGTCAATACATTACCCGTTGATATTAGGCACAGTCTATAGGATCCTACTTCCATGTATTCGCTAATTGCAAACCCACTTATGTGAGGGATAATCAACAGCTTCCCTGTATTTGTTAGTGCTATTTCCACCAATGTACTCAATGAGATAATTGGCACTGTTAGGCAAATAGCTGGGCAGAGTTGTGTCCCCTAGTTCTCCCAGTATCTGCTGATCATGGCTTCAAATTCCAGATTATGATCTTAAGATTTGTCATCACACTCCTCAGTCCTTGGTTTGTCATGGAAACATCTATGACATCTACTTCTGGCATTCCTCCCACATTAAACTAAGGTTAGATATTAACACTGGCCTGCTAGCCCAGGGCTAGTACAAATTCCTGCGGGCTAGTACAAATTTCCCAATGTCCCTATGGTTTTAACATTACAAAGACAATTTATCTTTACCCGGGCTAGAAAAACTTTTGAGTTTACCGGTAGTTCTAACACTGATTAGGGCTGGTCGGGTAGCCTAGTGGTTAAAGCGTTCGCTCGTCAAGCCGAAGACCCCAGTTCAAGTCCCGACATGGGTACAATGTGTGAAGCCCATTTCTGGTGTCCCCCGCCGTGATATTGCTGGAATATTGCTAAAAGCGGCATAAAACCATACTCACTCACTCCAAAACTTATTAAACCACGAGGTAACTGAAGTATTATTAAACCATCCTACTAACATGATGTGGGGGTATTCCACTAGAGAAGTGTTATTGTTGTAACATGGTGTACATGTCTTATACAGACAGGCTAGTTAATAAAATCAAGATATGATGCATTGATTTGACTTCAGGGCTACAAGGGCATCACATGTTTCATCGTGGACGCAGACTCCGAGGGCATCACCATTGGAAAGAAAGAGAACAAGGTCGGCATCAGGGCGTCAGAGACATGCTCAGTGCATTTTGAAAATGTCAAGGTGAGATTCTGACATCGAACATCGGAACATTTTCCGGTGTTGGTAAAATGTTAGAAAATAATGTGAGATATGTTTGGATGTCAAAGTGTGAAATTTTAAAAATTTGGTTGAATCATGCTTGATTTTAGAACTTCTTGAAGAATGATCATGATGCTGTTTGGCTGAGAGAGTTCTCCTGTCAAGACTATCTCACAGCAGTTTGTTTGTTTGTTTGATTGTTGTTTAACGCTGCACTCAGCAATATTTGACATATGGCGGCGGTCTGTAAATCATCGAGTCTGTACCAGACAGTGTGATAGATATGAAAATCGATCCACGCAGTTGGGATCAATGACATGCATCAACCAAGTCAGTGAGCCCGACCACCCAATCCCTTTAGTCGCCTCTTACTACAAGCATAGTAACCTGTGACAGCAAGCATAGGTTGCTGAAGACCTAGTCTACTCCGGTGGACTCACAGCAGTGATAAGATGGCATCCATGACTCATGGTACCCAAGGGTGTTGAACGGTGTGCTTACCACCAACCATTTAGATCAATTAAGGTTAACCCTTAGGGTGTGGACTGTCTCTGTGGTCTAGTGGATAGAACGGAAGGTCGTTGGTTTAATCCCTGGCTTTGTCATACCAAAAGATGTTAGAAAAGATGGCATTCGGCATTAAGGGGATAAAACAAGGATTGGTCGTCTTGGTGTTGGTATACAGTGTCTGAGTGGGAGATCCATGTTAAACCATGTAAACTGTGGCATTGTATCTCAGGATGCCAGCACAATAAAAATAGGACAAGACCCTGCTAGTACAAGTAACCACACACACATCCATCACACTGCTTTATAAGTGCAATAATCTTGAACGTGACATTAAACCCCATTTCACCTCACCTCAACTTTAGGTACAGAATGATATGTTTGTTATCAACCGTTTGATTTGACCAATGTGTAGTTTTTCACTTAGGATGTGGAGCGAAGTGTTTATAGCCAACTGCTTTATTTGGTTAATGTTTAGTCTTACACTTAGTCTTTAACTTTAACCATTTTACTGTATCATAATTTATATACACTGTAGTTGCATCTGGGTAAAACATTTGACAAAAGTGTGGAATATACATGTATTCATGAATTGATGTCTATTTCAATAATGTTTTCTCAGGTACCTGAAGAGAATCTCCTGGGTCAGTTTGGCCATGGGTACAAGTATGCCATTGGTGTGTTGAATGAAGGAAGAATTGGAATTGCATCCCAGGTACGTGGTCATGTTTCACAGGATTTAAGAGTTCCTACATTACTTTGGTGGCCCAGTTGTCTAAGGCGCCGTGATTCGCTGTGCAGAGTTGCGTCCCTTGGGCATGCCAGAAACCTATGATTGTGGGTTCGAATCCCGGTTCGCCCCTATTATGTTTCTTGGTTTGTCAGCACCATATCCATGCTCGTGGGTTTCACCGAAGTGGTAAACGTCTGAGACCTGCATCACTTCGGGCTTTCCTCCCACATTAATCTGACACGCCGTGATATGACTGGAATAATGTTAAAGCAGCGTTAAACCCAACTCACTAACAAACTCACAAGGTAAGGGGGTGGGGGTTAAGGGGGAGGTGGGGGGGATGAGATGGGGGTGGGGGGTGAAGTGGAGGGCACAGGTGCCCCAGTCATCTAATGTGTCACAATTCGCTGTTTAGAGTTGCCTCCCTTGGGTACACCAGAAACGTGTGTACGCCAGAAGGTACGTTTCTAGGTTTGTCAGCACCTTGCTCATGGGTTTCATTGAAGTGGTAAACATCTGATACCTGCATCACTTTGGGCTTTCCTCCCACATTAAGCTGACACGCCATGATATAACTGGAATGATGTTAAACCCATCTCACTCACTCACTTACAGAAGTGGTGTTAAACTCGCTCGGTCACTAAGTGTAAGACCCACAGACAATTCAGTGAGGATGGAACTGTCCCCCATCAGTGCAAACTTGTCATGATGGTGTTACACAATTTGGTACTGCCCAAAACTGAAGCACATGTAGCACATGTGGCGTTGTTTCCTTAGGTTTGTTAAAAATATGCCCATCTTCACCCAGTAGGATGACTGTTAACCTTCTAAGGCCTCACAGGCAGCTTGGTTTGTATGCTCCCCAGGGAGTTGAGAATGAAGATCAGGCACACGCTGATCCATTGACCAGGGTAATAGTGTGGCACTTTGAACATGCTTTAGGACGTGGATTTGCTGCATTCACATTATGATTATTGTTATCATATGTTGTACATGATGGTGGTACACATGTTGTTGTCATGTTGCAGATGCTGGGTCTGTCACAGGGCTGTTTCGACCATGCAGTTGCCTACACCCGGGAACGGAAACAGTTTGGACGTAGAGTTTGTGACTTCCAGGTTTGTTTCCAACAATGTTTGTTTGTTTGTTTGTTTGTTGTTTAACAGCTCACTCAGCAACATTTCAGCTATATGACGGCTGTCTGTACATAATCAGTTCTGGACCAGACAAGCCAGTGATCGATATCATGAGGATCGATCCACACAATTGGGATATGATGACATGCATCAACCAAGTCAGCGAGCCTGACCACCCGATCCTGTTAGTCGCCTCTTTCGACAAGCATGGGTTGCTTAAGACCTATTCCAACCTGGTTCTTCACAGGTCGTTTCCAACAATGAGTCATGTGTCACTAGCAAGGTGTACAGGCTTTTATTGGGTGGCAGGACCATGTACGTGAATGTTCTGTAGGGCTGGGACGAGTCCAAATTTACAGTCTGGGCACCCAACCCACGATTACCCGACCCTACCAGGGTACCCACTGTAGGTTTGAAGAGACGTACAAAATGTCTGATTGGGTATTGTTTGACTGGAGCCCTGGCAAAAAGTATTTTGATACACATATGAAATGATCTGGCCTTACATACAGTGACTGAAGCTTCCTAATCGGGTCCTACTCAGTACCCACACAACCCCAGTACCAAAATTACCCTTCTCAGCCTTATTGTTCTGTTCGTAAAATCATGTACTCCACACAACGGACACATGTAACACATTGTATTGATGTATTATTGATGACCATAGCGTGCAATACAAACACTGACTCAGTTTCCATTGTCAACCTTTTTGTTGTTGGTATCTTTGTTTTATCATGTATCCCACATCCCCTCAGGCTATGCAGCACCAGATCTCCCACGTGGCCACCCAGATCGAGGCTGCCCGGATGATGATCTACAATGCAGCTCGCCGCAAGGAGGCGGGGCTCCCCATCATGAAGGAGGGGGCCATGGCCAAATACTTCGCTTCCGAGGTACGGCACTCAGGCAGGGATAATGATGTTCCCAAAAATGTGCTTACTTTGTAAACATGAAATGCAAAATCAGTTTTTCAAAGCACTCTTTGGAGTGAGTGAGTGAGTCAGTTGGGTTTAATGCCGCTTTTAACAGTATTCAAGTTATATCATGGCGTGTCAGTTTAATGTGGGAGGAAAGCCCGAAGTGACGCAGGTCTCAGACGTAAACCACTTCGGTGAATCCCACAAGCACAGGTAACATAATCGGGGCGAACCGGGATTCGAACCCACAATCATAGGTTTCTAGCGTCCCAAGGGAAGCAACTCTGCACAGGAAATCATGGTGCTTTTGACGACTGGGCCACCCATGCCCCCCACTCTTTGGAAAAAATATTAACAAATATGTAGAATATGAAATACTTTACTCACCTGAAATGCCCATTCTTTTGCAAAAGATTTGAAATACAATCCAATATTAGGTTACAGATATGTTCTTGAGGCACCAGATTCTCAGTAAAACCATGAATATAAACTTCTTTTCAGTGTTTTTGCTTTTTTCTACAAATAAAGGTCACCAATCAGTACTGATTTCTAAAAAGTCATTGCTCTGGAACCATTTGTTTAAATTTATTCGTCGTTACTGTGTCGTTCATTGAAGTTTAAATATCTTTTTTGTTCTTTAAGTGTAGACAGGTTGTATGCAACAGCCGCCCTACCCACCCTGTTGTATGGTAGTTTTATGTCTGTGCTGCAGGTGGCCACACTGACCACGTCCAAGTGCATGGAGTGGATGGGTGGCGTGGGCTTCACCAAGGACTACCCCATAGAGAAGTACTACAGGGACTGCAAGATCGGTGAGTCTTCCTTCTTCTTGTTTACAGCATGTTGGTTGATATTAGAACTGCTTTGTGTGTTGCCATTCCGTCAAGACCATGTGAGCTGTACAACCATTTATTGTTCTTCCATTTTGTGGAAGCCTTGGTGGTGGAGTTGGTGAGTCTCTGTCTCTTTCTGCTGGCGTTTTGTTGCTTTACTCTGAGAGTGAGGGTTCGAATCCCGGATGGGAATCCACCCAAAATAATACTAGAAGTTAGACTCTGTAAATAATCAAGTCTGGACAAGACAATGCTGTGATTGATATCATGAGCATTGATCCACGGAATTGGGATCGATGCTCCGTTAGTTATAATGCTGTTTTCTACTACTACTACTACTACTACTACTACTACTACTACTACTACTACTACTACTACTACTACTACTACTACTACTACTACTACTACTACACTGTACTACTATTGTTATTATTATTTCAGGTTGTATTTACGAGGGAACGAGCAACATTCAGCTGAACACGATAGCCAGGTGCTTGGAGCAGGAGAGCCAGCAGTAGACGGCTCCAGATTGTGGATTCATGCGGGTATCGTCTCCAGAGATGGAGTAACGGACTGAGATGTTTGCATTGCGGCCCCGTCTGTCGTGCACATAGTTTACTATACGTGCTGCAGTCACTGTGATGTTAAGGCAGTCTCATGCTGGCACTAGTTGCAAGAATTTATAACAGATCAACTCACTGCGTGATAATGATGGAGATATCCATGAAATATAAAAAAATATTCCCAGTTAGACAAGATTGTACAACAATGTTTTGGGAGTAAACAGATAATCTATGTGTAGAATCAAAAGTATTGAAACATGTTCAAGCTTGTTTCACAAATCTTTTATTGATGTTTTTGCTAAGTTTGCCCTTATTGATAATATTGAAATATTTACAGCATTTGTGATCTCTGATATGTAAACGTAAGGCAGTAACCGGACTCTGATATATGTTGAACATATTTATGAATGTTTATGGAAGGTAGCAGTACAATTATCTTAATAGTTTTGTGAGCACTAGGACAAATGTGTGACAGTGTTGATTTCTACCACTTGCAGTGAAGTGACTGACTGTACAGATTATAGTAGGATGTAGGGGTGAAACGACTCAGCAAGGTCACGCTACGATACGTATCACAATACACTTGGGTATGATTTGCATTATTATGTCAAATCACATGGAAACTTCTTAACTAAATATTTTAGAACAGGGTCAAAGGGAAAAGCTTGCTGTAGCTGGTGTTTTCAGTCGTAAAATTGTAGCGCTAATTACAACTCTTATTGACAAAAACACTTGGGGGTCATTAAACAACTAGTAAGTGATATTTTTTGGTTAGTGTATTATTTCGTATCAATAAAGGTAATATGTATTGTGTATCGTATCGTCTCATGAAAACCCACGACCATGTTTCATACCCTTAACTGGTATTTATTTTTAACATTTTAAAGCTTTTTTCTTTTTATGAAGATGTTTAATGTTGGTTATTCGTTGTAATTGTTTTCAGTGGGCTGTTAGTTAACCGACAGATAAAATTTGGCCATGTGTTCTCAGAAACATGCATGGCTCAAGTACGTGAATGCTACAGTAGCCATAACAGTCAAGGGGGCTGTCGGCTAGCCTAGCGGTTAAAGCGTTAGCTCGTCACAACGAAGACCTGGGCTTGATTCCCCAAATGGGTACAATGTGTGAAGTTAATTTCTGGTGTCCCCCGCCGTGATATTGCTGGAATATTGCCGAAAGCGGCGTAAAACCATACTCACCCACTGTAACAGTCGAATCAATCTTGAATCTCAGCAGATGTAACTTATAACATGGATGTGTAAATATGTAAATAGTAGTGTGTAAAGATTATGTAGTGGTATGTTTGTAGAATACTACTGACCGTACCACTGGTTGTATGATTTGAAGGAACAAGTTCTGTAGTGTATCATGCCAGCTAATTAAGGATATCTGCACTGTTCAGTTTGATGGAGATAATGATGGCATTTCATTATCTGTGTCCTATGTACCCAAAATTATGTATGTTATCATTTTCAGAATTGGTATTAAAAATCAATGTTAATAATCAGGGATGAGAATTTTCTGTGGATCCGCGAATTTTAGTGACCACAAATTTGTTAAAATCTGATAGCTTCCCCCATAAACACTCCCAATTTATGGACCATGCTCCATTACAAAGGAGTTTCAGCTGAAAAGGAAAATATAAATTCTCATCCCTGAATAATGTGTACATTAATAAGGGTAAGCTATTTCATAAAGTATGTAAAGATTGTTGATAGATTAGATCTCAGTCCCTGTTTGTTAGCACTCTCATGACAGTAAATTTAATATATACATCAAGCAATTTATTGTTTGAGATATACCTGTAGTACTAACGGGAGTGGTATTTGTGTGAGTGCTAGATTTTCTTGTTAATTGATGAGAGTGGTAGACCTGGGTTGATGGTGTTTGTGTGAGTATGTTTGTGTCTTTGTTGTGTGGAATATGTATTCAAGCACTAGTGGTCAAGCAGTGTGATATGATGTCAACATGTTTCTCGATCATTCGTCACCACTTGCCCCTTTCTGTAACCTGTAAGAGGACTTGTCCCCCTTTCGATGAATGTTATGTACGGCAAACCAATCAGAATGTGCGTATAAAGTTCTTCGGTCAAAGAATCCCTCAAGAATAATTTTTGGTGTTTTACATGTCTTGCATCTAAAAATCTACCCAAGATACAGTTAAATGTGTTCAATCATACGGTATCAAACTGCATGTCCCGGTGTTTAAAATAGCATCTGGAATATATATGATATACGGGGGAAATATACGTGAATCATTACGCAACAAGGTTGACAATTCTTTTAGCTATGCCAATTTGTGCTTAGACAGAACACGCTCGCAAAAATGGCCGCCAGAGGGGCACGAGTCAATATTCGGCTTGTCCCGAAATAAACATGAGTTGGTCACGAATGGTTTCCCGATTTGTGTACGGTTGTTTATCCTTTAGTATCAGAATTGTCAAGAGTTAATGAGTTCTTCTGTTAATTGTGTAGCCACTATCCATGATTATTTACCACAGACAAGAAAAAGCAGTATGACCTTGTGGAGGGCATGGTTTGTTTCGGTAAATCTAAACTTTTTTTCATTACAATAGTTTATGTAAGTTATCATCGATGACAACAATTTCATATCAAAATCATTAATATTTCTTCCTATCGACGATAATTCTGATTATCAATCTTTTTTACCAGCCCTCGGACTCACTAACATTTGTGATGTGGCAATGTTGGGGATACCAAGGTTAATTAATTCTCAGAGGGACTAATTGTGTACTTGCTATGTATGATTGTTCACCACTGACACAAAGGTAAATCAGTATTACAATATATTTCTTGTGACGAGAAAGTAGCTGGGGATGTAGTATTATTACAGATGACGGAGCACAGTTATGTCTGAGGGATCAGAGAGTCGTTGGAGAGAATCCAGGAATGGTACAGATATCAGCTTTAGAAATTGGCACAGGTCCTGTTGTTCTTGCCAAAGTGCCCAATAATTAAGGTATCATAAGGACTAGTAGAAATTTGCCATTTTTTAGGGTTTTACTATGTGTTATTATAAGGACTAGTGGGCTGAAATGTTAGTTTCTACAGCTGAATATATTATGGATTCTTGGTCTGTCTGGACTTGACCCACCTTCGTGGGTTTCACGAAGTGACGTGGTAAATGTCTACACCTGCGTCACGTCACTCTCTCCTCCCACACTAAGCTGACACTCTGATGACTGAAATGCAGTTTGAGGCAGTGGTAAGCCCAATCCACTCACCAACAGACTGATGCATCTTGACAAGTCTGTCACTGTAATGGCTGCTTGTCTCCTGCGACAGGGTACAGTGAAGTGTGTCAGTCACTCATATTTTTCACATATTAAGGGTGTGGTGGCAATAAAGATATAAACTGATGGAGAAAGTGTTTGTTACCTATGTGACCTATATTAATAATTAAAAAAATAATAATAATGATAATAGTGAGTGAGTGAGTTGGGTTTAACGCCGCTTTTAACATTATTTCAATTATATCACGGCGTGTCAGCTTAATGTGGGAAGAAAGCCTAAAGTGATGCAGGTCTAAGACGTTTACCACTTCGGTGAAACTCACAAGCACGGGTATGGTGCTGACAAACCTAGAAACATAATTGGGGCGAACCGGGATTCGAACCCACAATCATTGGTTTCTGGCGTGCCCAACTCTGCACAGCGAATCGCGGCGCCTTAGATGACTGGGCCACCTGTGCCCCCCAATAATAATAATAATAATAATGATGATGATGATGACTGGGCCACCTGTGCCCCCCAATAATAATAATAATGATGATGATGATGAAGATGATGATGATGATGATAATAATAATGTGCACTTATAATGCACAAGACTCCATGTAGCAGTTCATGCTCAAAGCACTTAATTCAAATGTCACTCTGGAAAGCGTTTTTGAACAAATGTGTCTTTAGTTTTGCTTTGAATGTCTGAAATGTTGAAGAAAGTTTAATCTCAAGTGGAAGATCATTCCATAACTTTGGGGCAGCCACACTGAAAATCTTAAGGCCATAGCTGGAAAGTCTATACTGAGGAACACGTAGCAGGTGTTGATCGAAGAGTTCTTGGTGGATTATGAAACTGGAGCAGAGTGGAGAGATCACTGAATTTGACTTTTTTTCTCATTTGATGGATTGAGAGCTTAATAATTCTTATGAGAAGACATTTGTTTTGGAATTGAATACCCATAGAGATTTCTGGTTGGAATTGTACCCTGCAACCTACAAGGTGACTTAGGTGATTGGGTGGTCAGGCTCGGTGACGTCGTTGACAGTGAAAGATGCAAGTGACCCGTGAAGATCCGGGGTAGAATGGGTCTTCAGCAACCCATGCTTGCTGTAAAAGGCGACTATGCTTGTCGTAGGAGGCGACTAACCGGATCGGATGGTCAGGCTCGCTGACTTTGTTGATGCTTGCCATCAATCCCAACTGCGTGGATCAATGCTCATGATGTCAATCACTGGATTGTCTGGTCCAGACTCAATTATTTACAGACCGCTGTCATATAGCTGGAATACTTCTGAGTGTGGCATTTAACAACAAACAATCAAACAATTTGCCATTAACAATGAAGAGTTGTGTTTTCCGGGGAATTGTCTTAGCACCCTATAACATTACTCTTCCACCTCCCAATTTGACGATGTTGAATGACGCAAGCCTCTCTAAAATGTTCTCCTGGACGCCTGTAGACCCTTGCACGACCACCAGAGTAGCCCAGATGAAACCTTGACTCATCTGTGAACAGTATGCTGTCCTGGTCTTGTCTCCTGAATATCAGATGCTGTATACACCAAGCTAGACATAGCTGGTATATACGTGGGATCAAAATTAGGTGTATCGCTGGATGTCAGGTCTGGATGTTGTGCTCCCTCATCGGGTTGCGTATGGTTGTGCCACCAGGCACTCAACCCAGTAATAATCACTGGTTTGTCTTGCCCAGACAGGACTGTTGGCAGTTGTCATGGAAGCTGGAATATTGCTGATTGCAGGGTCAAACAAACAAATGTTCACTGGTCTTATGTGAGAGGTTACCTTAATCATAAGTACAAATGTGGAATTGATCCTTCAGTTCATGCTCCGTGGTCCAGAGGACATCGTCTGCCGGACAGGGGAAGCTAGGTTAGTGGTTCGATCACTGAGATTCAGGGTTGGAATAGGTCTTCAGCAACCCATGCTTGCCGTAAAAGTGACTATGCTTGTCGTAAACGGGATGGGGTTGTCAGGCTCGCTGACTTGGTTGATGCATGTCATGGATCCCAATTGCGTGGATCGATGCTCATGATATTAATCACTGGATTGTCTGGTCCAGACTCGATTATTTACAGACCGCTGTCATATAGCTGGAATATTGCTGAGTGCGGCGTTAAACAACAAACCACCCAACCAACCAAACCAACCATCACCGGCCAGGTCACAAAGACGCTAAAAGATGGTATACTGGTTGCCCTGCCTGGCGCTCAGCCTTGAGAGGATAAAACAAGCACTGGTCGGCTGAGAGTCTGTGTAATGTATGTGAGTGGGGTCAATGTTTGAGGTGAGGTGAAACGTCGCGTCCAAGATTATTGTACTTATATAGCGACGTGCATGCACGTGTATGTGTGTGTTTGGCTGCTTGTACTAGTCCGAACTGATGCCGATTTAAAGTGCTAGCACACTAAGATACCATGCCGCAGTTTAACATGAATACCCCACTCAGACACAGTATACTGACTACGAGCCGACCAGTCCTTGTTTTAGCCCCTTAATGTCAAGCGCCAGACAGGGTAACAGCAAGTACCAATCTTTTAACGTCTTTTGGTATGACGCGGCTGGGGATCTGAACCCCGGCGCCGGACCTGACGCTCTACCATTAGACCATGGAGGCGGTCAGCCATGTTTGAACTGGGCATGGTATCTTAGTGGGCTAGCATGCACTGTTGTGTGTCGATTTCCAAATTGAAACACTAAGTTAACCAAGAAAAGAATACGCAAAAGAATTTAGTTTGAAACCAACAAACAACAGAGAAATGGTATAAAATTAACAATTGTATTATAAAATTAACTAGGTTTACAAATCAATACAAATTACTGAAACATTATTACAATGGTCATACACATCAGAGTTGCAATACAAAATTCAATGGCAATACAATTCTTACTGCAGTATAAAAAATGATAGCAATAAAGACAAAGATAGTAATATTCACCTAGCAGCAACAGTGGCCAAGCTTCCAAAACAGGCCTAGGCTGGATATCCAGGGTGAAAATAATGATCACACAACCGCTGATGTTATGTGAGATGCCATCTTCGAGAAGGTTCTATACAGTGCTGGACTAGTCTAGCTGTCCTAGAATATTCAAGATTACACTTGACACCACTACTTCGACAACACTACTTACATTAGATAGTACTACATTCCTGACAACTACTTATTGTCGATGGGCGGTCAGGTAGCCTAGTGGTTAAAGCGTTCGCTCGTCACGCCGAAGACCCGGGTTTAAGTTCCCGACATGGGTACTATGTGTGAAGCCCATTTCTGGTGTCCCCCGCCGTGATATTGCTGGAATATTGCTAAAAGTGGCGTAAAACCACACTCACTCACTCACTCACTTATTGTCGAAACACAATGCTACAAAGTAATTTGATCCCCAGGATCAAAAGGATGCAAAGAAATGTTGTAGCATACCTACCTATTGATGCAAGTACCTACACTGTCATAAAGCGCACATGTGTAAACCAGAAGGTAAACAAATTGTAATTTGCATGTGGTACCTTCAGTATCAGGAATGAGAATAGGGCACATTTCAGTTTCAATATTTATGTAAAATAAAAGTAGAAAACAAACATATAATGAAAACAAAACTTGTAATAAGTTTCCACAACAATGACTTCCTGACACATTTTTGATTGTTTTCAAGGAACATGGGGTATTAAGCTGACTCAATCATAGTGGTATCCATGATGCTGTTCACATTGATATATCTACAATGCTAAAGTTATTTATATTCTTTAATAATTAATCTTTTCAAAGTAATAGTTACTTTGTTGAAATATTATTGTACAATGAACGAGATTAGTGGTGACATGTATGGAAACCCTTTAGGGCCATTTGTTATTTTTTTCATTTTTTAAGTTGCTAAGTTGAAATTTCAAGATGCTAGGTTGAAATTTCAAGATACTATATTGAGATTTCAAGTTATGATGTTAAAATTTCAAGTTAATATCTTGGAATTTCAAGAAAAAACAACAAAAAACAAACGTCCCTGAAAGGCTTCCGTAGACAGGCTGTCCAAAACTACTGTTACATCGCGACACGGAAACTGGGTCAACGTATATACAGCAATATGCTGTACAAATAAATAAACTTCTACTAAATCTTAACAGAAACAGTAATACAATTACATTGTCATTTAGCAATTAGCATTTAGCAATATTTCAGCAATATCACGGCGGGGGACACCAGAAATGGGCTTCACACATTGTATCCATGTGGGGAATCGAACCCGGGTCTTCGGCGTGACGAGCGAACGCTTTAACCACTAGGCTACTCCACCGCCCCGTTATACAATTACATCATTTAACAATAAATTACACTTCCATATAACAGCACCTTAAACTGGTATTATTCCGAGCTTGTACAAAGCAGACACGCACGCACGCACGCACGCACGCACGCACGCACGCACACACACACGTGCAATAATCTTTAACGCGACCTGAACCCCATTCTCCTCACCTCGACAACAGTTCATGATCTGTGCTGGGAATATATCGGTCACTCTCAGCAACGTGTTTCACAGCAGCTGTTTCAGCCTGAAGGGATGAGACGCTACTTTGACATGATGGGGTAGGTGAGGATCTAGGACTGGCCCAGATTTTACACTATGCATCTGATTTAAACCATTATGATGTCACGCTACTGTTGTTATACTGGGCCAGCGGGGCCAGGAATTCACTGGCCATTCCGAACGTGTATTTTAAACAAGTAAAACTAACTATCATTATGCAAAGTTATAGAGAAATAAAATACCAACCATAACATGGTTTTAAGTCGGAGAAACCACTCGAATCTTTTGATACCGGAAGAACGATTGTCTTGCCCCCTTCGAGGCCCGTTTTACTTTTGGAATAAACGGATTCTCCATGGGAGCCTTGTCAATTTACACTTGTGAGAGGGGTACACAAAGTAAGTGATCTGGACTACCAGTGGTCGGACTTTCATTTCTTTGTGGAAGACTCGGTGGCTGAGTGGGTTAGATCGCTGACTTTGTGTGCTGGCGATTAGGTGCCTCACTCTGGCAGTGTGGGTTCGAACCCCGGACGGGATTCAAGGCAAAAAAGTACGAGAATCTGTACTCAGAAAGTGCTATCCAAAATATAACATTTGTTAAACAGATTCTCATGATTTCTCCATTACGTAATTGACAGACATTAGTTTTACAAAGGTAAATTCACTGACAATGAAAAAAAACCCAAAATAATGAAATAATGTTAATACTCCAAACCGAGGACTTTAGTAGCCCTTTAAGCAACACATTACGAAAGAGGCTCCAAACCGAGGACTATAGTAGACACATTACGAAAGAGGCTATAAACCGAGGACAATAGTAGCCCTTTAAGCAACACATTACGAAAGAGGCTATAAACCGAGGGCTATAGTAGCCATTTAAGCAACACATTACGAAAGAGGCTCCAACCCGAAGGCTATGGTGGCCTTTTAAGCAACACATTACGAAAGAGGCTCCAAACCGAGGACTATAGTAGACACATTACGAAAGAGGCTATAAACCGAGGACTATATTAGCCATTTAAGCAACACATTACGAAAGAGGCTATAAACCGAGGTCTATAGTAGCCCTTTAAGCAACACATTATGAAAGAGGCTCCAAACCGAAGACTATAGTAGCCCTTTAAGCAACACATTACGAAAGAGGCTCCAAACCGAGGACTATAGTAGCCCTTTAAGCAACACATTACGAAAGAGGCTATACACCGAGGACTATAGTAGCCATTTAAGCAACACATTACGAAAGAGGCTCCAAACCGAAGACTATAGTAGCCCTTTAAGCAACACATTACGAAAGAGGCTCCAAACCGAGGACTATAGTAGCCATTTAAGCAACACATTACGAAAGAGGCTCCAAACCGAGGACTATAGTAGCCCTTTAAGCAACACATTACGAAAGAGGCTATAAACCGAGGGCTATAGTAGCCATTTAAGCAACACATTACGAAAGAGGCTCCAAACCGAAGACTATAGTAGCCCTTTAAGCAACACATTACGAAAGAGGCTATAAACCGAGGGCTATAGTAGCCATCTAAGCAACACATTACGAAAAAGGCTCCAACCCGAAGACTATAGCAGCCTTTTAAGCAACACATTACGAAAGAAGCTAAAAACCGAGGACTACAGTAGCCATTTAAGCAACACATTACGAAAGAGGCTCCAAACCGAAGACTATAGTAGCCCTTTAAGCAACACATTACGAAAGAGGCTCCAAACCGAGGACTATAGTAGCCCTTTAAGCAACACATTACGAAAGAGGCTATACACCGAGGACTATAGTAGCCATTTAAGCAACACATTACCAAAGAGGCTCCAAACCGAGGACTATAGTAGCCATTTAAGCAACACATTACGAAAGAGGCTATACACCGAGGACTGTGGTCGCCCTTTAAGCAACACATTACGAAATATGGTCCGAACCGAGGACTATAGTAGCCATTTAAGCAACACATTACGAAAGAGGCTATAAACCTAGGACTCTAGTAGCCCTTTAAGCAACACATTACGAAATATGGTTCGAACCGAGGACTATAGTAGCCCTTTAAGCAACACATTACGATTGAATACCAGAGGAAGGTTCTTTCACTATTAACGAATATGTTGCTGTCGGAATAGAAACATTTCCACGTTTTAGAATGTAAACGGACACTGAAAAAGCGTTTACGACGATGACAGTTGAGCGAGTGAGTTGGTTTAACGCCACTTTGAACATTATTTCAGTATTGTGACTGCGCAGTAGCTTAAGGAAGAATGAAAAAAGCAACGGCTTGCGGGTTACCAACTAATCTGTCATAATGACACGAAAACATATATATGCAATACGTATATTATAGTCTTACTGCAAATGAAGAGAGCCCCTTTGATTATATTATGAAAAGATAATTTAACAGATGTTTTTCTATAAAACATTTTCATTCCAGAGACTAGATGTTAGTCTAAAAACCTTCCTCCAAGGGTATTGAGCTGACAGAGTATGGGTAATTATCTGGACGTTTCTTGGTGAGACTAAGTGATGAACCTCTGTGGCGCCTTATACCCTTCGCCCCACCCTGAGAGCGGAAGGTCCGGGGTTCGATCCCCGGCCGCGCCATACCAAAAGACGTTAAAAAATGGTACTTGTTGTTACCCTGTCTGGCGCTCGGCATTAAGGGGCTAAAACAAGGACTGGTCGGCTCGGAGTCAGTATACTGTGTCTGAGTGGGATATTCATGTTAAACTGCGACATGGTATCTCAGTGAGCTAGCACTATAAATCGGCATCAGTCCGGACTAGTACAAGCAGCCACACAAAACACACACACGTACATGCACGTCGCTATATAAGTGCAATAATCTTGGACGCGACGTTAAACCCCATTTCACCTCACCTTATTCCCGTCTCCCCGTCTAACGTATAAGCTATTGCTGGACCCAAGGCATGTTGCGCGCTCTTTGTCTTATCTGTAGTATCTGTCGGAACAACGTCCTATCACATGTCCAGAAATATAATGCCTGAAACCAAGGTCAAGGTCAGACATTTCAGATAACACATTGTTCCAGACTCTGAGTATTGAAACGTGGAAGTTTGGACTGGCTTATTGTCCCGTTTTATAGAAACGCTTTCATGGAGAACAGTGGCAAAGTTTCTCTGAGAAGGCAGTCTTCATTCAGCAGACAACCCGTTCTGGCGGTACCAATGGTCGGATTCGCAAGATGTAAGAAAATAGTGTGTATTGGCGTTTTCTTCGCTGCCGGTGTGTTGTGCGGACATATCTTTACGCTGCTTGCCAACAGGTCAGGCATGTCGTCTGCTCACACAGAACACGAGCAACCCGCTGCAAAAAGAGCTGCCCTTATTGCAGAAGCAGAGAAACGAGGAGCCGAAGAGGCGCTACTCAGCCGAAAGAAAGACATGAGTCTACAATTCAGAGATTATCAACCTCGACATATATTCATTAACTGTGGGGGCACTTTTCCGAAAAATGTGGATCTCTTTATTGACACGTATCCATCGTCACATAAATTCGTTATATTTTCGTTCATCCCCGACGCGACCTATGCTCCGCTGTACTCGGTGTACCCGTCCCATACTCTGGTGTCACCGGCTGCGTGCGACTCCGCGAATGGGTCGACCAGGATGGAACTAAAGTCTGTGACCGGTGAGTCGAGACAAAGGTCTGTTCCAACTGTTGACATTGGACAATGGGTCAAGGACAATACTCATACCGACGAACACATCGTGCTCAAAATAGATGCATCGGTAGATGTTGAAAAAAGCATTGCAAAACGCCTAGCAGAGACATCAGCTATTGAATGGGTAAACAAGTTCTATACCGCTACAAAAGATCAAGGTGTTGTTGACTTCTATCATAAAGAGTTCCAGAAACGAGGCGAGGAGGTTATGACCTGGGACGAGGTCAACGGCACATACGGGGACTACAAGGGCATCAACCCCACTCGAAACCCCCCGTCTGGAAACTCCATCGTCAAAGAATGTGGAAATGCTAAACTCAAGCAATTCCCTCTCTTCCTCTACGCCGCAGAAACCACACCTGCTCTCAACCGGACGTTGACCTTGCTTAAAACGTTGTCCGAGTCCCGAAGCAGACGACTTCCGGTTGCTTTGTTTCTCCCTACCAGCTTCATCAAGACATATCGTCTGTTGCTTGAGTCCCTGTTCTCTAACATGGACGGGGGTTTGTACATCAATCAGACAGTCCCATTGACAGGCAAAGAGGAAGAAGATGATGTCATATTTTCACCAATCCGAAATCAAGTGGTCGCAGCTGAGAACCGCTTTAGCAGTGTTGGTTTGATACTTCAGAACGTGTTGGCGGGAAAGGCAGTTCAATCGCCCGTCGTGGAGAAATTAGTACGAGAGAGACACTACAATATTTTCGTAAAGGTTTTAGAAATACAACAAAATCAAAACGACGGTGCGAGTCCGATAAAGATCCCCACTATTACAGACTATGAGGCGCCTGTTCTGGACATCAGCAGGCCTGGTACAGAAGCAAGTGTTCTATTCCTGTTAAACCGATATTCGAAGGACATTCTCCCTCTGACGGAATGTCTCAAATATGTACACAGTGCTGGATGATGGTGAATAATGAAATATTGTGGTTATGTTGGACTTTGAATGATCTTGTAATACCAAATTGCAATCTCATTAAAATAATATCTTTTACCCCCATTCGATATCTCTCTGCGGCAAGAAAGGTCAGAGTAAAAGATTTCATGTTTATGATATTGTAGATGACGAAGACATGCGATCGCGTTTTTTGTTGGCAACCCTTTGCCAGATGCGTCGGATTTTTAGAGCGGACTTGTAATCAAAGACTATGGTATTTTCAGAAATGGATACACGTTTATTTAAGGATGTACCATATAACAGAAATGGATACACGTTTATTTAAGGATGTACCATATAACAGAAATGGATACACGTTTATTTGAGGATGTACCATATAACAGAAATGGATACACGTTTATTTAAGGATGTACCATATAACAGAAATGGATACACGTTTATTTAAGCATGTACCATATAACAGAAATGGATACACGTTTATTTAAGGATGTACCGTAAAACAGAAATGGATACACGTTTATTTAAGGATGTACCATATAACAGAAATGGATACACATTTATTTAAGGTTGTACCATATAACGGAAATTGATACACGTTTATTTAAGGATGTACCATATTACAGCAATGGTTACACGTTTATTTAAGGATGTACCATATAACAGAAATGGATACACGTTTATTTAAGGATGTACCTTAAAACAGAAATGGATACACGTTTATTTAAGGATGTACCATAAAACAGAAATGGATACACGTTTATTTAAGGATGTACCATATAACAGAAATGGATACACGTTTATTTAAGGATGTACCATATAACAGAAATGGATACACGTTTATTTAAGGGTGTACCATATAAAACAAATGGATACACGTTTATTTAAGGATGTACCATAAAACAGAAATGGATACACGTTTATTTAAGGATGTACCATATAACAGAAATGGATACACGTTTATTTAAGGATGTACCATATAACAGAAATGGATACACGTTTATTTAAGGATGTACCATATAACGGAAATGGATACACGTTTATTTAAGGATGTACCATATAACAGAAATGGATACACGTTTTTTTAAGGATGTACCATATAACAGAAATGGATACACGTTTATTTAAGGATGTACCCTATAACAGAAATGGATACACGTTTACTTAAGGATGTACCATATAACGGAAATGGATACACGTTTATTTAAGGATGTACCATATAACAGAAATGGATACACGTTTATTTAAGGATGTACCATATAACAGAAATGGATACACGTTTATTTGAGGATGTACCATATAACAGAAATGGATACACGTTTATTTAAGGATGTACCATATAACAGAAATGGATACACGTTTATTTAAGGATGTACCACATAACAGAAATGGATACACGTTTATTTAAGGATGTACCATATAACAGAAATGGATACACGTTTATTTAAGGATGTACCATATAACGGAAATGGATACACGTTTATTGAAGGATGTACCATATAACAGAAATGGATACACGTTTATTTAAGGATGTACCATATAACATAAATGGATACACGTTTATTTAAGGATGTAACATATAACAGAAATGGATACACGTTTATTTAAGGATGTACCATATAACGGAAATGGATACACGTTTACTTAAGGATGTACCATATAACAGAAATGTTGAACGAATTATTCCATTTCTTTCTTAGCTTCTTACTCCATTCCTACAGTTTGAACTCAAGGACCTGTAATATGTCATCTCAGATGACCGGAACAGTGATTCCTTGGACTGTTCCAGGACCCCTTGACTGTAAATGCGATGTGATCTTTGGTTTCTAAGCATCATTCGTTGTTCGTGTATTTGTGTGTGCGTGTGCGTTGTTTTATACGGTGTTGTGTATGTTGTTCATGTTTGTGTGTATGTTGTTTTATATTATGTTGTGTATGTTGTTCATGTATTTGTGTGTTGTGTCATATTATGTTATGTATGCTGTTCATGTGTTTGTGTGTGTGTGTTGTTTTATCTGGCGTTGTGTAGGTTGTTCATGTATTTGTGTGTTGTAATATATTATGTTGTGTATGCTCTTCATGTGTTTGTGTGTATGTTGTTTTATATTATGTTGTGTATGTTGTTCATGTATTTGTGTGTTGTTTTATATTATGTTATGTAAGTTGTTCATGTTATTGTGAATGTTGTTCATGTGTTTGTGTGTGTGTTGTTTTATCGGGCGTTGTGTATGTTGGTCATGTTTGTGTGTATGTTGTTTTATATTATGTTGTGTATGTTGTTCATGTATTTGTGTGTTGTGTTATATTATGTTATGTATGCTGTTCATGTGTTTGTGTGTGTGTTGTTTTATCGGGCGTTGTGTATGTTGGTCATGTTTGTGTGTATGTTGTTTTATATTATGTTGTGTATGTTGTTCATGTATTTGTGTGTGTGCGTTGTTTTATATGGTGTTGTGTATGTTGTTCGTGTATATGTATGTATGTTGTTTTATCTGGCGTTGTGTATGTTGTTCATGTATTTGGGTGTTGTAATTTATGTTGTGTATGCTGTTCATGTGTTTGTGTGTATGTTGTTTTATACGGTGTTGTGTATGTTGTTCATGTATTTGTGTGTTGTTTTATATTATGTTATGTAAGTTGTTCATGTTATTGTGAATGTTGTTCATGTGTTTGTGTGTGTGTTGTTTTATCGGGTGTTGTGTATGTTGGTCATGTTTGTGTGTAGGTTGTTTTATATTATGTTGTGTATGTTGTTCATGTATTTGTGTGTTGTTTTATATTATGTTATGTAAGTTGTTCATGTTATTGTGAATGTTGTTCATGTGTTTGTGTGTGTGTTGTTTTATCGGGCGTTGTGTATGTTGGTCATGTTTGTGTGTATGTTGTTTTATATTATGTTGTGTATGTTGTTCCTGTTTGTGTGTATGTTGTTTTATCTGGCGTTGTGTATGTTGTTCGTGTATTTGTGTGTGCGTTGTTTTATACGGTGTTGTGTATGTTGTTCATGTATTTGTGTGTGTGCGTTGTTTTATATGGTGTTGTGTATGTTGTTCGTGTATTTGTATATATGTTGTTATATCTGGCGTTGTGTATGTTGTTCCTGTTTGTGTGTATGTGTTTTTATCTGGCGTTGTGTATGTTGTTCGTGTATTTGTGTGTGCGTTGTTTTATACGGTATTGTATATGTTGTTCATGTATTTGTGTGGGTGTTGTTTTATCTGGCGTTGTGTATGTTGTTCGTGTATTTGTGTGTTGTGTTATATTATATTGTGTATGCTGTTCATGTGTTTGTGTGTATGTTGTTTTATACGGTGTTGTGTATGCTGTTCATGTATTTGTGTGGGTGTTGTTTTATCTGGCGTTGTGTATGTTGTTCATGTATTTGTGTGTTGTTTTATATCATGTTATGTAAGTTGTTCATGTTTGTGTGAATGTTGTTCATGTATTTGTGTGTGTTTTGTTTTATATGGCGTTGTGTATGTTTATGTTTTGTGTATGTTGCTAAAGTGTTTCGTTTATGCGTGTTCTTGTGTGAAGTACAGTTGTTAGCAGTAGGGGTAGGTGATGAAACACAGATGAGCAAGGTGTTCGGCCGCTGTAAGCAATGTTCCAGCAATAGGTTGGCGGCGGACATCAAGGACTTCACACTCTGTGTCGAGGTGGATCCAAACTGAGTCTACAGCATGGAACGTGCTTTAACCCCTAGACTCTCCACCCGACCCAGTTCTGTTCAGCTCTGTAACACTCAGAACCTTATACAGTAAACTACGGTTATAACGAACACGCTTATAACGAACTGACGGATATAACGAACTAACTTTTTAGTCCCGACTATTTGCTGTAGTTATGCTGTATATATGCTTATAACAAACTACGGTTATAACGAACTAAAAATAGTAGTCCCTTTGAGTTCGTTATAACCGTAGTTTACTGTACAAATAAAGTCATATTTTAAATAGTGCAAACATATAATCAAGTTATTAAAAATGAAACGGTATATAATGTATATATTGCAGTTAATGGTTGCCCTGACAATGTCTTATCATCAAACTAATCAGGTCTTGTCCTAAACTGTGTTTTTTAAGGTCAGACGCCGTCGCTTCGAATGTATCCTTACAGATCTTGTACAGGTGTACCGTGTGTCAACGAAATGTACTTGATCTGTCCTGTTCTTGGGCGGAGAAATCAGGTCTATTTTTGATCTCACAGTAAACGTTTGTGAAGTAACGAACATTGATGGCGTAGCTTATTGAAGTGTACTGTGGGAGGAGTTTATGTGATCACGTGAAACTATCTTCGGCAAAACTGGTTGACGTCTAAAGAACACCTCGCTGGGGCTGTCATTTCGTGATAAGATGTCTCACGCACTGTCTGCATAGAGGTATATTGCAGTTCATGTGTCGTTGAAGAATGTGCTGTACTGTATTTTCAAGCTCCTACTTCAGATAGGTCGTAACTCACAAACTTCACGCGACTTGCCTGTCTCAGCGACATTGATCAACATTTACAGTAGACCTGAACATTGACATGTCTGTGCTATATCCTTACTTTTCACAGCAATTCGCCTCCTCCCCACTCACTAAAACCACACGACCCGTGAAGATCCGGGATAGAATAGGTCTTCAGTAACCCATGCTTGCCGTAAAAGACGACTATGCTTCTCGTAATGGGCGACTAACGGGATCGGGTGGTCAGACTAGCTGACTTGGTTCATGCATGTCATCGTATCCCAATTTCGTGGGTCGATGCTCATGATGTCAATCACAGGATTGCCTGGTCCAGACTCGATTATTTACAGACCGCCGTCATAAAGCTGGAATATTGCTGAATGCGACGTTAAACAGAACCCCCCCCAAAAAAAAAAACCACAAAAAAACCCAACAAAAAACACAAAAAAACACACAACAAAACAAAACAAAAACAACAACAAAACAACAACAAACTAAAATCACACTTAATTATTTTGGACAATGCGTTCATATGACGTCACGTTGCTGGTTGCCTCTTCCATCGGAAGGAACTAGCCAGTCGGATTGAATCAGGATTGAGAATTACTGAAATTAGTTTCACCTCTATCCGTGGCCCTACAAGTTATAATGTTTAATGTTA